GGAAGAGAGGACGGGAACCTCGCGTACACGGACGAGGAGCTGTGGGGGGACGTGAACGACATCATGGCCGCGGGGCATCAGACGCAGGCGGCGACCATGAGCACCGCGTTGCTGTACGTATCTCGCGACGAAAAGGTGAAGCGCGCAATCGAGCGAGAGGTGGCCGCGTTGGGCGGCCGCGCGCCGACGTTCGAGGACGTCAGCGAAGGCCGACTCGCGTACACGCAGAGCGTCATCAAGGAGACGCTGCGGCTGCACCCGCCGATTCACATGTTTCCGCGGCTCGCGGCGGAGGACGACGTCATGCCGACGGGGCACGAGGTTAAGGCGGGGGACCTGATCTTATTGAGCACGTGGGCGATGGGTCGGAACCCGAGCGTGTGGGAGTCGCCGCTCGAGTTCGACCCCGACCGGTTCACGGACGAGCGGCTCGTCAAGCTCGCGCGCGATCAAAACCCGGGCGCGGACGACGAGGAGATCGACCGCGCGGTGACGATGTTGAAGTCGGGGAGAGATTTCATCTACACGCCGTTCGGCGCGGGGCCGCGGAGTTGCATCGGCGGGCTCTTCTCGCTGCTCACGGTGACGACGATCGTGGCGTCGTGCGTGCAGAGGTTCGACTTCACGCCGGACGAGGAGTCGCTGCCGGCGGACGCGGAGATTCCGCTGCGGTACGACGTGACGATGTGCTTTCCGAAGGGGTTGAAGATGCGGCTGCGGCGGCGCGATTTGGACGGCGCCGCGGAGGCGGCGACGCCGGGGCCGGCGGTCGCCGCCGCTCGGTGATGAGCGTGAACGAAAGTACTTTATACGACGCGAGTACGCGTACTGTACGTTGTTGGGAGTATTTTCCTGTAACACGAAGTTTGTTAAATAACGCGAAAAGACCCGACCCGACCCGCCCTGACCTCGTTCGCGCGCCGTCATCTTCGAAACACGCTCCGCATGATGGCCTGCAAGATGACCTCCACGCCGCGCCGCGCGACGCGAGACGCCATCTGCGCCGCGAACGCCTTCGCCACCTGCCCGGCGACGCCGCCCATCTGACTCAGCGGGTTCATCGCGTCCGCCGCCCCCCGCGTCGCGCCCCCCGCGGTCGGATCGTACCCGCCGCCGTGCCCCCCCGACCCCGGCGGCGGCGGCGCGCGTCCGCGACTCTCCCACCCGCCGCTGCCGAACGGTCCGCCCTCGCCGACGACGCGTTCGGTGACGTCTCGCCGCGCGGAGCCGTCCGGCGAGATCGTCGTGACCGTCCGCCGCACGATACGGAGGCCGTCCGAGCGCGTGTAGATCTCCTCCTGGACCGTCACGCGCTCACCGCCGCCCGCGCGCGCTCGCGACGACGACGACGACGACGACGACGACGACGACCCGCCGCGTCCGTTCGATCCGCCGTCCATCGCGCCGAAGATATCTCTCACCACCTCGTCCCATTCCCGCTGCGACCGACCACCCGGGAACCCGCCCTGGCCGAACGGCCCGCCGCCCGGGAACCCGCCCCCTGCCCCCCCGGGGGTCCCGAACCGCCCCGCGCCCGGCCTTCCGGGCTTCGTGAACTCGCGCATGAAGTCCTTCATGAACTGAGGGCCATTCCATACGAGCGAATGAATGTCGGGGTGGAGTTCAAAGGCGTCAGTTGTGGAGTTGAAAGGCATCGAGGTGTGTCGGGATTGAAAGCGAGGGACCCTGGGCGGAGAGATACGCCGGGCAAAGTCCTTAAGGATCGGCGTTCACCACGCCGACGCGGTCGTAAGGGGACCAGTGTGACATAGAACGCACCTGATTCTTCCCGAACATCTCCTCGAAGATCTCGTCCGCGTCGCGTCGCGAGTCGCGGTCGCCCGCGCCCGATCGCGCGTAGTAGTTGCCGTCCGGACCGCGCGCGTAGTACGACCCGCCTGAACCGCCGCCGCCGCCGCTCGGGGGGCGCTGTCCTCGATGCGGCTGACCGCGACTCGCGAAGCCCCCGCCCCCGGGCCCCGCGTACCCACCGCCGCTCGACAGCGCCTGGTACGCCTCGCTCACCTGCTTAAACTTTTTCTCCGCCGCGCGCTTCGCCTCGCCCTCCGGATGCCGGTCCGGATGCCATCGCATCGCTTCTCTGCGATACGCCTTCTTCAGCTCGTCCGCGCTCGCCCCCGGCTTGACGCCGAGGAGGGCGTAGTAGTCGATCGGCCCGCCCGCGGCGAAGGATCGCGCGCCGGCGAGGCCGAGGCGCCAGCGATCGAGCGGCGACGACGTGCGAGCGGACGACGACGCGATCTGCCACGGCGCGAATCTCGCCGCGCGCGCCGCGAGGCGGTCCGTCGTCGTCGTCGTCGTCGTCGCGGTGGCGGCGCGCGAGGAGGACGTCGCGAGCCACGCGGCGGCGGCGATCGCTCGCCACCGGACGGTGGTCATCGCGCGGCGCGGGCGCGACGCGAGCGGGAGCGCGCCGCGACGCCGTCGCGCGAGTTTTTGGCAACGTCTGGTGTGCGCTGCGACGCGACGCGACTTCAAGTCCGCTTCCTCAAGTGTCCGTGATGAGGGTCGTCGACCGACCGTCCGGTGTTTCAATTTTTCTCGTCGTAGTACGCGAAAAACGTACTCGGTGACCGAATGCTCGTACGAAGAAATCGGGGTCGGTCACCGCTGCCAGCTCGACATCTCCGCGCGGCCAGAGCCACCAGGAGTGCATCGTGGCGAGCGTCGGGTGCGCCTTCGCGCGTTCGCTTCCGCCTCGCGTCGCGTCACCGTCCGTCCACTGAACACCGCGCGCGCTCGGGGTCCCCCCACCATCATGCACGCGTCGTCGCTCGCGCAGCGCCGCGCGACGATGGCGGCGCCGTCCGCCGCCGCCGCCGCGCGCGCGACGCCCGCGCGCCTCGCCGCGGGCGCGGCGTCCGCGCGCGTCGCGGCATCGCGCCCCGCCCCCGCCCCCACCATCTTCCTTCGACGCGGCGACGCGCTCGTCGTCGCGGCGAAGAAGAAGAAGAAGGCGAAGAGCGCGGAGTCCGCGGTGGAGACCGCGGTCGCGGACGTCGTGGACGAGCCCGTCGCCGCGGAGGTCGCGGAGGAATCGCCGCCGCCGCCGCCCGTCGCCGCGGAGGAGGAAGCGCCCTTACCCGCCGCGCCCGCCGCGCCCGTCGCGCTCGAGACGGAAGAATCAGAAGCGACAAAACCCCCGAAGACGTCGTCGTCGCTGTACCCTCCCGAGGGCGGCGGCATCACCGCGGACGGCCTGGACGACCTCCAGGCGCAGCTCGCGGCGCTCATGAGCGAGAACAACGCGCTCCTGAACAAGATCGACGTCGTCAGCGCGGACAAGGCGGACGCGGAGGCGGTCATCGCGTCGCCCGGGATTACGATTCTAACCGCGCCGAAGCGAGGGCCGATCGGTCCCGACGATCTCCTCACGCCCCCGGACGTAACCTCCGTCGAGTGGCCGTCGCCGAACGACGCGACGCCGTTCTACAAGCGCCCGCCGGTGAGAATGCCGGAGCTTATCGACCCGCACGTCCCGCCGCGGACGGAACAACCGCTGCACGTCGTCCACGTCACCGCGGAGATGGCGCCGCTCGCCAAGGTGGGCGGGCTCGGCGACGTCGTCACCGGGTTGGCGCGCGCGCACTCGCTCGCGGGGCACAACGTCGAGGTCGTGCTGCCGTTTTACTCGAGCCTCGCGCCCTCGGACATCGAGAACTTGACGCACGTGATGGACTTTGGCGTCCCGAAGGGCCGCGAGAAGGAGTGGGACGGCGTGAAGACGATGGAGAACTTCACGGTGCAGACGGCGATGTACACGGGGAAGATCGACGGCTGCGACGTGATCCTCCTCAAGCCCGCGTCCACGGAGAACAGCAACATCTTCGTCGGAAACAAAATCTACGGCGGGTCGTACAACGAGCTCGAGGCGTACTTGTACTTTTGCCGCGCGAGTCTGGAGATGCTGCGAGCGACGGGGAGAGATCCGAACGTGATTCACGTCCACGAGTGGCAGTGCAGCGCGGTCGCGATGCTGTACTGGGACGTCTACCACGCCGAGGGGATGCTGCACAACGCCAAGGTGATGCTCACGATCCACAACATGGACAACACCGGGGAGTGCCGCCAGGAGGAGTTCATCGCGACGGGCGTGCAAGGGGAGAGTTTCAACACGCTCGAAAAGGCGATGGACGAGAGAACCATCGGGCACAACCCGGAGCGGATGTGCCTGCTCAAGGGCGCCATCGTGTACTCCAACTTCGTGACGACGGTGAGCCCGACGTACGCGGCGGACGCGCTGCGCGGCGGCGGCGGGTTCCTCGCGAAGACGCTCATGGCGAGCCGCGGCAAGTTTATGGGCGTCCTGAACGGCGTCGACGAAAAGCTGTGGGACGCGAGGTGAGACCGCTTCCCATATGATCCTCCTCGCGCGTTGATCGTCGTTTCTTAAGGCGTATTTTCGCGCGTTCGCAGCCTTACGTTTTGACACGTGGCATTAACGTCAGTCCAGTCCACCAATCACGTGCACGCGCGACTGACGCGCGTCTTCCCTCGACCGATCGCGTCGCAGGCTGGATCCGTACCTCCCCGCGAGCTTCGCGCCCGGCAGGATGGAGGGTAAGGCGATCTGTAAGCGGTACCTCCAGGAAGGGTTGGGCCTCGAGGTGAGCGACGAGAAGCCGCTCGTGGTGTGCGTCTCTCGACTCGTCCCGCAGAAGGGCATCCATCTCATCGACCACGCGATCAAGCGAACCAAGGCGCAGGGCGGGCAGTTCGTGCTTCTCGGGTCGGGACACTCGGACCCGCCGTTTCAGGCGATGGCGGAGAACGAGTTCAAGGACGATCCGGACGTGCGTCTGCTCATCTTCTACAGCGACCCGCTGTCGCACCTGATGTACGCCGCCGCGGACATGGTGCTCGTGCCGTCGATGTTCGAGCCGTGCGGCCTGACGCAGATGATCGCCATGGAGTACGGCGCGTTGCCCGTGGTCAGGCGCGTTCTATCTCACACTGGTCCCCGTACGACCGCGTCGGCGTGGTGAACGCCGATCCTTAAGGACTTTGCCCGGCGCGTCTCTCCGCCCAGGGTCCCTCGCTTTCAATCCCCGCCCGCGACGCCTTTCAACTCCGCTTCTGACGCCTTTCAACTCCACCCCGACATCATCGCTTCGTGTGGACCCTCGACCCTCAGAAAAACCGGCGGCCTCGCGGACACCGTCTTCGACGTCGACGACGGATCCATACCCGAGGAGCGGAAGAACGGGTTCGTGTTCGAGGGCGGGGACGAGCGGAGCCTGGACGACGCGCTGGACCGCGGGATCGAGTACTGTCAGGAGAGGAAGGAGTGGTGGGCGAGCATGCAGGAGAAGGTGATGAAGAGCGATAACAGCTGGGAACGCGCGGGGGCGGAGTACGAGCGTTTGTACCGCGCGATGCAGAGCGCGATGTGAAAACGCGACGCGACGACCGATCTTGAGGCGTCACGCGGCGCGCGCGGGGGAGGGGGGTAGGGACAGTTGATTGTTTTGCTAGCACGCGAGGCGGCGTCTCGCGATGTGATCATACGAACGATTGAACGAACGACGCGCGCCTTGTTCCTTCGCGAACGCGCGCGACGGAAAAAAAACTGATGATTTCACCTCTTTCTGGCACGCTGCCAAAACAAGACCGCGCGGGTAACAACGTAGCCACGACCACGACGCGTTTGAACCCACCACACGCCCTAGCGCACCGGCCGCACGCGCGCACGCCGATCGCCGACCCCTCCCCCCCCCCGATCCAACCCCCGACCCGCGACATGCGACGCGGAGGACGCGCGCGCGCCGACGCGCCCGCGGGGCGCGCGTCGTCGTCGCCGCCGCCGCCGCGGTCCGCCGGGGCGCTCCCGCGCGCGCGAAGCGGGGAAGGGTTTCCCGCGCTGGGAGCCGCCGCCGCCGCCTCCGCGCGCGCGCTTCTCCCCGCGTCCGGAGACGCGGCGTCGACGACGGACGCGACGCGACGGAAGACCGCGCGCGGGCGCCGAGGCGGCGGCAGAGGCTCCCAGCGCGCGGCGACGCCCGCGCACCTCCCGCGCCCGCGCGGCGGCGCGGGGAGCGACCGCTCGCGCGACGACGACGACGCGGACGACGACGCGGGAGAAGTCGAAGAAGACGACGGAGAAAACCCCGGCGCCGCCTCCGTCGCGGGCGCGCTCGCGAGGATCGACCTGTGTTCCTCGAGCGACGGCGACGACGACGACAGCGCGAAGGCGCGCGCCTCGGACGTCTCCGACTCGCCCTTCTCCGCGCGCTCGTTCGTCAGCGAGAGCGGCGACGAGTCCGACGTCGACACGGCCGACGCAAACGACGCCTCCTCCGAGGCGAGCGACGGCGGCGCGTCGAGCGACGCCGACGCCGACGCGCGCGGAGGCGCGGGCGGCGCCAAAACCGGCGCGGGGGGACCGACCGTGCGATTCACGCTCGGCGGCTCGAAAAACCAAACGCGCGCGGGCGCGGGCGCGGGCGCGGGCGCGGGGGCGATGCCGCCGCCGTCGAGCGTAGACCTCCCGGACACCCCCGGCGCGGCGCGCGAGGCGACGCCGCGCGCGCGCGACGCGTCCGCGCCATCGGGAGGCGCCGCGCCGCCGGGAGAGGACGCCCGCGCCCGAACCCAGGGGACTCTCGCCGGCGGCGCCGCCGCCGCGACGACTGGCGCGTTCTCCGTGGCGCCCCCGTTCGCGGCGGCGTCGACCGCGCCGCCGCGCGCGCTCCCGTTCGGCGACGAGCAGCAGCAGCAGCAGCAGCAGCAGCAGCAGCAGCGAGGCAGCGGCGAGACCGTCACGGAGGTCGCCGAGGAAGCGGCGGCGGAGCGAGCCGCCGCGGAGGAAGCTGAGGCGCGTTCTATACACTGGTCCCCATACGACCGCGTTGGCGAGGTGGACGCCGATCCTTAAGGACTTTTCCCGGCATCTCTCTCCGCCCATCCCTCGCTTTCAATCCCCGCCCTCGGCGCCTTTCAACTTCAACTGACGCCTTTGAACTCCACCCCGACGTTCGCTTGTATAGAACGGCCCTGAGAACGGCGCGGAAAACGCCCTGCCGCCGCCGTCCGTCGTCGTCCCGCCGCCGCCGCCGCCGCCGCCACCGCCGTCGTCCACCGCGCCGCAGACGCAGACGCAGACGCCGCATAACGTCGTGCAGATCGAGCCGCACGACGAAGAGCGGCGCCTCCGAGAGATCTACGTCCCGAACACGAAGGTGGGGCTCGTCATCGGTAAGGCGCGTTCTATCTCACACTGGTCCCCATACGACCCCGTTGGCGTGGTGAACGCGATTTCTTAAGGACTTTGCCCGGCGCATCTCTCCGCCCAGCCCTCGCTTTCAATCCCCGCCCTCGGCGCCTTTCAACTCCACCCCGACTTCGCTTTGTATGGAACGAAGGGAGGCTCCCACGTCGTGTACTTCCAACACCAGTCCGGCGCGGGGATACACATCGCGCGCGACGGCGACGAGATGGCGTGCGCCGGCGGGTGCATCGGGTGGGTCGGCGCGAACGCGCACCACGCGATCGGCGGCGACGATGCGAGCGGCGGCGGCGGCGGCGGCGGCGACGCGACGGAGTCAATCAAGCCCGCGGTGACCCCCGACGGCCGCCGGCGGATCACGCTGTTGGGCGACGAGCGTCAGGCGCGTTCGGTTTTACAAAAGTTTTTTACCCATCGCCCAGTTTCAACGTTTGATCGATCCCCTTTTCAACTGATGACCGGTGAACTACATATTTTTGTATGGAATGGCCCTCATCAGACCGCGGTGGCGGCGGACATGATCCGACGGCTCGTGGAGTCGTCCCCGGAACGCGGGCCGGGGGAGGTGAACGTTTCGTCCGCGAGCTCGCTGCGAAGCTACGGCGGCGGCGGCGGCGGCGGCGGCGGCGCGGGCGCGGGCGCGGGCGCGGGCGCGGGCGCGGGAGGGGTGTGGCAAGACGCGTACGGCGCATCTTCTCAGTCCGCGTACTACGCGCCTCCGTCGACGGGTCCGAACGGCGAGATGCTCCCCGGGCCGACGCACAACCCGTACGCCGCGCATAACGGCGTCCCGAATGGCGGTATGCCGCCCGTGACGACGCCGTACGGGTGGGCGCCGTCGATGCACGGGGAGGTGGACCCGGAGGTGGTCGCGACGATGAGGTGCGTTCTATACACTTGTCCCCATACGACCGCGTTCGCGTGGTGAACGCCGTTTCTTAAGGACTTTGCCCGGCGCATCTCTCCGCCCTCACCTCGCTTTCAATCCCCGCCCTCGACCCTTTCAACTTCAACTGACGCCTTTGAACTCCACCCCGACTTCGCTTTGTATGGAACGACCCTGAGCGTGCCGCACAAGAAAGTCGGCCTCGTCATCGGCCGCGGCGGCGAGAACATTCGCTTCCTCCAGCAGCAGACGCGCGCGCACATCCAGATCCAGGCGGAATCTTTCGGCAACAGCGAGCGCCTCGTCTGCGTCCGCGGCACGAGAGACGCGTGCGCGGAGGCGGGGCGGATGATCCAGGACATGATCGACGGGCTGCTGCACATCGGCACCGCGCGCGTCGTTCCGCCGCAGGCGCGTCCTACGTCGCGCCGGTTCCCGTACGACCGCGTTCGCGTTGTGAACGCCGATCCTAAAAGACATTCGCCGTCGTCCCTCTCCGCTCAGGGTCCCCCGCTTTCAATCCCCGTCCTCGACGCCTTTCAACTCCACCACTGACACCTATCAACTCCGCCCCCGAACGCATCCCTCCGCCCGACTCCAGCCGCCGGTTCCCCCGCGCGGGGTGCCGCCAATAACCGCGCACCAGATCGCGATGCAAGCGCAGGCCGCGCGCGCGGGGCTGGGGCTGGGGCTGGGGCTGGGGCTGGGACTGGACGGCGGCGTTCAAGGCGGCGGCAACGCGATGGGCCCCGCGGTGGGGGGCGCGCCGGGGTGGGGAGGCGTCGACGGCGGGGATTTTGCCAACGGCGGCGGCGGCGGGGATTGGGGCGCGCACGGCGGCGGCGGGGATTGGGGCGGCGGCGGCGGCGGCGGCGGAGAGACGCGTCATCATCGCGGCGGCCAGCTCGGCGCGCGCGGCGAGTGGCGACCGCCGACCGGCGTGGAAACGACGCCTGGATCCGGTGCGTTCGCGCCCCAGTTCGCGCCCCAGTCGCGCGCGGAGTACGAGTACTTCGCGCAGGTGCAGGCGCAACTCGCGCAGATGCAGTCGCTCGGGATGAACCCGATGGCGGCGATGTCGTACTGGCAGCAGTGCGCGGAATACTTCGCGGCGAACAACAGCAACGCCAATACCAACGGCGGCGTATCCGGCGGCCACAGCGCGCCGAGCGTGATGCACGCCGGCGGTGGATACGGCGCCGACGCGGCGGCGTATCAATACGCGGCGGCGCCCGCGGCGCCGGCGGCGGCGGCGGCGGCGCCGCCGCCGCCGCCGCAGTCGGGGCCGCTGGGGTGGCTGGGGAGGAGGCAGGGGGGGCGGCGGAGCTGCGGGCGGCGTGGGAGTCGCTGGGGGTGTTGTGGTTGTTGTCGTCGCAGGCGCTGTAGTTGGTGTAGCTGTTGGTGGTGGACGCGGAGGTGGGTTCCGGGGGTCGTGTAAGTTTTCTTAGTAATGGACGTTGCTGTTATCTAACCGTTCACGGGCGGCGGCGGCGGCGGCGGCGGCGGCGGCGAGTCGCCACCGTTTCGCCCGGGCTCGGGCGACGGCGAGCGGCGGTGAGCTCGGCGCGTCCGACAGACGACGAGACGACGAGACGACGACGAACGACGCGCGCGACGAGCACGACGAGCACGATGGGGAGCTTTTGGGGTAATTTTCTTTTCACATTTTTTTCATTTGGGCCGACGACGACGACGACGACGACGACGACGACGAAGAGCCACGCACGATTCACAGATACCAAAAGTCTCGAGGAACACACACGACATCGGCATCAACGGCGACGAAACTTCCGCGAGTACGTAGTAGGTAGGACATACAGTATCCTTTTATTCGGTACGAAGTCTCAGAGACAATCGAAGCGCAGCGCGCGGCGCGACGACGACGAGCGTTCTTTTACTTTCGTCGCGCCTTCGTCGAGAGTACACTACAGCGCGAACACGCTCTACTTCTTCCCTCTCCCTCTCCCTCTCGTCGCCCGCGGGCTCGACTTCTTGTTCGGCAGTCCCGAGACCGTGCCGCCGTCCCACCCCGCCGCCGCCTCGGGTTTCCTCTTCGACGGCGTCGCGTTCCCGCCGTTTCCGCCGTTCCCGCCGTTTCCGCCGATTCCTCCGTTTCCCCCGCCGGCTTTCGGGACGCCGAGACGAGACGGCGGTCGCGACGGCGGCCTCTCCCCGCCCCCGCCTCCCCCCGGGGTCCTCTCGATCGCGTCTTCCCGAAACGTCGCCGCGTTTCCGCTCCTGCGCGGCGTCCCGAAACGGCTCGATGGGCGCGATATCGGTATCGGCGCGGACGTCGGGTCCGCGCCGACGCCGACGCTCCCCCCCGCGACCGCGCCCCCCGACACCCCCCACCCGCCGTCGCCGCTGCCGCCCTCAGTCGTCCTCGCGTTCCACAGCCCGTCGCTCCCGAGCGTCTCGCCGCTGGGGTTATGCGCCGCGAGGTCGTGCGCCATGAGAATCATCTTGATGAGCGCGCGCAGTTTCGGGATCGAGCACGGTTTCGAGAGGACCATGTCCATGCCAACCTCCTCCGCGCGTCGAAGCACGCTCTGCTCCACGGACGCGGTGTACCCGACGATGGCGACGGGAGGTTTGCCCGTGTCCTGCTCCAGCTGTCGTATCCGCCGCGTCGCCTCGATGCCGTCCATCACGGGCATCTGGTAGTCCATGATGACGAACGCGTACGCGTCGTGCTCGGAGGAGGAGATGACGTCCACAGCCTCCGCGCCGTTGACGACGTGCCGGACGTTGAAGTCGCCGAGGCACTTGAGCTGCGACGATAAAATTTTTCGATTCAACGCGTTGTCCTCGGCGATGAGGACCGAGATCGGGCCCGCGCCTCGGAGGTCGTCGCGGTTTTTTAGTCCGCCACCAGTCTCGCGGCTGTCGACGTTCGCGCCGTTTCCGCCGCCGTTCGTGCCGTCGGACGTGGTCGTCAGCGTCGCCGCCGACGAGACGCGGCGCGGCGCCGGGTGGCTGAGAATCGCCGCGGGCGACGGCGCGGCGGCGGCGGCGGCGGCGGCGTCGCGCGCGACCAGCTCCACGAGGCTCCGCGGCGTCCCTCCCTCCTCGCCGAGCCGCGCCTCGTCGCTCCGCGTCTTCGTCGTCCGCAGGCGGCTCGGCGGTCGCGTCGGCGGCGCGCGCGAAGAGCCGCCGGGGACGCGCTCGGGCGCCCTGCCTCCGTACGAGTAGGGTGGTCTGGCGCCTTCCCACCGCGCGGCGGACGTGGGGTCGTCGTCGTCGTTCGACGCGTCCCCGGGTCCCCCCACGCCCGGGACCCCCCCGAGCGTCATGTCGTAGTACGAGTTGTAGATCAACGCCTCGTTCTCGGGGGGATCCGGGACGACCTCGATGCCCTCGCCGAGAATGGTATCGATTCGGTCGGACAAAGCGCCGCCGTCGCGATCCGTCGTCCAGACCCCGACGGCGAACGAAAAGACGCTCCCTCGCCCCGCGTTCGACGACGCGCACAAGATCCCGCCGTACAGCTCCACGAGCGACTTGGACAGCGCCAGGCCTAAGCCGGTGCCGCCGAACGTGCGGTTCGTCGACCGGTTCGCTTGCTCGAACGGCTCGAAGATTCGAGTCAACACGTCTCGCGTCATGCCGACGCCCGTGTCCTCGACTTCGAAGCGCAGATACTCCTTCCCCTTCGCGCGCTCAAAACGATTCCCTTCGCCGGATTTCAGCAACCGCCGAAGCTCCTTCGAGCTCTGTTTCATCGGCTTGCCGGCGTATTTGTCTCCCGCGGGCACGACGTTCGCGCCCGAGCCTTCGATTATCTTTGCCGCCGCCTCTTCGCTCATCCTCTGACGCATCTCAACCTCGGTCGCGTCCGCGTCGGAGGCGACCGTCACCGTCAACGCGACGCTCCCGACGCGCGTGAACTTGACGCTGTTCGAGATCAGGTTCACGAGGATCTGCTTCAGCTTCAGCGCGTCCGATCGAATCACCTCGGGGACGTCGTCGGCGACGCGAACGTTCAGAGCCAAGCCCTTGCGCGTCGCCTGCGCGCGCATAATCTCCGACGTCTCTTTGACGAGCGATCGCAGCGAGAACGGCGTCTCCTCGAGCTCCATCTTCCCAGCCTCGATCTTCGAAAAGTCGAGCACGTTGTTCACGAGCCGCGCGAGGTGCCCGCCGCTGAGGGCCGTTCCATACGAGCGAATGTCGGGGTGGAGTTCAACGGCGTCAGTTGGAGTTGAAAGGCGTCGAGGACGAAGATTGAAAGCGAGGGGTGGGCGAAGAGATACGCCGGCGAAAGTCCTCAAGGAACGGCGTTCACTACGCCGACGCGGTCGTATGGGAACCAGTGTATAGAACGCACCTGACTTTCATGACTTTGAGCATCTCGGCGACGTTCTCGAACCCGCCGACGTTGCCTCCCCGCTGGTCGCCTCCCTCGATTGCCGTCGCCGCCGCCGCCGCCGCCGCGCGCGTCGCCCCTCCCGCCGTCGGATCGCCGGTCCCCGCCGCGCCCCCGCCCCCGCCCTCGAACGCGAGGAACCCCCTCGACTGCATCTCCGCGCCCAAAATCTCGATCGCGCCCAGCAGCGTGTTGAGCGGCGTTCGAATCTCTGAGGGTCGTTCATAGGGAGGAGTTCATAGGCGTCAGGTGGAGTTGAAAGGCGTCGAGGGCGGGTATTGAAAGCGAGGGGTGGGCGGAGAGATGCGCCGGGAGAAGTCCTTAAGGATCGGCGTTCACCACGCCGACGCGGTCGTATGGGAACCAGTGTATAGAACTCGCCGTGGCTCATGTTCGCGACGAACGTCGTCTTGAGCTGACTCGAATGCTGCAGCGACCGCATGTGCAATCGCGCCTCGTTGCTCTTCCCCAACGCCTTAGCGTGATCGCGCAGGCGCGCGTTGACCTCCTGCATGCGGTTCACCGCGTCGAAGGACTCGCGGTCGAGCTCGAAGAGGGACTGAGGGTCGAGGGTCCATACAAAGCGACGTCGGGGTGGAGTTGAAAGGCGTCAGAAGCGGAGTTGAAAGGCGTCGAGGTGTGTGCGTCGGGATTGAAAGCGAGGGACCCTGGGTGGAGAGATGCGCCGGGCGAAGTCCTTAAGGAATCGCGTTCACCGCGCCAACGGGGTCGTATGGGGACCAGTGTGAGATAGAACGCACGTGCGAGCCGCCGACCATGGCGTAAAAGTGCGTCACGGCCATGAACAAACCGGTGCGGACCACGTCGTTGAAACCGAAGACGCCCTCGTCTAAGATCCCCCGCTCGCTCGCGCGCAGCGCGTACTGCATGTACCGCACGAAGTAAAACGTCGTCAACGCGAGGCTCGCGAGCCCGAACGTCAGGTTCGATCGCCACGGCAGGCAGAACCGCGCGAAGCAGTTGAAGCCCATGCACTGAGGGTCGTTCCATACGAGCGAACGTCGGGGTGGAGTTGAAAGGCGTCAGTTGAAGTTGAAAGGCGCCGAGGGCGGGGATTGAAAGCGAAGGACCCTGAGCGGAGAGACACGCTGGGAGAGAAAGTCCTTAAGGATCGGCGTTCACCACGCCAACGCGGTCGTATGGGGACCAGTGTGAAGGAGAACGCGCCTGGAACGTCAGTCGTCCCACCTCGATCATCCACGCGGGCGCCAGGCTCGACGGAAACGTCGCCGTCGTCGTCGCGAGCAGCGTGTGAAAGCTCATCACCTCGAAGTGCTTCTCGTAAAACTTGGGCGCGCGGCGCAAGACCCACACCTGCGCGAGCGGCGCGAGCGCGCCCCATATCGCGCCGTAGAAGGAACCGAGTCGTCGGTCCGCCACGGCTTTCGCGTCGAAGTACAACGGCGAGCCCGGCGCGAACGTCGACCGTTTCAGTCTGAGCGCGACGCCCGCGCGCACGAGCTCGCGCGCGCCGCCGACGCGGGCGCCCAAGGCGCTGTCGAAGCTCCCGAGGTCCCTCGAGCTGACGTACATGAAGCGCAGCATGTAGTGACAGATGATGATGTGAATCAGCATCTGAGGGTCGAGGGTCCATACAAAGCGAATGTCGGGGTGGAGTTGAAAGGCGTCAGGTGGAGTTGAAAGGCGTCGAGGTGTGTCGGGATTGAAAGCGGGTGGTGGGCGGAGAGATGCGCCGGATGGAAAGTCCTTAAGGATCGGCGTTCACCACGCGAACGCGGTCGTATGGGAACCAGTGTATAGAACGCGCCGTGACCATGCAAAAGTACTCGGTCGATCGCTCGCAATTGCGTATCGCGCGCGCGATGTACGCCGCCTCGAGCGACTTGTTCGCAAAGACGTGGCGGCTGAACAGCGACGCGCGGATCGGCGGCGCGCGCTCGACGACCGCCCCAGGGGGGCCCACGGTGGTTCCGACGCCGTTCCGGTCGTCGCGGTCGTTAGATCGCACGGACCGACCGAAAAATCGCGCGAGAAGCGTTCCGACGACCGCGACCTCGAGGAGGACGATCGGAACCGCGAGCGCGGCGGCGTCCGGCTCGCCCAGGAGGATCGGGAGCAGGAAGCTCAGGCACGCGCGGAAGCCGTACATGGCGACGAGACGACGGCGACCGCGGTCCCCCGCTCCGCGCAGCGCGCGGGGAATAGAATTGTTGTTCGGGCGTATCTGCACTGATATGTCACGTGTTGACCTCGGGGTGTGTAGATTTTATGCGCGTACAGTACGTGTGTACTGTGTGAGATTTTGGCCAGCGCATAAACCACATCCGTACATAATGATACACGGTTTCGTCGTGTCTCGCCGTGGAAATTTTATTCAACAAGACGAAGAACGACAAGACGACAGTTGAATCGTCGCGCCGGGCGCGCGCATCCGCCGGAGAACGGACGCGATGGCGACGGCGCCGCCGCCGCCGGCGGACCACCCCGCGCCGCCGCCACCCCGCGCCGCCGCGCCCTCCTCCTCCTCGCCGCCGCCTCCTCCTCCTCCCCCGCCCGCGCCGGACCGCCCCCCGGGGCCCCCGTCGTTCGCGCACGCGCGAGATCTCGTCGGGCACGCCAAGGCGGTGAGCGCGGCGCGATTCAGGCGCGTTCTATACACTGGTCCCCATACGACCCCGTTCGCGTGGTGAACGCCGATCCTTAAGGACTTTGCCCGGCGTGTCTCTCCGCCCAGGGTCCCTCGCTTTCGATCCCCGCCCTCGACGCCTTTGAACTCCACCTGACGCCTTTGAACTCCACCCCGACAATCGCTTGTATGGAACGACCCTCAGCCCGCGCGGCGACCGCGTCGCGACCGCGAGCGCGGACAAGACCATCAAGATCTGGTCCGCGCTCGACGGCGCGTGCCTCCTGACGCTCGTCGGGCACGAGAAGGGCTGCAGCGACGTGTGCTGGAGCGCGTGCGGGCGCTACGTCGCGAGCGCCTCAGGTGCGTTCTATACACTGGTCCCCATACGACCGCGTTCGCGTGGTGAACGCCGATCCTTAAGGACTTTGCCCGTCGTCTCTCTCCGCCCACCCCTCGCTTTCAATCCCCGCCCTCGACACCTTTCAACTCCACCTGACGCCTATGAACTCCACCCCGCCATCGCTTTGTATGGAACGACCCTCAGACGACAAGAACGCGCATCTCTGGCGCGTTGACGACGACGACGACGAAGACGACGGCGACGGCGACGGCGACGGCGACGGCGAGGGCGGCGACGCGGCGGCGTCGTCGCGGTGCGTCAGAGTCTTCGCGGGGCACACGTCGCACGTTTTCTGCGTGGACCTGAACAGCCCGAAGTGCAACCTCCTCGCGACGGGCAGCGCGGATGAGACAGTGAGGCTGTGGTAGGGTTTTTCTTTGCTCTCCCCTCGCGTTATGACTTGACAAACTACTCGGGCGTGTGCGTGTCTGATTGTTTTTTTGTGCGGGTGACTCTAACCTTTGGGACGTCGTCCACGGGACGTGCGTCAACGTGTTACCCGCGCACTCGGGTGCGCGCGTGATTCACACTGGTTCCCATACGACCACGTTCGCGTCGTGAACTTAATTCCTTGAGGACTTTGACTGACGCGCCTCCTCGTTTTCCTTCGACCCTCAGACCCGGTGACGGGGGTAAAGTTTTCGCACGACGGCGAGACGCTCGCGACGACGTCGTACGACGGCCTGTGCCGCCTGTGGAGCGTCGCGACCGGGGCGTGCCTGAAGACGCTCACGCTGAGCGTCGGCGTCGGCGGTCGCGGCGTGAGCGGGGACGGGGACGGGGACGGGGGCGGGGACGAAAAAAAAAGAGGCGGGAAAAACCAAAGCCGCGTCGTCCCGGGGACCTTCGCGCGCTGGACGCCGAACGATAAGCACCTGCTCGTGGGGACGCTGGACTCGAAGATTCGGCTGTGGGACGTTCGCAGAGGAAAGCCGGTGCGGACGTACGCGAGCGAGACGCACGTCGGGAGGAAGTACTGCTCCGTCGCGGCGATCGGGGTGGTCGTCGTGGGACGCGGCGGCGAACCGTCGTCGTCGTCGTCGACTTCTTCTTCCCCGGCGGCGTGTTACGTCATCGCCGGGTCCGAGGACGGCGGCGTCAGCGTGTTTGATCTGCAGAGCTCGACGCCGGTCGCGCGGATCGAGCCGCGGTTCGCGCCGAGGGTAGATACTCATACGACGACGAAGAAGCGCGCGCGGGGCGAAGGGACGGAGGACGAGGTTACGGGGGTTGAAGGGACGGAGAACGTCGACCCGATGGACGCGAAGGATGAAACGGTCGATGAGGACGCGTTACGGGAGGATCCGGAGGAGATCAACCCGCGCGGTCACGTCGACGCGGTGATCTGCGTCGACTTCGCCGGGCGCGTCGGCGGCGGCGGCGGCGGCGACGACGCGGGGGGGACCTACGCGTTGGCGACGGCGGCGCTGGAGAAGGACAAGACCGCGAAGCTGTGGCTGTGGCGGTGACGCGGCGGTGACGTGGCGGTGACGTGGCAGTGACGCGACGCCGCGCGATAGTCTTCTCTCTTCTACTACGTCTAGATTCCCCCCCCCCCCCGCGCGCGCGCGCGGCGTGCCTACGACGCCGCGTCGGTTGACGTTCCGTCTTCTCCCGCCGACGCCTCGAGGTCGCTGGAGTTGAAAGGCGTCAGGCGGAGTTGAAAGGCGTCATAGGGTCGGAGATTGAAAGCGAGGGACCCTGGGCGGGGAGAGACGACGGCAAAAGTCCTTAAGGATCGGCGTTCACCACGCGAACGCGGTCGTATGGGGACCGGTGTGATACTAGAACGCACCCCTCGGCCTCCTCGGCCTCCTTCGCCGCCGTCTCGTCGGCCTTCTCCGTCGCCTCTCGCTCTTCGCGGCTCGGCGTCGGCGGCCCGCTCTTCGTCGCGTACACCCCCGATACGATCCCCGGCGCGCGCTCGTAGCTCGCGCGCGTCGCGAACACAAACTCGTTCTGATGCCCGCCCTCGAGCTGAATCTCGATCGTCTCTCGCCGCTTCTCGTCCTCTGAGGGTCGAGGAATTGTCCATACAAAGCGAAGTCGGGGTGGAGTTCAAAGGCGTCAGTCGGAGTTGAAAGGCGTCGAGGGCGGGTATTGAAAGCGAGGGACCCTGGGTGGAGAGATGCGCCGGGCAAAGTCCTTAAGGAATCGCGTTCACCACGCCGACGGGGTCGTATGGGGACCAGTGTGAGATAGAACGCGCCTGAGACGTCGACGGCGCGACAGAGCGCGTCGCACCACTTTTCGAATTTCGGTCGAAGGTGCGACCGCGGCGGACCGCACCATCGGTTCCCTCTCCACTTCCCCTGCGCGCACACCTCGCGCGTCTCGATGACGTGTTCGCTCCCGGCGATCGTCCATCGGTCGTGCGTGTACGTGTGGTTCCACTCGGGGAGGCAGCACGGCTTAAGGACGAGCGTCGCCGCCGTGCGGTGGCAGTTGAACATCTCGATCGCCTGGACGACGACGACGCGGGACGAGACGACGCGATTGGTCAGACGCGTTGACGTGGAAGAATGAGAGATGACGTGGCGCGGTGTGATTGGATTGGATTGGATTGGACGAGCGAGCGGTCGGCGGAGAGAGACGACGGCGAAAGTCCTTAAGGATCGGCGTTCACCACGCCGACGCGGTCGTATGGGAACCAGTGTGAGATAGAACCTTGAGAGATAACGTCCCGCAGAGGTGGACCCCCAACACGACGAACGGGCCGTCGCGCTTCGCGAACAGGTGCCTCTCCATCTGCCGCAGCTGCGACGCCTGCTTGATGTCGATCTTCCGCGTGGTGATCTCGATCGGGTACGACGGCGTCCAGTCGACCGTCGCCGCCGCGTCCTCTTCGTCGTTCGCGTTCGCGTTCGCGTCGGCGGCGTCGGCGTTTGCGTTTGGGCCGTTCTATACAAGCGAATGTCGGGGTGGAGTTGAAAGGCGTCAGTTGGCGTTGAAAGGCGCCGAGGGCGGGGATTGAAAGCGAGGGACCCTGGGCGGAGAGAGACGCCGGGCAAAGTCCTTAAGGATCGGCGTTCACCACGCCGACGCGGTCGTATGGGAACCAGTGTATAGAACGCACCTTTTTCTTCCCGCCGCGATCGCGACGACGATCACCGCCGAGCTCCGACGCCCTCACGCCTTCGACGCCTCTGATGTGGTCCCAGTTGATCTGCGACGCGGTCGGCCTCGCCGCCGTCCACATCGGCCACTGCTTGTCCACGAGCTCGATCGCTTTCACTTTGCTCGGGTCTAGCATCTCGCTCAGAAACATCCCGAGGTAGCCGAACCCGCTGCACAGGTCGACGATCGTCGCGCGGTCGTCCACGACTTCCCCGCGTCTCACCGCGTCCGCGTCCACGCTCGGCATCGCGCTCGTCACGTCCATCGCGTGCTGAATCGCGGGCGCGCACTCGTTGAGCTCCTTCGCGACGCGACCGGAGCCGACCACGCGCGACCACGCGCTCTTAGGGTCGTTCCATACGAGCGAATGTCGGGGTGGAGTTGAAAGGCGTCAGTCGGAGTTGAAAGGCGTCGCGGGCGGGGATTGAAACCGTGGGGTGGGCGGAGAGATGCGCCGGCGAAAGTCCTTAAGGATCGGCGTCCACCTCGCGAACGGGGTCGTATGGGGACTAGTGTATAGAACGCACCTTAGGGAACTCGTCGCGCCATCGCGCGAGGATCACGAGCGCGTCATCGAGGATGTGGGGGTAGTTGCGCGCGATCTGAAGACCGCGGAGCTCCGTCTCGAGCCACGCGATCGTGTCCTCCCACTCCGGCGACGTCTTCGCGGCGGTCGATCCTCCGCGCGACGACGACGACGACGCGGCCTCTCTCGGGCCGCCGGCGACGAACGGCGCGTCGTCGTCGTTCGCGTCGACGTCGTCGCCGTCGCCGTCGCCGCACTTTTTCTTCCGCCACGCGTCGTCGTGCCTCTCGCGCGCGCGCCGCCCGCTCCCGCGCTTGTGCTTCCCGACGTCGCTTCGCTTCGAGGTCGTCGTCGCGACGTCGACGACGTCCTTCTCGCGCGGCGTCATCGGGTCTGTCCGAGGCTAACAAGGAGAACGGCGGCGATGAGAAAAGTTCATCGGTCGGTTGAAAGAGGGCACGATCAAATATTGAAACCGAGGGGTGGGTGAAAAACTTTCATTCATCGCAGTGCCTCGCGAACGCCGTGCCGTAGTGTGTCATCATCCAGCTCCGTCGTCCAGCTCAGCGATAAGGATGCGCCGCGTCGCCCGCTCGCACACCCCCCCGCGCGCTCGCACGTCGTCACGATGTCTCACGCGGCGATCACGTCCTCCACGTCCGCGTTCGTCGGTGCGTCCTCCGCGCGATCGCGTCGCGCGCGCCGCGTCGGTCCCCCGCGCCGCGCGCTCGCCCGCGCGGGATCTCCACCCAGCCGACCGCTCCCCCTCCACGTTTTTCCTCTTCCGATCTATCGTCGCGTCGTTCGATCGATCGATCGATCGTCCCGCTCACCCCCCGTCCATCCCTCCTCCTCCTCCTCATCCTCCCGCAGGCCAAAGCGTCCGCGTCGCGACGCCCGCGCGCGCGCTCAGACCGCGCGCCGCCGCATCGCTCGCGACCCCGTGCGTCGCGAAGCTCGAGAAGGGCGACAAGGTCAAGGTGACGTCGAGCGTGACCGTGTATCACGTGTTGGGAATGAAAGGCGCGGCGGTGGACCTGAACGGGATGGAGGGCGAGGTGCACTCGCGCGCGGACGACCTGGACGGCGTGTACATCAGCGCGAACTTGGAGGTGAAGATTCAGTTCCCGATCCCGGGCAACGACAAGGGGAAGATGTTCATCGCGCACATGAAAGAGGACGAGGTGGAAAAGGTGTGACGATGATGATTTAGGTGCGTTCTATCTCACACTAGTTCCCATACGACCGCGTCGGCGTGGTGAACGCCGATCCTTAAGGACTTTTCCCGGCGCATCTCTCCGCCCAGGGTCCCTCGCTTTCAATCCCCGCCTTCGACGCCTTTCAACTTCAACTGACGCCTTTCAACTCCGCCCCGACTTTCGCCTGTATAGAACGGCCCTGAATGACGATGGATGCGGTTTGGCGTGGTGTTTTTTCGGCGCACAGCTGTGACGCGCGCGGCGGGCGAGGGTAGAGAGAGGAAGAGGAGCGCGCGCGAGGGCGACGCGTCGTTCGCGCGCGATGGGCCGAGACTTCCGCGCGCGTGTAATGGAGATGGATTTTTTTTTCTTCGATCGCTCGCTCGACCGTCGAGAGGCGTCGCCGGCGGCGGCGTCTCCGTCTCGCCCCCCGCGGAAGGCCCGCACGCGCGGTCGGTCATCAGACGATATGAACTCAACTCGGCGTTTTTCTCGACTTGACTCCTCGCGCTCGTCGACCACGTCGCGCGCCACTCGCGTCCTCGCGCGGACCGATCGTCGCACGAAGGCTCGAGCACCGCATCGCTCTCGCACACCGTCATGGCCGCCACCACGGCCGCGCCTCGCGCGATGGTCGCCGCGCGCGTCGTCCGCGCGCGCGCGTCCGGCGCGTCCTCGCGCGCCGTCGCCTCCTCCGCGCGATCTTCTGTGCCGACGGCGGCGACGCGAAACGCGCCGCGCGCGTCGCCGGCGGCGCGAATCGCGCCGCGGTCGCGCGCGGCGCCTCGCGCCGCGCTCCTGGGCGACCAAGAGGTGCGCGAGGAGCCACCTATTCGCGTCGTTCGCACCGCGCGTCTCTCCCTCCGCGATGCCGCGCGACGTCCGCGCCTCGATGCGATCGCCGCGGACAGATATTATTTTGGCGGCAAAAAGAGCGCGCGGCGAGATTCGAGCGATGAAGCGATCGATCGTCCGCCGCGCGAACGAATCGCGATCGCGGCTCGCGCGCCGTGAACCGTCGACGCCTTTGAACTCCACCCCTCGACGAACCCTAAACCCTAACCCGCCAACCTACACCGCCGCAGGACAAAGACCTGTGGGACGAGCTCGAGCAAGAAGCGATCGCGCTCGCGGGCAACGACGAGCGGCTGTGGCAAAAGGTGCAGGCGCTGCCCGGGAAAAACAACGCGCAGCCCAAGGCGATTCCCACGAAGCAACAACAGGAGCTCGAGGAAGACCTCTTCGGCGCCAGCGCGGAGTTCGCCGCGAAGTCGCTGCAGATACAAAAGGCGGACTTCACGGTGAACAGCATCATCGACAAGATCAATCGCAACAAGGTGAACCTGCGGCCGTCGTATCAGAGGGAATACGTGTGGACGGTTCGCACCGCTTCCAAGCTCGTGGAGTCGCTCATGCTCAACATCCCGATCCCGACGATGTTCTTCCACGAGGTCGACGGCGGGTGCCTCGAGGTCGTGGACGGGAAGCAGCGGCTGACGTCCGTGTGGAGCTTCATCCAGGGCGAGTTCCCGGACGGCACTAAGTTCAAGCTGAAGGGGCTGGAAGTGTTCGACGAGCTCAACGGCAAGACGTTCGAAGACCTCCCGGAGGAACTCAAAGAACGCATCCTCGACCACCCGCTCAACGTGCACACCATCTCGCGGCAGTCGCAGCCGGACTTTGTTTTCGAAGTGTTCGAGCGTCTCAACATGGGCGCGACGCAGCTCAACGAGCAAGAGCTCCGGAACTGCATCTACCAAGGGTTGTACACGGATCTCCTCTGCGAGCTCGCGGAGGACGAGCACCTGCTGTCGTGCTACCGGTCGAACCAGCCGCACTTGCGCATGAAGGACCGCGAGCTCATCCTGCGCTTCTTCGCGATGCAGCGCACGACCCCGAGCGGGTTCAGCTCGCCGATCAAGTCGTGGCTGAACGAGGAGATCCGCGAGAACAAGGACATGACGCCGCAGGAGGCGAAGGAGATGGCGGCGACGTTTCGCGGCGCGATCAAGATCGCGTGGGAGGTGTTCGGGGAGTGCGCGTTTCGACCGGTGGCGCCGGTGAAGAAGGGCAAGGGCCCGAGCGAGGCCGACGTGAGCGGGATCTTCTACCGCGACTTTTTCGAGAACGGCGAGATCAACGTCGCGCTGTGGGACACGGTGATGTACGCGTTCGCCGGGCGGAGCGAGAAGGAGGTGTTGCCGCGCCGAGAAAAGGTGCTCGCTGCGTTTATCAAGCTCGCGGGGTCGCCGACGTTCAAGCGGCTGCTCGTGTCGCAGCCCAAGGCGGTGGAGGCGAGGGCGGAGGCGTGGGGGACGATCGTCGACAGCATCTGCGGCGAGAGGGCATCTGGCGCGAAAGCGGCCGCCGCGAAAGGGGGGAAGAAGTCGAGAGGGTGAGACGAACGAACGAGTTCTGCGAGTTCTGCGAGTTCTGTCGATCGCGTCGTTCGTTTCTTCACCTGAATGATGACAGGAAGAGTACGTTGTAAAACAAACCAACCGGCGTCGTTATCATCATCGCGTCGCCTCGACGCCTCCCCTCGCGCTGCATGCAGCGCGCCTCGCCTTCATCACTCCTCGCCGGCTCCGACGGCGACGCGCGCGACGTTCCGCAAGTGCCCCAGCTTCAGCTTCGGCGCGCGCGTCTTCGCCGTCTCCACGTCCGCGTCGCTCATCCCCGCGAGCTCCCCGACCGTCGTCACCCCCAACGACGCCAACGCCGCCACCGACGCCGCGCCGACGCCGCGCAACCCCCCAGGGAGCGCGTCCCCCGGATCGCGTCTCGGCTGCCGCGCGGCCGCCGCGCGCCCGCCCTCGCTCGCGGCTCGAAGCGACGCGGAGGGACGCGAGGCGAGCGCCGCGTCGTTCGCGGAGCCCGGCGCGCTGACGCGGACGCGGCGGCGTCGGACGGGGGACGTCGACGCGTCGACGTCGACGCGCGTCACCGTCGCGGAGGTGCCCTTGTTGTTGTTCTGCGGCGGAAGCGGCGGCGCGAGTCGTCGTCGCGCCGGGCGCGGCGGGAGCGGCTGCACGATCCCTCGAGGCGCCGCGCGCGCGTTCGACCGCCGCGTCGCCGCGAGCGACGCGGGCTTGTCGTTGTTCGCCGCGCCGGAGTTCCGCGAGAGACGCGGCCGCGGCGCGCGCTCGCGAACGGGCTCGCGTCGCCACGCGGACGCGTCGCCGCGTCCGGATCCGGATCCGGATCCGCGCGCCTCCATGTTCATCCCGTACGGCGCGACGTCCGCGTTCGCGGCGGCTGCGGCGCCCCGCCCCGGTCGCCACGTCCCGGGCATAGAATCTCTCGCGATGCGCGCCTCGCGCGTTCGCTGGATCTCGTCCGCGGTCTCTCTGTACGTCGACGCTCGCGAGGAAGCGCCGCCGCCCGCGCGAGGCATGTCGGGCTCGCCCAGCCTCCGCGTCGTCACCTGGAAGTCCCCCCCCACCGCGCCGTCGCCTTCGCCGTCGCCGTCGCCGAAGTCCAACCCGGAGACGAGGTCGTCGAAGTCGACGCTGCTTCGCGACGGTCCGTCGCGCGAACCGACGAATTCGTCGTCGTCGTCGTCTTCGCCGCCGCCGTGCTCGTTCTTCTCGCCCTCCGTTCGCTTCGTGAGCATCACCCCGCCCGGGACCTGCGCAGGGTGGAGTTCATAGGCGTCAGGGGTGGAGTTCATAGGCGTCAGAAGCGGAGTTGAAAGGCGTCGCGGTCGGGCGTTGAACGCGAGGGATGGGCGGAGAGATGCGCGGGCGAAAGTCCTTAAGGATCGGCGTTCACCACGCCAACGCGGTCGTATGGAGATCAGTGTGAGATAGAACCTGCGACGCGTCCTTGACGGACAGACCAGCCTCGTCGTAGAGTAAGCCGGCCATGTACTCGCACTGGTCCGACTGCTTCGATTCGTACTTCGACGGCCAGTCGTACCACGGCACGGAGACGACCTGGAACGGCGGCGAGGAGGGAGGGAGGGAGGGAGCGGCGGCGCGCTTCGTCAGTCGGCGGCGGGAAGAGCGTTCGTTCGTTTTTGAAGACACCGCGAGGAAGGAACCGAGAAAGAATCGCTCAGCCTTAGATGTTCTGTTTTTGAAAGCTTCACGCGCGCTCGCGGTAAGCGAGGTCGCAATTAGCCTCGGATGAGTTGGCATCACCGCGACGACGAGACGAGCGGCTCCGGTCCGGTCCGGTCCGGTCGCGAAAAGAGAGAAAAGAGAGAAAAGAGAGAAAAGAGAGAAGAAAAAAACGAAAAACGAGAGCGCACCGTCCACCCTTTGCTCTGCATGAGCGCCGCCCTCAGCAAGTCCGCGCCCATCCGCTCGCGTCGCTTGTTCGCGAAGAAGTGCGACGGTCCGTCCACCTCGATCGCCACCTTCCTCCCCCTCAGCGCGATGTCCACGCTGAACAGTCCGTCCGACGTCAAGAATTCGATCTCGTGCGGTATCCCCATCCTCGTCAGCGTCTCGCTCACGTCTCTGTGAATCGCGCTGATGGTGAGGTTGCCCGCGCTCACCTCCATCCACGCCCTCTCGCACGAGCGCAGCATCTCCCCGGACAGCAGCTCGCCGTCGTGATTGGAGAACTGCTTCAGCGCGAGGTGCGACTGGAACAGCTGCACGCGATCGATCTTCGAAAAGTCCTCGTCTCGCGTCTTCGAGATTCTCTCCGCGTAGAGCCGAAGCAGCGCCGGCGGCGGATATTTCGCGCCGTCGAGCACCACCCACGCCCACACCGTGTTCGCGACGCCCTGCGGCGCGTAGACGGATATGAAGTCCGCGCATCGCCGCGCGAGCGCGTCCAGGAGCTGCGCGCCCGGGTTGTGGTTCAGGTTGGCGTACGTGAAGAGGACGTTGGAGACGCCTTGGTCGTTGAAGTCGCCGAGCGTCGACGAGACGACGGCGTCGAACGCGGCGAAGAACTCCTCGCTGGGCTTGTATTTCAGCACCCCGAACGCCCATATCAGGTTCGACAGCGAGTTCGACGCGGGCGTGACCGACCCGGGCTCGCCCACGTCCGCGCTGCGGAAGGCTCGCGCGCAGAGATCTTCGACGCGATCCATCGTCGCGCGGCCGGGGAGATGTTCAAACTGCGCGAACGAGTACATCATGTTGGCCAGCGTCTGGACGTGCAGGTCCTCGTCCGTCAGCGTCAGCATGCGCTCGCCGACGACGGCGAGGCACTCGGGACCCGGGTACGTCTTGAGCACGTGGAACGCCCAGAGGATGTTCGCGAGCTCGGTGACGATGTAGGTGTGGCCGCTTCGCTTCCACGCTTCGCGCATCTTATCCATGAGCTCGTCCCCCGGGTGGTGGCCGTTGCACGCGAACCCCCAGATCGTGTTCGTCATCCCTTGCGGCGTGAACGTGTGAAACTTATCGCACGACACGCTCGCGAGCGCGTCCATGAGTCGCGGGGACAGCGTCACGACGTCAGGCGCGTTCCCCGCGGCCCACAGCGTGTTGGCGACGCTCTGCGACGAAAACGTGTCGGGGTCCGACGCGATGGATCGACACATCGCGTCGTCCAGCGCGACCATCACCTCCCTGGGCAACCCCCCCGAGAGCCCCGAGAGGTTCATGGACGCGATCGCCCAGACGATGTTCGAGAGCTCCATCGACTTGAACCCGCTCGCGAGCCGAACGATGCCGTCGCCGAACCTCGAGACGGTGTCCGGCCGCAGCTCTAGCCCTTTGTTCTTGTTCAACGACGCGAACCCCCAGATGCAGTTCGAGACGCCCTGCGGGATGAACTCGTCCATCTTGACGCGCACGAGCTCCTCCAGACGTGCGAGCATCGCCATCGGGAGGTACTCGTCGCCGTCCATGTGCATCGTCGCGAGCGCCCACACGCTGTTGGAGACGTTCTGAGGGTCGAGGAATTGTCCATACAAAGCGACGTCGGGGTGGAGTTCATAGGCGTCAGTCGGAGTTGAAAGGCGTCGAGGGCGGGTATTGAAAGCGAGGGGTGATGGGCGGAGAGATGCGCCGGGAAAAGTCCTTAAGAAACGACGTTCACCACGCGGACGGGGTCGTATGGGAACCAGTGTGAGATAGAACGCGCCTGACACTGCCACGCGCTCGACTCGAAGTCTTGCATGATCTGCAGCAACGTCGGCAACATCTCCGGCGCGTGCGGCGACTCCGTGAGGCTCTGCAGCGTGCATCCGCAGTTCGCGAGCCCCCACAGGATGCTCGAGCACTCTCTGACGCCGAAGATCCCGTGCCCGCTCTCGAGCGGCGGCGGGTTCTCGCGATGCAGCCTCAACTCCGACGCGAGCGCGATCTGAAGCTTCACGAACCGCGCGTCTCGCGCGAGCGGGACGTACGCGGTCGCCCCCGGCCCGGTCGTCGCCGCGCCCCTCTTCTCTAGGTATCGTCGCTGCTTCGCGTTAGGCCGGTTCGCCTTGTTCAGGCGTCCGAGCCGGTGAAACACCGTGCTGTAGTTGATCGGGGTGAACGCCGGCGCGCGAAGGTCCCCGACGTTCTCGTCGATCAGATTGAGGACGTCGTCGATCGTCTCCGCGGCGAGTATCTTGACGTTGGCGACTTTGCTCGTCTCGATGCGCTTCCGACCCGCCGCGCTCGGCGGCGGGAGTTTAGGGTTTTGATCTCTCCGTCCGCCGGACCCCGCGCCCGCCCCGGCGCCGCCGCCGGCTCCGGCTCTGGAGCCGGCTCCGCCGCGGCCGCCGCCGCCGCCGCGGCCGCGGTCGAGCTGTCTCCCGCCGCGCCAGTAATCCCCCTGCCCGCCGTCGCGGTCCGCGCCGCCGCGAACTCTCCCCCCCCCCCCGCCGCCGCCGCCGCGCTGCTGCCGCCGCTCCCTCTTGCGCTTGAAGTACCGCTCCTGCTCGTACTCCCTGATCTCCTCCGCCGTGCAGTTCTTCCTCTGCAGCTTTCGTCCGTCCACGAGCTTGATCCACCTCTCCGCGTCCTCGGTCTTCTCCGCCTTCCGTCGCGCGCCGTAGCCGCCGGCGGCGTCTTCTCCTCCTCCTCCCGCGGCGTTATCGTCGGGCGCGGCGGCGGCGGCGGCGGCGCGGACGGCCACGGCCCAACGCGCGACGCGATGCGCGCCGGACGATTCGTCGTCGCGACGATGGCGTCGACGAAGACGCGACGAGAGCGCCGGGGAGATCACGACGCGGAGGCGCGCGGCGACGACGCCGAAGCGCGCGAGGCGCGACGACGACGCGCGCGTCGAGGCGCAGCATCGCGGCGCGATCGCGCGCGGCGTCGTCGCCGAGGGCGACGCGGCCGTCGGCGGCGGCGTCGTCATCATCGTCGTCGTCGCGATTATATTTTTATCGACGCCGCCCCTCGATCGATCCAATCGGGGGCCCGCGCGCGCGCGTTCCCCCTCGCGCGAGGTCGCCCCTTCGCCGTTCGCGCTCGCGGCGACCGCTCGCTCGCCTCGCGCGCGTGGTGCCGCACTCGCCTCCGCGCGGCGCGCAACGAGCGCGGACGCGCGCGACGACGAGCGGAAGAGGCCGAGAATCCGTCGGCGCCGGCAGCGCGCGCTTTCCGCGGCTGGGTTTTATCGTGAGCGTGATCTCGCTGACGAACACTGATCTCTACGCACGTGGTGTCGAACGACGGGAGGGTGAGTCTCTTCGCGACAAACGCCAGTCGTCCTCGAAGTACAAATCAAATCGCGCGCGTCGCGTCACGCTTCCCCTCGACCGCCATCGTCCCCGTCCCACCGCGGGAGCGCGCTCGACGCGCCCGCGCCCGCTCTCCCGCTCTATCGATCCCTCGCCCCGCCCCCGCCGCCGCCGCCGCCGCCGCAAATCTAAAATCATCCAAACCAAAAAAAGTCATCCCCTCCTCAGCCTCCTCCTCCTCCTCCTCCAACCTCTTACCCCGTCTCGTCAGTACGACTCCGAGTTCTTGTTCTCGATATCGCGCCGGGTGAGGTGGTACGTCAGCGCGTTCGTCACGAGCTCGATCATGCTCTTGTTCAGCGCGCCGCCCTGGTACGTCACGTAGACGATGTCGTACGCCTTGGGACCGATCGTGTCGATCTCCGCCGAGATGACGTTGAGAGATAGATCCTTCAACGTCGCGACGATGTCGACGAGGAGCCCCGGTCGGTCGGTCGTCGTGATGATCAGCTTGCTCTGCCGCGCCCCCGACGTGTTATCGACGACGACGGACGTCTTCACCGCGGGCGCGACGCGCGCGCCGAGCGGGTTCGCGTCCGCGTCGCGGTCGCCCGGCATCTCGATGTGCTGGTCGACGAGGGTCGAGGGTAGAGTTGAAAGGGCGGAGTTGAAAGGCGTCAGAAGCGGAGTTGAAAGGCGTAATATTCGCGGTGCGTCGGGGTCGAAAGCGAGGGGTGGCGCGCGGAGAGAAACGCAACGCGCGCCGGGAGAGAAAGTCCTTAAGGGATGAAGTTCACAACGCGAACGCCGTCGTATGGGGACCAGTGTGGTAACAGAACGCGCCTGCCCCTCGACGAGGTAATCCGCCGCCTCCGGGTGATACTGCAGCATGTTGTTGATGATCGTCATGCGGATGAGCTCCAGGGTCTTGCTCTTCGTGATCTTCTCGCTCGTCCGCGCGTCCGTGATGTAAAACTTGTTCACGCCGCTCTCCGTCGTGTCGCTCACCTCGGCGCGGACGATGTTGAGGCCGAGCGATTTGAGCGACGCGGCGGTGTCGAGGAGCTGTCCGAGGACGTCTCCGAACGCGACGGTGACGACGGTCGCGAGGGGGTCCTGCGGGTGGTTTTGGGGGGGGGAGGGGGTTTAGGGTTTAGGGTTTAGAGGGTTTGGACTCGCGCGGGGTTCGGTGCGGCGGCGGGCGCAGACTGAGAGACCGCGCCGCCGCCTCATTGATGTGATTTTTTTCCAGCCGGCGAGATTTCGTTCCAAACCGAACGAACGTGGTCTCGCGGGAGGACGCGCCTCGGTGTTGTTGATGATGACCGCGGGGAGACCTTCTTTGAAGAAGTTCTCCTCCTTCTTCGCGCCCTCCTCCGTCGCCGTCGCGCGGAGCTGGCGGGCCGCGAAAGCGCGTCTCGTCTTCGCCGGCGCGGATCTGCGGGGGAGGCGTGGATAGAGGCGACCGCGCCGCGACGCTCATCAGAAAAAGGCAGGGTTTTGGAAAAGAAAAGTGTCGTTGTATGCGACGGGAGAGAGGCGGACGATTTCGCTTTTGGGGGAGAGAAATATCAACGCGCGCGCGCGCCCCTCGACGCGCCGCGGCCGCCTCCGCGCCGTCGCGACGTCGACGGAGACTCCTGGGGGCGCGCTCGAGGGCGCGGCGCGAGAGGCGCGGCGCGGCCGCCGCCGTCGCGCGCGGAGCGACGCGACGAGCGAGACGACCGACGACGACGCGAGAATAAAAGCGACGGTCGTCGCGAGGGAGGGGGCGCGCGCGCGCCGAGCCGAGAGACGACGCGCGACCGGGGACGGATCGGATCGGCGGAGGACGCACCCGCGCGAAAGGCGCGTCGCGACGGACGCGAGTGAGGCAACGGCGGACATCACGACGAAGCGGGTGTTGATGCGCTCCGACGCGGGCGGTAGGTTCTGCCTCGATCGAACGCTGCGCTGCTGCTGCGTATCGTCTCGTCGCGCGCGTCTACTACTCGCGTACTACTCGCGTACTACGTACGAAACGATGCTTCTGACTGTTTGCTCGTGCCGTATCGCCACCAAATCTCCGGTCGCGCCCGCGAAATCAGTGCGTTTGCGCATACGCGCGCGTCCGAGTGCTGAGTCACAAAAAAAATCCAGCTCGCGCGCAAATCCCAAAAAAATCGGGAATTTTACGGTTAAAATTCTGGCAGCGCTTTTAGTCAGGACAACACGTATCGTACTACGAAATTGCTATGGAAAGCTGAATAAAAGGTGCCAGCGCATCATCCCATCACCCATTCCACCGGACCCCGTCCGTCGCCTCAAAAGCGACGGCTCTCCATCGCGCTCTCTTCCGCGCCGCTTAACCTTAACAAACTCTCTCACGTCGACGTCATGACCGTCGGCTCGATGCTCGCGAGGAACCACAACGTCCTCGCCAAGGCGTGCCTCGGCGGAGGCTTCGCGTACGGGTTCGCGTACACGAACACGCACGGCTCGTCGCCGCTGAAAGACGCGGCGGTCACCGCGGGTGCGCGCGATCGATTTCCTCCCTCGCGCGTTTCGAACGGATCAGTCAGACGCGCGCGTCGCGAACGACGCGCCCGGGGACGCGCGCGTCGTTCGCGACGCGCGCGATACGCCGTTCCCGGAGCTGTCCTTCGGCGGTGTAATTGTTGCTTTTTCCTTCCCGTATTTTTTTTCCCCGCGGAAAGAGACGCTGACGCGGCGATTCCTCCTCCCCCTCCCGCGCGCCAGGCCTCGAGGACGCGAACCAGCAGACGACGTTCACGATCCGCACGTCGCACGCGGATCCGTAGACGCGATCCGCGGCTCTCTTGTACCAAAACTATAGCACTAGGGGGGGGGGTAGGTTCGCGCCCCGACCGACGGGCGAGAGACGCCGGCTTCCAGGGTCGTTGCTTTTTACCTCATCATGGCGTGTGCCAGCTGGAGGCTAACTGGACCGGCGGCGGCGGCGGAGCGAACGAACGAACGAACCGTCCCGCGAGAGCGTGAGCGGTCGACGCGCGGCGAATACCGCGCGCGTCGACGGCACGACCGCGGACGCGAACGACGACGCGAACGGACGAGGCGACGCGGGACCCAGTGGACGGGGGGGGGGCCGGGCGTCGACGACGCGCACCAAAAATTCATCATTCATTCATCATCACGTGTTTCGAAGAATTGACGACTAGTCTGTACCAAACGCAGAAGGAACGAACGAACGAGAAAGAAAGACGTGTACCAACACACATGTTGTAACATTACGTCAGTACATCACGTCAAACGAACACTCTGCGCTACCGCGTCGCGTCGTTCGCCTCCGCCGTCGGAGGAGGAGGTTCGCCTTCTTCTTCTTCGTTTTCCCAGCCATCTTCGCCTTCGCCTTCGCCGCCTCCGTCGCGTCGTTTCTTCAACTTCGCGACCGCGCCTCGCGCGAACCGCGCGACGGCGTCGACGCCCTCCCCGCAGTAGTTCCTCTCCCGCGTCATCACCGCGCACACGAACGCGAACGACCCGGAGAGCGTCAGCCAGCACGTCCACCACCATTCCTCCCCCAACGCAAGCACCGTCACGCTCACGATCAACTGCGCGACTTGCATCGGCGATCCGAACCGAAGAAAGTCCGCGAAGACGTACCCGCCCGGGCCGTACACCATGAGGTTCGTCTGGTACCCGAACGGCGACATGAAACTCGCGCTCGCGGCGAGCATGACGCAGAACGCGATCTTCAAAAGCGACTCGCCCTGCATCTCGGCGGCTTCCGCGGCGATCGGAAACATCAACGCCGCCGCCGCGTTGTTCGTGACGACGTTGCTGATGAGAAACGTCGCGAGGTACACCGCGACGAGGAGGCCGACGTAGCCGGTCCCGGACGCGGTCGCCGCGTCCACGAGCTTGTTCGCCACCGCGCTCGCGACGCCGCTGTTTTGAAGCGCTTTGCTGATCCCGAACGCGGCGGCGATGGTGACGATGACGTCCCACTTGATGGCGTCTCGCGCTTCTTGCTCTGCGGGGCGTTTGATTGGTAGGCGACGCGGCGGGAGGTGATGTGATTGGTTAGTAATTTGATGACCCGTGTGGATGTTGTGGCATTGGACGACAGAGAGCGACGGAGAGAAACGAACGCCGGGGGGAGAGAAAGTCCGTCAGCCCGTCCTCGAGGAACGGCGTTCATCACCGCGCCGACGCGGTCGCGGCACGGGAACCGGCGCGTGAGTAATGAAAACGACACGTACCCGACAGCGCGCCGACGCACATCATGATCCCCGCGGCGAACAGCGCGGCGACGATCAGCTCGGTGAGCCCCGCGGTGTACGAGATGATCATCGCCACCGCGATGAAGAGCACCGGCACGAGCAGCCGCAAGCGCGGCGGCGCGGAGTCTTCGAGCACGGACACGAGCGCGAACCCGCTGCCGCCGTGCGACGCCTCTCGGTGAAAATCCGGCCCCGCGTCGAGGAGGAGGACGTCTCCGGGATGTAACACGACGTCGCCGATTCTCGCGTGCACGCGCACGCCCTCGCGGTGAACGGCCAACACGACGGCGTTATACCGCGTGCGGAATTTGATGTCGCGGATGGACTTGCCGACGAGCGGGCCCGTCTTCGCGACGACGGCTTGGATGAGCCGGCGTTCTTGCTCGTTGGCGTTCATCTTAGGGTCGTTCCGTACAAGCGAACGTCGGGGTGGAGTTGAAAGGCGTCAGTTGGAGTTGAAAGGCGTCGCGGGCGGGGATTGAAAGCGGGGGATGAGCGGAGAGAATCGCCGGGCAAAGTCCTTAAGGATCGGCGTTCACCACGCCAACGCGGTCGTATGGGAACCAGTGTATAGAACGCACCTTCGACACCTGGTCGCTCGAGTACGGCGCCAGGCCCGGGACTTTCCGGATCATCGCGATGTTCTTCGCGTTACCCGCGTACCACAGGACGTCGTCCGCGCGCAGGGCGTCGTCGGTCGGGTCCACGACGTCGACGCGGTCGACGCTTCCGGGGCCGGACGCCGGCGGGAGCGACGGCGGCGTTAGCGGCGGCGAAAGTGTTTTCGCGGCGGAGGACGACGACGACGACGAGGACTGGGCGGGCGGCTCCACCGTCGCCGCGGTCGCCGCCTCGCCCTTCGGCGCGTCGCCATCCTCGCGCTTCCGCTCGATTGACACCAAGAACAGCCCGGGAAGCGACCGCAACCCGGCGCCGTCCGCGGTCTTCCCGATGAAGTTCTTCGCGCCCGGCTTGACCCTGACGGCGATGAGAAACTCGTTGCCGTCGCCGCCGCCGCCGCCGCCGTCCGCGATGACTTCCAGGTCCCTGTGCGCGACGCGCACGCGCCGCGCGCGAAGCGTCGCCGGGTCGCGCGCGGCGGGCACGCCGTCGGGGATCTCGAGCGCGACGTCGTCCGCGGACGCGGCGTCGGCGGGCCGCGAGCGGATGGACATCCCCGCGGTCGACGGCTTCGCGCCGGCGCCAGAGCCGAGCGGCGTCGGCGTCGGCGTCGGCGTCGGCGTCGCCGTCGCGGCAGAATTCGAATTCGAGATCCCGGACGTCGTCTGCGGCGCGTAGTAGTTTTCTCCCGGGTTCCTCCTCCTGCTCTGGAACGACATCCCCGCGAGCGCGCCGTTGGGGTTCGCGCGCGCGGAATCCGCGGGCGTCTCGCCCTTCGCGACCAGGTCGTTCGCGCTCCCCGCCGGGGTACCGCCGCCGCCGCCGCTCGACAGCTTCGCGCTCGAGCTCCCGACGCGCTTGAACGGCGACGACAGCCTTCCCCCCGCGCCACCGCCTCCGCTCGCCGCCGCCGGCGCGACGTCCTCGCCCCCGGAGTCGTACTCGCCCGTCGTGGACAGATCCTTCGGCGCCGGCTCCAAAAGCGGCGAGTCCTCGCGCACCTGAAGCACGAGCGCGTCGCCCGCCGCGAGCCGCGTCGTCCCGAGCTTCCCCTCCGGCGACCGCCCCCCGCGCTGCATCGCGACGATCGCGGCGTTGTACGCGCTTCGGAAGTTCACCTCCGCGGGCGTCGATCCGACGAGCCGCGAGCTCTCGCGCACGCGGACGCGAAGGACGATCGACCCCTTCTTCTTCACCGCCTCCACGCCCGTCTCCGGCGCCAACAACGCGTCGATCACGAGCGCGATCTCCTCTCTCGTCGTCTCCTCGAGCACCGTCTGCAGGCGCCATATCGACACGCTTCGGTTCGCCACCGCGGAAGCCTCGCAGTGCAGCAGCTGCACTCTCAAGCGGTTCAGCGCCTGCGAGATGTCGTGAAGCAACCCCGGGCGATCCGTCGCGCTGAGGGCCGTTCCATACGAAAATAGTGCATTCACCGGTCAGTTGAAAGGGACCCGCGCGATCAAGTGTTGAAACCGAGCGATGGGTGAAAAACGTTTGTACAGTAGAACGCACCTGATGCCCAGCACCATCCGCCCCGCGTGGCTCGCGTCGTTCGGATCCGCCTCCGGGTCCGCCTCGACGGTCACCTTCGGCGGGCCGAGCGCTTTCTCCGCGGCGGAGGACGCCGCCTCGCGCTTGCGCAGCTCGCGCTCGAGATCGCGGCGGCGCTCGGACTCGGTCTTCTCCGCGTCGGCGCGGTAAATTTTCAGCGCGCGGCGTTCGCCGCGATCCACCGCGAACGACGCGTAATCCCGCGCGTGGTGGTGGTGGTGGTGCGCGCCCGCACCCCCGCGCGAGGCGTCGAGGGAGCCGCGGCGGCGGCGCTCTGCGCGGTCGATCGACCGTCGCGCGGTGAACTCGCCGTCGAGCTCCTCCGCGTCGTCGTCGCCGTCGGTGTACCGACCGCCGCCGGGCGAGACGCCGCCGCTCAGGGTGGCGCTCGCGCGTCTCCGTCTCTCGTCGCGGGGTATGGGCTTGTCGTCGCCCTCGCCGCCGCTCGTCGTCTCCCCCGCGCTCGTCCCGCTCGCGGTGCTCCCTCCCGCGCCGCCGCCGGCGCGAGTCCTTCCTCTTCCTCCTCCTCTCGTGGACTTCGTCTTCGCGCCGCCGCCGCCGCCCTTCTTGCCCCAGATGGACTGCGAGCGCGCGAGCATCTGAGGGCCATACAAAGCGACGTCGGGGTGGAGTTGAAAGGCGTCAGTCGGAGTTGAAAGGCGTCGAAGGCGGGGATTGAAACCGTGGTGTGGGCGGAGAGATGCGCCGGGGTTAAAAGTCCTCAAAGAACGGCGTTCACCACGCGAACGCGGTCGTATGGGAACCGGTGTGAGGAGAACGCGCCTGCATCTCGAGGAGCTCGCTCTTCTCAGGCACCGCCGCGGGGACGCCGCCGACGCCGCCGCGGTCGACGCCGCGGTCGGACGGCGCTCCCGGGGCCGTCGCCGTCTCCGGGGACGACGACGTCGTCGGCGCGATCTCGTCCTCGTCGCCGTCGGTATCGTCGCCGCCGCCGTCCACCTCCACCACCTCGTCGTCGTCGTCGTCGTCGTCGTCGTCGCTGTCGTGCTCCGACGTCATCGCCATGAGCCCGTACTCCGCGCAGACCCGCCCCAAGCTCTCCACCAACCCGGTGAAGTAGAGCACGTCCCCTTGCGCGAGGACGAACTCCGGCCCGACCGCGCGCATCAGCGTCTCGTCGCGCTTCACGGACACGAGGTACAGCCCGGGCAAGCCGCGCAAGCCGCTCCCGGCGACGGTGCGTCCGACGGCGGCGCTCCACGCCTGCAGCCGCGCGCCGACGATGAGGTCCTCGCCGCGGCCGCCGGCTGCGCCGCCTTTACCCCCGGCGCCGCCCCCCGCGCCGCCCGCACCGCCGCCACTCCGCCGCGCCGCCGCGCCGCCCGGAAGCAACCTCCGAGACGCGAGCAGGACGTAGCACATCCCGCTGAGGGTCGAGGGGGGTCCACGCGAGCGAACGTCGGGGTGGAGTTGAATGGCGTCAGAAGCGGAGTTGAAAGGCGTCGAGGGTGGGGATTGAAAGCGAGGGATGGGAGGAGAGAGACGACGGCAAAAGTCCTTAAGGATCGGCGTTCACCACGCCGACGCGGTCGTATGGGGACCAGTGTGATAAGAGAACGCGCCTCAGCGCCACGGGGACGCCGTACAGACCCAAGTCGAACAGCCCCATCTTATACGTCCGCGTCGACGTCCCGTCCGCGCCCTTCCACTCGTTGAGCATCCCGAGCACGACGAGATTCGTGCTCGTGCCGATGAGCGTGCACGTGCCTCCGAGGATGGACGCGAACGACAGCGGCATCATGACCTGCTCCTTCGGGAGTCGAATGTTTTCCGCCCACCGCTGAACGATTGGAATCATCACCGCGACGACGGGCGTGTTGTTGAGAAACGCGGACACGACCGCGATGGGGACCATGAGCCTGAGGGTAATTGTCCATACGAAGCGATGATTGTCGGCGTGGAGTTCAAAGGCGTCAGGGGTGGAGTCGAAAGGCAACGCGGGCGGGGATTGAACGCAAGGGGTGGGCGGAGAGACGCGCCGGGAGAGAAAGTCCTTAAGGATCGGCGTTCACAACGCGAACGCGGTCGTACGGCGACCAGTGTGAAAAGGAGAACGCGCCTGAGCTGCGCGCCCGCGATCGTGCGCGGGCGCCCCAGCAGCTTGCCCATGTACCAGTCCAGCCCGCCCGTGGCGCTGATGCCCGCGGCGACGACGAAGAGCACGGCGACGGTGAGGAGCCCTTCGTTCGCGAATCCGCTCAGCCCCTCCGCGACGCTCACGACGTTCGAGACCATGAGCACCGCGAGCGCGCCCATCATGACGTGGTCGGGCGCGACGACGTCCCACAGGAGGCATCCGAACGCGACGAAGACGACGCAGACGGTGAACCATCCCTCCCAGACCTCGCCCATCGCGACGACGACGACGACCGCGTGAAAAGAAAAACACGCGGCTCGCGCGCGGCGAGATTACGACGCGAGCGGCGGCGGCGGACGCGGCGCGCGCGTCGCCGGCGGACGGCGCGGCTCTCCGCCCGGAGCGCACGCGCTCTCTCTCTTTCTCTCTCTCCGCCGCGATGCGAACGCGCCCGCGGGGAAGTCTGGTCTAGCGTCTCCGCGCGCGCGCGAGTGCGCCGCGGCGCGACGGGTGCCGTCGTGCTCTCGGTGTCTCGGACCGAACCTAAACCCCGAGAGCGAGATCTCAGCCGTGTCCGCCAGGCATTGCCACAAAAAACGTTCATCGGTAAGTTGAAAGGGGATGCGATCAAATGTTGAAACTACAGGGTGGGTGAAAAACGTCACTATCGATCACAGTGATTGGCAAGAGTTGATGGTTTTTCGAAAAGAAGGGGCGGCGAAGACCTCCCCGGCCACAACCACAACCACCCCGCCCTCGCCGCACGCTCGCACCGCCCGATCGAGAGCGCGATGGGGAACGCATGTACGCATCCTCGTATCGATCCTTCCGAGCGCGAACCGCCGCGCGGCGACGACAGCGCACCGAGCGTCGGCGTCGTCGCAGCGCGCGTCGGCGAACTCGAAAAACTGCTCAAAGCCACGAGGTCGGAGCTCGACGCCGCGAAAGCGACGATCGCGGCGCACGCGGAGACGCAGACGCCCCCGACGTTCGATGCGAACGAGCAGCTCGCGAGCGTCGTCTTATCGCACGTGAGTGACGTCCGAACGCGCGTCGCCCTCGCGCAGGTGAACACGGCGTGGAGGAAGGCTTCAAAGTTCGCGTCTTCGCTGCCGGCCTCGCTCGACTTCACGGGGTGTCCGGTCAAGTTGAACGAGGATAATACGTGGAACACGACGTGCGACTACGTCCTTGGGATCGAAGGCGTGCTTGATCTGCCCGAGACGCGCTTTCACGGCCTTCTCGCACAGGCGGGGGATGACTTGTCCAATCGGACTAGCCAGTGCTACCTCGGTTTTTTCTACAACCGCGCGAAGCGTTACGACAAGGCGCTCGAGTGGTTCATGAAGGCAGCGCGTCAGGGCGAAAAGTGTTCTAAGTATAACATTGGAATGTACTACAGAAACGGCCACGGCGTGGAGCGAAACATCGACACGGCGCTGAAATGGTTCACAAAGTCGGCCAAGAAGGGTTTCGCCACAGCACAAAACCAGGCCGGCGTCATCCTCTACGGCAAGGGACGACACGAAGAGGCGGTCAAGTGGTACAAAAAAGCGGCCGCTCAAGGCGAGATGTACGGCCAACACAACCTCGGGGCCTGCTACGAGAAAGGTAAAGGCATGAAGAAGGACATCCCCGAGGCGCTCAAATTGTACGGGAAGGCTGCGGAGCAGGGCTACACTGAGGCAGCGAAAAACATCATTCGTTTGGGGAAAGCGATGCAAGTTGACTAGAGACTGTCTAATACGACGACCCTCCCCACGCCGCCGCCGGCATCCCCGCGAGGTCTTCGTCGCTCGATATCCCCTCCGGCGTCGTCCCGCCGCACGCGAGCACTTGCGACAGCAACATCCCCGCGGTATGGACGTCACCGGCGAGGTACGCCGCGCACGCGCCGTTGTAACACACGCCGAGCCGCTCGGAGCTTTTGACGCCCTCGTCGCCGCCGCCGCCGCCGCCGCCGTCGGCCGCGGCCATCTCTAACACCCTCCTGTAACACCCCCACGCGTCCGCGAACCGCGCCGCCGCGGCGCCGTCGTCCCCGCACGCCTTCGCGATCCTCCCGAGCTCGAGGTGCGCCTCTCCCGCGCCGGTCAGCGCGTCGCGGTCGGACGACGACAAAGCCGCTGCGGCGCCGAAGCCGCCGCCGCGAGCGTCCAACGCCATCAGTAACGGCCCCTCCGCGTGCGTTCTTCGTTCGCGTATCGTGGGGCCCGCCACCACAACGCCGCCGCCGGCGTTCCCAGGTAATACCCCCGTGTGCCGAATGAGTTCCGCGCGGCTCTGGTACGTCTCCCCGAGGGTGTTACACACCGCGATCGCCCCGGGGGTAAACGACGCCGACGTCCGAAGTTTCTCCTCCGCGGCGGCGAGGACGCCGTGCGCTGCGGTCGCGAGCTCGACACACAACGTCGGTAACGCCCCGCCTACATCCGTTACTTTCTTCGCTACCCGCATCGCCCCCGCCGCGAGACTGTCCGCGCGGGAGAGCAGACCGCATCCCCAGTCGTGAAGCAGCCCGCCGAGATCGTCCCCAGCGGCGGCGTCGGCGAGCGACGTCGCGTCCTCGAACGCGGCAGACGCCGACGCGAAGACGTCGTCGATTCGCTTCCTCGCGACCGTCTCGTCTCGAAGGAGAACATCGATCGTCGAGTTCGAGGACGCGTCGCGCGCGTCTTCGATCGCCGCGCGCGCCTCGCCGAGCTTAACGCGCGCGTCCGCGAGGTTCCAGCACGCCTCGAGCACCTCGCCCGGATCGCCGCCGCCGCCGCCAGCTGTACCGCCGCCGGCTGCGCCCGCGTCCCTCTCCAACTCCAGCGCGCGCTCGTACGCGGCGCACGCGCGCGCGAGGATCTCCGCGCCGCTCGGGTCATCCGCGGCGAGGAGGTCGCCCCACGCCGCGAGCGCGCACGCGAGCCCGTTCACGGCGACGACCATCGTCTCTCTCGCGTCCTTCGCGTCATCGGTCGCCGCATCCGTCGCGTCGCGCTCGGTCGCCGCGCACAGCTGTGCGAACGTCTCCGTCGACCGCTCGTACGCCGCCGCCGCGATGACCGCCGCCTCGCTCTCCGCGCGTCGCAGCTCCGGCGAGAGCGCGCCGCGGCGCGACGCGAGCGCGCGCGCGGACGCGGACGCGCGGAGCGTCTCCGCGAGCGCGAGGCGCGCGTCTCGCGCGCGCTTCTTCCGATGACCCGAGATCTCTCGGTCGGCGTCGGCGTCGGCGTCGGCGCGCGCGACGTCCTCCTCGAGGACGCGCGCGACGCGCTCGAACGCGTCGCACGCGGTCGCGGCGTACGCCGCGCCGTCCTTGCTCAGCCTCTTCTCCGTCGCGTCCTTCGTCCTGAGCGCGTCCGCGACCGCGGCGGACGGCGCGACGCCGGCGTCGGGATGATGATGATGACGCGTCGTCGTCGTCCGCGTCGTCGGTCCGCCGCGGCGTCCGCCGCCTCTCTCGCCGCCGCGGTCGCCGCCGCGGAGGTGCGGCGGGACGTAGCCGCCCATCGCGTCCTCGAGAGGCGGTCGGTGCCGCCGCGCGCGGGCAGGCCGGCGGCGCCCGCGGGAGTGATGGCGCGCGTTCGTGGATCTGACATGCATGCGTCTTCAGGGAGACGTTGATGAACTGACGAGGTCCAACGCTCGCTTCGTCAGACGACGCGACGCGCGCGAGGTGGGGACGCCATGCGGTCGCGCGACGGGAAGGGGCGGCGCCGCCGCCTCTTCTCCGCGCGCCTCCTCCTCCCCGCGCTCGCGCTCGCGTGCGCGACGCTCCTCGCGTCGTCGTCCGCGCGCGGCGGCGCGTCCGCGTCGCGCGTCGCGAACGATCGACGAGCGATGATAAATCTCCCCCCCGCGGCCTCACGACGCCGCGCGCGACGACTCCTCGCGTCTTCGGTCCCGAGCGACGGCGTCGCCGCGGCGACGCTCGCGGAGCTCCGCGCGCACCTCGAGTCGAGCGCGTCGTCGCTGAAGATCTACCTCACGTCGGATATCCTCCTGGACGACCGCGAGCTGCCGTCCGTCGCGGGGAACACGACGCGGATAATCGTCGGCCGCTGCGGCGACGACGGCACCGCGAAGTGCACGCTGGACGGCGCGGGGGCGTCGCGGCACGTCTCCGTCAACACGCGCGCGTCGCTGACGCTAGAGAACTTGGTTTTGACGCGAGGCGCGGCGGGACAATCGTCGCCGTGGGCGGACGGCGGGGCGGTGTTCGTTTGGGGGACGCTCGTCGCGAGCGACTGCTCGTTCGTCTCCAACGTTGGTGCGTTCTCCTCACACTGGTTCCCATACGACCGCGTTCGCGTGGTGAACGCCGATCCTTAAGGACTTTTGCCGGCGTGTCTCTCCGCCCACCTCTCGCTCACAATCCCCGCCCTCGACGCCTTTCAACTCCAACTGACACCTTTCAGCCTCCGTCGACGGCCCGAGCGGCGGCGGCGCCGTCGCGGTGGAGTACGGCGACGCGCTCTTCACGAACTGCGCGTTCACGAGCAACGTCGCGTCCGGGGACGGCGGCGCGATCAAGATGAGCGGCGTCGCGGAGGTGCGCGAGTGCGAGTTTAGTGACAACGTCGCGGGCGGATTGGGAACGATCTACGCCGACGCGGGTTCGGCCGTCGTGAGAGACTCCACGTTCAGCGGGAACGTCGTGGGACGATCCGAGGAGTACGCGGACGTGTACGTCGGCATCAACGGCGCGGCGTACGTCACGCCGTACGTCACGGACGACATGGACGACAGCTACGGCGACCTGAGCGCGTCGACGCGGTACCTCGCCGGCGGAGACGGGAGCGTCTCGAGAGCCGGGTTCGTTCTAGTATCACACTGGTCCCCATACGACCGCGTTCGCGTGGTGAACGCCGATCCTTAAGGACTTTACTTCCCGTCGTCGCTCTCCGCCCAGGGTCCCTCGGTTTCAACGCCCGCCCTCGACGCCTTTCAACTCCGCTTCTGACGCCTTTCAACTCCACCCCGACGTTCGTTGCTTTGGATGGACTCTCGACCAAGGTTCCTTCCGCCGCCGCCGGGGACGATCGACCCCTCCACGATATCGCCGCCGCCGCCGCCCGCGCCGTGGCCGCCGCCCGGGACGGAGACGCAGCTGATGGGAATGGAGGAGGTGTCGGAGAGGGCGAAGGACGGCGCGGTGAGGAACGCGGCGGCGACGGGCGGCGCGTTGATGGGCGCGGCGTTTTTGTATTGGCTGTGCGTTGGGAGGAGGAGGGTGGAGAAGACGACGTATAAGAAGCTGAAAACGGACGACGTTCAGGCGTTTTCGTTTTTTGGAGGCGGCGGCAACAAGGGCGGCGACAAGGGCGACGACGTCGAGATGGGGGGCGACGCGGCGTCGAAAGAGCACGGCGGCGTTCCGTCGCGCGAGATGTTCCGACGGAAAGACGACGTCGCCGGGTCGTCGCCGGCGCCCGCGAAGAAGCAGCCGCTCGCGTCCGAGTTCACGACGAAGCACCTCGCGACGCGCGCGCGGACGAGCGGGAGCAGCGGCGGCGGCTCGTCGCGGGACGACGACGCGAACGACCTGACGGGCGCGTTCGACGGCGCGGCGGACGGCGGCGGCGGCGGCGGCGGGTGGAAGGATAACGCGTTGTTCGAACGCGACGACCGCGGCGACGGCGGCGCGGGAGGGTTCGTGTTCGGTTCCCCCGAAGCCCCGCCCGCGTTCGCGAACGTCCAGGGCGGGTACGGACACGTCGACGTCGACGCGTCCGCGGCGGTTCGCGTCGCGCGAATCGCCGCGGAGGACCCGCGCGGGACGACGGCGAACGGCGGCGGCGGCGGCGGCGAGTCGTCGTCGGAGGAGGACGAGCCCGACCGCGACGACGGGATTCACGCGGTGGGGGGCTCCAAGCCACCGCCGCGGCTCCGACGCGGCGGCGTGAACGCGGTCAGGGCGGCGATCAGGGCGTCGAGGGACGGCGCGGGGCGCGGGAAAGGTCCCCCGGCGAAGTCGTTCGGAGGTTGGACCGGGTAGGCGTAGCCGAGTACCAAGGTTATTAAGACTTTGTCGCTCGCGGTACCGTAGGTCTAGCAGCGCTATGCATCTCATCACTTCGCGTCTCTCGCGCCGCCGCCGCCGCCGCCGCCGTCGTCGTTCGTCGGCTTCATCTTTCGCTCGTCCGCGGACCCGACGCCGACGGTGTCCACCTCCTCCTTCGCCGCCGACTTCGCGGACTTCGCCGAATTCGCCTTTCCGTCGACGTCGACGACCTCCCCCGCGCGCTTCACCAGCAGCGTCGCCCACGTCCCGTGCCGCATGAGGTGCTCGCTCACGCTCCCGAACCCGGCGATGTGCAGCGCCGCGCGGTGGATGCTCCCGAACCCGCGGCTGCCGACGACCACGATGTCCGCGGCTCTGCTCGCGCAATACCGAGACAACGTCTCGCGGAGAGGCGCGTTGCCGCAGTCCTCGGACGCGAGGACGTCCGAGAAGACGCCCGCGACGCCGACGAGACGCGCGTCCTCCGCCGCGCGCGTCGTCGCCTTCTCGCACCGCTCGCGGTCGATCTTCTCCGCGGCGAGTCGAAGCTCGCGCTGATCCTGCGCGCGGCGGTGAAGGGCGGTCGCGTCAACGAAACGCAGAGTCGTCCAGAACGCCGAGAGAACGCTCTCTCTTCTCAGGGTCGTTCTTACAAGCGAATGGCGGGGTGGAGTTCAAATGCGTCAGTTGGCGTTGAAAGGCGTCGAGGGGGAATGAAAGCGAGGGGTGGGCGGAGAGACACGCCGGGTAAAGTCCTTAAGGATCGGCGTTCACAACGCGAACGCGGTCGTATGGGGACCAGTGTATAGAACGCACCTCACCTGGTCCACGGTCCCCTCGAGCGCTGTGAGACCGCTCGGGTCCATCGCGCGCGCGCCGCGCGGCGCCCTCTTGTACGCGCACGCGAACGCGCACGTATCGTTCGCGCGCGCGACGTTGTCGAGCCCGAACCGCACGGCGTCTTCACTTTCACTCGACCCGTCCACGGCAAAGACGAGCACGCGGCCGGGCCCCGCGCCCGGGGGGACCCGCCGGCGTCGACCGATGGCGAACGGGTTCAGCGCAGCCTTGACCGCGTCCCAGCCTTGCATCGACGTACGGAGGAGGAGTTGAGGGGGGGGGTGGGGGACGTCGCCGGCGCGGCGGCGGCGAGACTGTCGTGGCTTTGTCGTTCGCGTCGAGGAAAACTTCTCATCAACGTGGTTCGGACACGCGGGCCACGCCACGTCGGACAAGCAGCCACCTCAGCGCGCTACTCCCGCGCGCGCGCGCGACGCCGGCGGCCATGGCGCTGGCTCGCGTCAACGCGCTGTTCGTGGATCGCATCGAGCGCTTGGGTCTCGTGCGCGTCTCGCGGACGCCCTCGAGCGACGGCGACGCCGCCGCGTCGCCGTCGCCGTCCGGATCGCGACGATCCGACGCGCCGTGCGCGTCGAATGATGAGAGCGGTGCCGACGACGGAGACTACCTCGAGATTAACTTCGCGCCCACGCCGCCGTGGACGCTCTGGAACCTCGCGCAGACGACGTGGGGGTTCCTCCTCGCGCATTACATCTTCTACGGCTTCGTCGCCTCCGCGCTCGCGTGCGCGTTCATCGAGTTGACCGCGGTGAAGGCGGCGCTCGCGGTCGGGCTCGTGCTCTACCAAAAATCGTTCTGGGACGGTTCGGAGCTGCGCTCGGGGCGGCCGTGGCACGCGTTTCGCGCGCACCCGGTGTGGAACCTGACGCAGAGCTACTTCCCGGCGAGGTTGATACGCACGAGGGCGCTGGACGCGAGCGAGAAATACGTCTTCGGGTGGCACCCGCACGGTGCGTCCCGTCCGTCGTCGTCTCGCGATCCGATCCACGATCCGATCCCATCCGACGCCGACTGATTCACTGGTCCCCATACGACCGCGTCGGCGCGGTGAACGCCGTTCCTTAAGGACTCACGTCAGCCTCATCACGTCTCATTCATCGTGCCTCTCCGTCCTTCCCCTCCCTTCCCACGCCGCCCGCCGAATACAGGCATCTTGATCCTATCGCGGATCATGATCTACGGCGGCGTGTGGGAGCTCCTCTTCCCCGGCGTCCCGTTCCGCGTGCTCGCGGCGAGCCCGATGTTCAAAGGCGCGTTCTATCTCACACTGGTCCCCATACGACCGCGTCGGCGTGGTGAACGCCGTTCCTTAAGGACTTTTCCCGGCGCATCTCTCCGCCCGCGCGCCCCTCGGTCTCGATCCCGACGCGTCGCGACACGTCAGCTTCGTGAACGCGGCCCGCGCTGACGTGTCGCGCCCTCATTTGCCCTCGTTCATCATGCAGTCCCCGGGTGTCGAGAGATCTGCCTTTGGATGGGCGCCGTGGACGCGGGGCGAACGACCGCGTCGCGCGTCCTCGACGACGACTGCAGCGTCGCGGTGTACCCGGGAGGGAGCCGAGAGATCTTCAGCACGGACCCGAACAGCTCGGAGACGAAGGTGTACCTGAGCAAGCGGAGAGGGTTCGTCAAGCTCGCCATCGCGCACGGCGCGGCGTTGGTGCCCGTGTTCGTCTTCGGCGAGAAGCGGTGTTACCGGCGCCTGAACGTCCCGGCGCCGCTGCGGGACTGGCTGCTGCGGACGTGGAAGATACCACTGATCGTGTTCTGGGGGCGGTGGTTCACGTGGTACCCGTACGCGGCGAGGCAGACGGTGGTGTTCGGCGCGCCCATCGACACGAAGAAGCACAAGGTGGGTCTGTTTCTTTTCGCACTGGTTCCCATACGACCGCGTTGGCGTGGTGAACGCCGTTCCTTAAGGACTTTTGCCGTCGTCTCTCCCCGCCCACCCCTCGCTTTCAATCTCCGACCCTATGACGCCTTTCAACTCCACCTGACGCCTTTCGACTCCGACTGACGCGCCTCCGAACTCCGCCCCGACGTCGCGTCGCATGGGAAAATACCCACCCTCTCTCGCGCAGCCGCCGGCGGGCGAGGACCCGAGCGAGGCGCGCGTGGACGAGGTGCACGCGGAGTACGTGGAGGCGGTGCGCGCGCTGTTCCAGGCGCACAAGCGCGACGCCGGGTACGGGGAGGAGGAGACGCTGACGGTGATTTGAGGGGCGGCGCGAGGGGCGCGAGAGGCGCGGAGTCGGTCGCGCCGGTACGTGTAGTAAAACTTTTATTAGTTGCTCAGCAGAGGTTGATGAAGCTCTCAAGGCGCACCGACCGCGCGCTCGCCGAGAAACCGAGTTAGTTCGATGAATCGGCGGCGGCCGCAGTCCCCTTCCGCGCGACGCGGACCCGACGGGTTTCGTCGCCGCGTCTCGATCGGATCGGATCGTCCGCGATGCACGCGCCGCGATGATCGCGACGCGACCGCGACGCCGCGCGCGTCGCCGATCCGCGACCCCCGCCCGATCGTGAGGTGCGCTCGCGCTGCCGCCGCCGTGGAATCGAACGAATCGATCGCGGCCGAATGAATCTCGCCTCCGTCCGTCCGTCTGAGACGCGCGCGCAATGGCTTCTTCTTCTTCTCGCGCGGAGTGACGACACCGATTGCCGCCCCAGTCTTACTAAACGCCTCGTTGGTTTTTCTGCTGATTGCAACATTATTTCTGTTCTCCGACCGCGCGTACCCGAGAAGAAGACGCCCGCGCGCGCGTTCGCGCCCCGATCCCATTCTCTCGCACCGCCGGCGTCGTCGCTCTTCTCGCCTGCTCGCCCCCGCGACCCGCCGTCTGCGATGAGGAAAGAACCGCTATTAACCCAGCTCGCTTCGAGCCCTCGGGCGCTGAAGAGAACTTGTTCCATCTCACAATCGCCTGAGCAGACGGCGTCTCCCGCCCGCCGCGCGTCCTCGCTCGTCCCGTCCCGCGTCGCGTCCGTCGCGGCAAACCTAACGCTACACAATGCAACTCACGCGCTCCGTTCGCTCTTTTTTCTCTCCGCGTCCGCAGGCAGGCGCTCGCTCCTCCGAAGAGCAGCCGGGAATCGTCGTTCCGTCTCGCGACGACCGACCGACCGACCGAACGTCGACGACGTCGACGACGTGCGGCGCACGCCGCCGCGGCACGCCGTGAGGTTCGCACCGCGCCCCCCCCGCGCGTCCGTCGCCGTTCCGTTCCGCCCGGTCGGTTCGCGCGCGGCTCTTCGAACGAACGAACGAACCGACGACGGCGACGCCGCTCGCGAGGAAATGAGGACACTCTTTCCCCAATCGATCGACGCTGAGACTAACAAGGCCACCTCCACGCCGGAGGATAAACTTGCCAGTTTTAACTGATCCTCGCGAGCGCCGTTCCGTTCCGTTTCGTTCGTTTGGACGACGCCGCGCCGGTTGCGTTTGTTTGTTTTTCGCGCTCGCGCTTTTATGGTTTTTTTTCTCGCGAGGCTCGGCCTTCGTTTGGACATGACGACATACTTGGTCCGTGTTTTGTATTCGCCCTGGCGCGGTGCCGATACATCAAGTTTTCGGGACTAGACATCCTGACACCGATCCATTCATCGAAGCGCTTCGCCCGTCGAGTCGAGTCGAGTCGAGTCGTCTCGTTTGTTTTTTTTTCGACGCGGCTCGCCCCGCCGCGGCGCTTCTTCTAGTTGGGCGCCGAACTCGTCCGTGTTCGCTCGCCCCGTTCCCTAGAAGCGAAAGCTAAGTCTTAGTCGGACTTCGAAAACCCGACGAGGGCGAACGCGACGTCTCGCTATCGCGCGCGCCTACGCTCACGGCGTATCGCGACGATTTGACGGCGCACACTTCCTTCCGAAAGCGTTCGATTCGATTCGATTCGATTCTCACGACGCCGACGCTCTCTTCTCTCCCCCTCGCGCGCAGGGCTCGACGCCGGTGCGCCCCGGGAACGACCGCCGACCTCGACCGACCCGACCCGACCCGACCGTCGACCCCGGGCTGTTACATCAGGCAGCTGCGCGTGGATTCCCGTTCCATAACGCGGCGTTCTTCGGCCCGCAGAACGAGCGCGCTTATTTTGGTCGCCCGCGAGACGCTTGCTTACTACTCGCGCCTCGATGCGGATCGGCTTGGAAACGGCGCGGAGAGTCCGCCGTCGTTCGTTTCCGTTTGATCATTTAGGGTTTCGTTTCGATCGCTGTGACGACAACACTCGAGGCTGTTTGTTAGTAGGCTGAGCCTGTGCGCATACTCAACCACAAAACGACTTCTTCTTCCACCGAGCGATCGATCGACGGACGCGGTTTGGGTTTGGCTTTGAACGACTCGATTTTTCCGCCCGCGCCGGCTGCGCGCGCGCCCGCCGCTTCGAAGCCGAGGATGAAACCTTCGATAGGTGTAAACGCAAGACGCGCCCGAGGAAGCCGTGTCATCACGGGTGAACCTATCCTCACGGCGCGTTGACATTCGCTGTCTGGCTTGGCACGAAACGTGCGGCGACGCGCCGCGGTCTAGAGGCTTTGAAGTCGACGGGTGGGCGGGCACACGCGGTGCCAGCTGGCGGCTCGGGTCGTTCGGTTCAGTCAGTCGTCCGCGTCCGCGTCCGCGTCGGTCAGCTCCCCCCTCCCCCCCTCGCGCGCGCGCTCACGTCTCCCCCTCGTTCCCGCAGGACGAACGGCCGAGGCCATCTCCGCCGCTGCGCGACGACGACCGCCGCGGAGGCGCGCGAAGTGACGAAAATCTCATTCTGTTTCACGACGGTCTTCCGATCCGCCCCCGGGCGCTGACATGACGACTCGAATGATGCTAGTACTCTGATCGTTTCTTCCGCGGCGGTAGGCGCCGTCGTCGCGAGCGCGGCGAGAGAGAGAGAGAGAGAGAGAGAATCGTAGCGTTCGTTCATAGCGTAGACGTTGTGACCCGCGGAGGGCTCTCTCTCTCCCGTTCCTCTTCCTCCGTCGCGTCGTCACACAGTGAGATTTTCAGTCTCAAGAGCCCGCCTCTTCGAGAAATCTATCATTTCTTCGCGCGCGTCGACGTCACACCGCGCGACGCGCGAGCATGACGCGCCTGGACGCCCTCCCGCCGTCGCACTGGGCGAAGAAGCGCGCGACGGGGAACTACGTCATCGCGGGCTCGTTGCTGTGCTTCGCCGGCGGCGTGTACGCGTACACCATGAACGCGGTGCAGAGCAAGGACGACATCGACGTCGCCATCGCGCGGCGCGAGGGCGGGAAGGGCGACGAGGGCGGGAAGGGCGGAGGAGGCGGACGGGGCGGCGGGTCGATGTGGTCGAACGCGAACAAGAAGGCGAAGGGGGGGAAGTGAGGAGCGAGGAGAATCGAATCGAATCGCGCGGGGAGGGAGAAGAGACGCGAGACGGTCGAGGAGAGATCTATCTCGTGCAGTGGTGATGAGAGCAGAGATCGGACGCGCGAGCTCGCGAAGAAAGACACGTAGACTAAATACATAGGAGCGCGGCGCGAGACGCGAGGATGAAGTAAACAATCATTTATTCGCCGTCGTATTAAACAATCATTCGCGCCGGGCCCCTAAGGGACCCCCTCCGGGTGGCAAAAGCAAAGAATCTAGCGCTCCTTCATCTTGAGCGTGATGTTGCACGTGCGCTTGCGAATCGGAAACGGCCGCCCCTGCGCGCGCGGGTGAAACCGCTTCATCGTCCCCGCGCCGTCCGCGTACGTCTCGCTGACGTACAGCTTCGCCTTGTTCATCCCCAGGTTATTCTTCGCGTTCGACGCCGCGCTGAACAGCGCGTTCAACACCGGCTCGCACGCGCGGTACGGCATGAACTCGAGCATGATGAGGCACTCCTCGTACGATTTCCCGCGGATGACGTCCAGGACGCGTCTGACCTTGTAGGGCGACATGTGGACGCCGTTGAGGTAGCAGACCGCCTCGCTCTCGTCGCCGGACGCGTCGTTCGTCGCCTCGGGCGCCGCTTCCGTGGGCGGCTGGTTTGTTTTGTGGGTTGGGGGATGAGCGGTGGGGGGGGAGGGGGAGGGGTCAGCGGGGGGTTCGCTGAGAGGCGCGAGGACGAGGACGACGACGATGATGATGATGATGGATAAATGGCCCTCCCCGCGAGGACGTGTCTTCGCGACGAAAGACGCGACGCGATTTTCGGGCGCGACGACGCGCGGGCGGCGGCGGCACCGCACCGCCCGCGCGCGCCCGACCCCGGGCGAAGGGCGCTCGCGCGTCGCGGCGCGCGTCGGAGACGCGCGCGCGAGGATGCGCGGCGGCGACGCCCCCGCGCGTCCTCCACGCCGCGATTTCCGGGGTCTTTTCGCCGTGTCGATAAGACCCTAGGTTTTGACGAGCGAGAATCGACGCCGCGCGCGACGCCGCGCGCCGGACGCGACGAGCGCGCGACGGACGCGACGAGCGCGCGCGCGGCGCGAGTCGACGGCTGGCTCTCGAGAAGGACGCGCACCTCGCTGATAGCCTGCGCGACGACGTTGAACCCCCCCCGCTGCGCATCGCGCGGCGCGCGGCATCGAGACGCGCCGAGCGCGAGCGCGCGACGCGACGACGCATCCCCGAACGCGACGGACGCCCTCGCCGGGACGCGCGCGGCGGACGCGACGCACGCGCGCTTCGTCGCCGGCGCGGCGTTCGCCGACGCCGCACCCACCGTGAGAACGTTCGCGCGAGATAAGGCGCTCATTTCGACTGTCGCGTCGCGTGCCGGCGGCAGACGACGTGCGGCGGAATGGCCGACGACGACGCGCGTGGAACGCCGTCACCACGCGAGTTTGGTCTCTCAGCGCTTTTTCTAAAGCGTCGGGAACCTCATCCGTTCGCGTTCGTGACTGCTGCTCATACGCGGAAATCGCGTACTTCCGTACTCGCGTACGCGGACTGGGAAATTTTTCGTGACTGCACTGAGAAATACATACATTTGCGTCGAACAAAATACCAGACGTCCCCTCCCTCGTCCGTCTCGCGCCCGTCTCACGCGTTGCTTCCGACTTCGTTCCCCTCCTTCCGCGACGCCGCGGGCGGCAGCCGCAACAGCTCCGCGTTGACGTACACCGCGGGCAGCGGGCACGCCGGCGGCGTGGCGGCGTCGTCGTCGTCGTCCTTCGCCTTGGCCGTCCGCGAGGAGCCTCCGAAGAGCGCGTCCGTCCACGACACGATGTTGCTCACGCGCGCCATCGCCGCGGCGGCTTCCTCGCGCCTCTCCCTCCGCGCGCGGTCCGCCTCCGCGTCTCGGAGGAGCTCCGCGCGTCGACGCTCGAACCGCTCCATCGCGTTGAACGGCGACTCCTCCAGCCCGCGGCCTTTCCCGCTCTGAGTGAGGGTGGAGTCGAAAGGCGTCATCAGTTGGAGTTGAAAGGCGTCGCGGGCGGGCGTTGAAAGCGGGGGGCGGGCGGGCGGAGAGACACGCCGGGAGAGAAAGTCATCAAGGAATCGCGTTCACCGGCGTAAACAGACTATGAACGCGCCTGACTCTCCACCGTGCACGGCACGACCCTCTGCTTCGGTTGACTCGCGTGGATCCACTCCAGCATCGGCAGCTCCGCGCGGCTCACCGTGTGTATGCAGCTCTTCGGGCACGACTGCACGGCGTCTTCGAGGGCCATCTCGTCGTTCGCCCACTGCGTCGACACGCGCGCGACGTTGAGCTCGGGGTCCATGGAAAACGTCTCGGGCGCGCACTGATAGCACGCGCGGCAACCGATGCACAGCCCCTCGTCTACGAACAGCGCGACGTCGATGTCCGGCCGCGCGTTCTTCGAGAGCGGCGTCCCGTCGAAGACGCGGTCGCTGAAGAGGGAGAGGTCGCCGAATAGCGCGCGGCCGCTGTCGGGGACGAGTTCAAAGGCGTCAGTCGGGAGTTGAAAGGCGTCGAGGTGTGTCGGGATTGAAAGCGTGGGGTGATGGGCGGAGAGACGCGACGGGCGAAGTCCTCAAGGGACGGCGTTCACCACGCGACGGGCGAAGTCCTCAAGGGACGGCGTTCACCACGCGACGGGAAAAGTCCTCAAGGGACGGCGTTCACCACGCGAACGGGGTCGTATGGGGACCAGTGTACAGAACGCACCTGTCGTACGCGGCGCGTCTACGCGGATCGCGCAAGATCTCCCACGCGCGATTGAGCAGTTGGCTCACCTCCGCGGCCTCTCTCTCGCGGTGGAGCCTCTCGCGCGTCGTCGCGGCGGCGGCGGACGCGATGGTGGACGCGAGGAGGTCCTCCTCGTCGAACGTCGCGTCCGCGGGGGCGAACGCGAAGGAGGAGGAGGAGGAGGAGGAGGAGGAGGAGGAGGAGGAGGCGGAGGAGGGCTCATCCGACGCGTCCGTCGCCGTCATCGACGCGGCGGCGACGTCGGGATGGCAGCGCTTCATGACCGCCCTGTACGCGAGCTTGATGTCATCCACGCTCGAGGTCGGCTCCACGCCGAGGAGCGCGTACAGATCGTGCTGGTCCATGTTCTCCGCGCGCGCGGTCGCGGCGGGCGTCGTGCGCGCGCCGCGGCGCGCTTTTTGGGACGCTTTTTTATCCGTCGTCGTCGTCGTCGAGGACGATCTCGAGGCCGCGCGGACGACGCGTCGCGCGACGCGAGGCGCGCTCGCGGCGACGCGCGAGGAAGGCGCGATGGAGAGCGCGTTCGCGGACATCGCGCGGTTCGTCGTCGCTCGCGATAGGTCTCTGTGGGGTAGGTCTCTGTGGAATCGCCCTGTGGCAAATATCTAAATATCCGCGTGCCTTTCCTCATCAAAAGTTCATCGGTCAGTTGAAAGACGGCGCGATCAAATGTTGAAAGCGAGGGGTGGGTGAAAAACTTTTGTGAGACGATCGCGAACTGTACGCGATGACAACAGAACCATCTTCTCGCGCGTTCGCCTTCGCGCGCGCGCGCGCCTCGTCCCTCCCTCCCTCGCGAGTCGATCGCGTCGCGTCCTCACCCGCGCGCGACGCACACCCCGCCGCGCGATGTCGACCGCGCGCCGCAGAGCGTCGGCGCGTCCGTCGACGCATCCGCAGTCGGGCGCGCCGAGCGAAATCCTCGACGACGACGCGCAGGAGGCTGTCGTCGTCGCCGTCGAGCGCGACGCCGCGCGCGCGTCCGCGCTGTGGCGCTCCGCGTTCGGCCTCGCCGCGCTCGTCGCGGGGGGATACTTCGCCGTCCTCGCCGCGCGCGCGCTCGGGAGCCGACGCGTCGCGATATGGCGAGGGGTGCGTCGTCGCGTCGCCGTCGCCGTCGTCGCCGTCGTCGCCCCGTCTCGTCTCGCGTCGCCGACCCCCCCTCCTCCTCCTCCTCCTCCTCCTCCCCTCCTCCGCAGCCCGTGCACGCGGAGTTCTACGGCGCCATCTCGCCGTCGTTCCTCGCCGCGCTGGACGGCGCGACCGCGATCGTCGGCGTTCTCTCCGGCCTCGCGTGCGCGTGGCCGGTCGATCGATCGTCGGCACGTCCTCCTCACACTGGTTCCCATACGACCCCGATGGCGTGGTGAACGCCGATCCTTAAGGACAATGCCCGGCGCATCTCTCCGCACATCCCTTGCGTTCAAACCCCGACCGCGTTGCCTTTCAACTCCATCTGACGCCTTTCAACTCCACCCCGAGAAGAGCGACGGGAAAAACGACAACGACGGCGTCGGACCCGGGACCCGGCCCTCGTCCTCCGCGACAACAGAGCGACGCCGCGCGCTCGCGTTCTCGTTCGCGCTCGCGCTCGCAATGTGCGCCGGCCTCGCGTGGGTGTTCGCGATCGAGCGCGTGGGGATCGCGGCCGCGGCGAAGCGCGCGGCGGCGTTCGGAAAGAGAGGCGCGGCGGCGGCGGACGCGGACGCGAAGGCGCGTCCTCCTCACACTGGTTCCCATACGACCGCGTCGGCGTGGTGAACGCCGATCCTTAAGGACTTTTCTTCCCGGCGGTCGTCTCTCTCCACCCAGGGTCCCTCGCTTTCAATCCCGACACACCTCGACGCCTTTCAACTCCGCTTCTGACGCCTTTCAAACTCCGCCCCGACATCATCGCTTCGTACGGACCGCGCCTAAGTTTCCGACGCGGTTGTTGTGGCTTCCCGTCGCGACGGTGGCGGTGGCGCCGACGTGCGCGTACGTGTTCGGGCTCGTGGAGGGAACGGTTCACGAGGCGAAGAAGCTGCGGGGGATGATGTACGCGCACAAGCGCGCGTGACGACGAAAAGAGGAGCGGGGCGTGGCAGGGCGGGGCGGGGCGGAGGCGAGGCGAGGCGGTATGATAGAGCGCGGCGGAACGTTTCGTCTCTCATCGCATCGATCGCGTCCGTCACTGCGACAAGAGCCGCTCGATCGCGGCGCTGACGTTCCCCATCGTCGCCTGCAGCGCGCGGATGTTCTGCGCCTCGTCGAAAAACCCCATGTCCTTCAGCTGCGCGAGCTGCGAGGCGTACAACGTCTCCGGGGGTTCGCTCGGCGCCGCCGCCGCCGCGCCCGCGCCCGCGCCCGGGAACCCGCCGCCGAACCCGCCGCCGAACCCGCCGCCCCCCGCCGCCACGTCCGGCCCCAGCCCGCTGCCCGACAGCTGACGCATCGCCTGCTGCATCTGCATCATCGCCCGCACGTTCGCGGGGTCGCTCATCGCGCGCATGAACGCGGGATCCGTCAAACGCGCGCGCAACGACGGATCCGCGCGCATCGCCGCCGCCAGCCTCGGGTCGCTGTTCACCATCTGCTCCATCATCGCGGGGTTGGACATCATGCTGGACATCATGCTCTGCATCGCGGGGTTCGAGAGCATTTGTTCCATCTGCGCCATGTCCGGCATGCCGCCGCCGCCGAGGCCGCCGAGGCCGCCGCCAAACGCGGAACCGAAAGGGTTCGCCCCCGCGCCGACTCCCGCGCCCGCTCCCGCGCCGACTCCCGCGGCTCCCGCGCCGGCTCCTCCCGCGGCCGGCGCCCATGGATTCGGCAGCGGCGTCGTGTTCAAGCTCCCACCGCTCGCGGGCGTCGCCGACGCCGTCGCCGAGGCGTTCGCGCCGCCGCCGCCGGCGAAGAGCGCGGCGAAGGGATTATCATCATCGCCGCCGCCGCCGGCTGTCCCGCCGCCGCCAGCTGTACCGCCGCCCGCGCCCGCCATCGCCTCCATCATCGGCTCCTGCACGTCCTGGTACATCCTCGCCAGCGCGTTGAACCCCTCCGGGTGCGCCTCGACGTTCGCGAACGCGCGGTCGGTCTGTCGCATCTGCTCGCGCATCAGCTCCGGGTTCCGAGCGATCTCGAACGTCCTTCGCAGCGTCTCCGGATCGTTGAGCATGTGGTTCAGCTCTGGGTTCTGCTCGAGCACCGCGCGCATCTGGGGGTTGCTCTCAAACATCGCGCGTAACGTCTCCGGGTTCTGCGTTATGCTGTCCACGTACGAGCGTATCGCGGGCGAGTTCAAGAGCTCAGCCGTCGCGCCCGGGTTTTCCGCCAGCCGCCGCTGCATCGCCGCGACGTCGCCCATCATGTCGCCGCCCATCCCGCCGAGGCCGCCGAGCGCGCCCATCCCGCCGAACGGGTCGCCGCCGCTCATCGCGCCGAGGAACCCGAACGGGTCCGCGCGCGCGGGCGCGGGCGCGGGCGGCGAAGGCGAAGGCGTCGTCGTCGTCGTCGTCGTCGTCATCGTCGTCGTCGTCGTCGCCGCGCCCGATCCCGGCGCGGGCCCCTTCACGAGGTGGATCGTGTGATCCGCCGCGAGCCCGTAACTCTCCAGGCTCTTCTCGTCCTTCAGGACGTGCCCCTTGTAGATCAGACGCTGCCGCGACGGCTCGCAGTCCGCGTTGGACGGCGTCGCGAGGAGCGCCTTGAGATCCGCGACCGTCGCGGAGAGGTCGACGTCGAGCGTGATCTTGCTTCCGCTCGTCGCCTTGACGTGGATCGTCGTCGGCGGCATGACGACGGACGCGAGACGCGAGACGCGCGCTGTGAGCGCGGCGGCGGCGGGCGAGGTCGCGGAGCTGCGCGCGGGGCGTCGACGTGCGCCGCGCCGTCGAGCGTGCGACGTGCGAGGAAGGATCTGAGAAAACCTCGCGCTCAAGTCGCGTCGTGATCGTGACGAGTCGCGACATTGACGACCTCGACCTGACGGAGCGACGCGTGGAAATTTTTTTTTATCGATCGATGAAAACTCCGATGAAGCCGCGCGCGATGCGATGAATCGTTTTCGCACGGGGTCGACTTTGGTTTCGGACGAATCGACGATTGGGCATCACGTTTAGTGCGGGGATGGATCTCTCTTCCTTTTCGCCGACGTCGCGTCGTCGCGGCCCGCGCGCGGCGTCACTGTCCCGCGCGGCGCGCACCACACGCCACCGGATATCAGCGACGAGCAGGAACATGGCGTCCACGATGGCGTTCTCGGTCTCCGCGACCGCCTCCACGGTGCGTCGTCGCGTCTCTCGCGTCGCGGCGTCGTCCGCGTCTCTCGCGCGACGACGCGATTTCAGGTTTTCGGGTTTAGGGTCTTCCCCGCGCGTTCGCGCGCGACGCCGAGCCCGGAAGCCGCCGCGCGCGCGTCCATCGAGCGCGCGTCTCACCTCCCGCCCTCCCCGCCCCAATCCACGCCGTCCCCGTCCCGCAGAAGCGCGTCGATCTCGCCGCGTCCAAGTCCAGCGGCTTCGTCGGCGCGCGCGTGCGCGCGGCGACGCCCGCGCGAGCGACGAAATCCGCCGCGACGTTCGCCGTGCGCGCGGACGGCGACGAGCGCCTGCGACTGCACAACCTCTCGCCGCTCCCGGGGAGCCGCAAGAAGCCGACGCGCAAGGGCCGCGGCTACGGCGCCGGACAGGTAAGCGCGCTCTGCCCCTCCGCGTTCCCTCGCGCGGCGGCGGCGGCGGCGGCGGCGGGAGCGCGCCGCGTCGCCGCGTCGTCCGCGGCGCGACGTCGAGAATCCACCCTCCAGAAGGCCCCCCCCTTATCCGCAAGCGCGGCGGAAAAGCGATCGACCCATTAAATACGTTCACCTGACTCCTCCTCCTCCCCCTCCCCCTCCTCCTCCTCCTCCTCCTCCTCCTCTCAGGGCGGCACGTGCGGCTACGGCATGCGCGGCCAGAACGCGCGCTCCGGCCCCGGCTCGCGCCCCGGCTTCGAGGGCGGCCAGACCCCGATGTTCCGCAGATTCCCCAAGCTGAAGGGCATCGCCGGCGGGATGGGCGCGGGGAAGCCGAAATACGTCACGGTGAACGTCGCCGACATCGCCGCCGCGGTGGCGAGCGCCAAGCTCGACGCGGGCGCGGAGGTGTCCATCGAGACGCTCAAGTCCGCGGGCGTCGTGAAGGCGACGGGGTACTACAGGAACTTGCCGCTCAAGGTGCTCGGCGATGGGGAGATGTCGTCTGGGGGCGTGACGGTGGCGGCGACTGCGTTTTCGGAGACGGCGATCGCGAAGATCGAAGCCGCGGGCGGGAGCGTGAAGATGGTGCCGAAGAAGGTGAAGTGGAGCCGCGAGGCGGCGAAGGCAGCGGCGGCGGCGAGCGCGTGAGGGAGAGAGAGAAGAGAGAGGCGTGGCGCGGGCACGGGAAGGAGGATCATTGCGTAGCAAGCAGCGAGAAGGTGTAGTATACTATGACGATTCCGCTCATCATTCGTTCTATAAGTAGACGACGAACGGAGCGGCGGCGATCGCGCGCGTCGTTCGTCGGCGCGTCGTCGGTCGTGTCAGTCCTCCGTCGGCGCGCGCGCGTCCACGCTCTCGTGCGGCTCGCCTCTGCGCCTCGCGTCGCACGCGCGGACGAACGCCGCGTGCGAGTTCCGATCGCGCGCGTCGCGATGACGCGTCGCTCGCCTCTTCCATTTCGCCGCGGTCGCCTCGAGCACCTCCGCGAGCTCCGTCTTCTCTCCGAGCACCTCGAGCAGCGTCTCGTGGTCGCGCTCGAGGCTCAGAGATTCGCGCCTCAGCGCGTCCATCTCGTCGCGGAGGCGCGCGTAGACTCTGTCCCTTCCGGCGCCGGTCGCGAGCGCGCGCTCAGGGTCGTTCCATACGAGCGAAAGTCGGGGTGGAGTTGAAAGGCGTCAGTTGGCGTTGAAAGGCGTCGATGGCGGGGATTGAAAGCGAGGTGTGGGCGCAGAGAGACGACGGCAAAAGTCCTTAAGGATCGGCGTTCACCACGCCAGCGCGGTCGTATGGGAACCAGTGTATGGGACGCACCTCGGTCTCTTCGAGCCGCGCGCGGAGGTCCGACGCGTCGCGCACCGCGGCCAACGTCTTCGCCGCCTCTCTCGCCGTCGCCTGAGGGAGGGGAATGGTTTGGGGGGGGGCGTCGGTCGGTGGTTGAAAGGCGGGCGTCTCGCCGGTCGAGCGATCGTTCAAAGGAAAGGAAAGCGGGGATGTCTCGTCGCACCTCCGTCACCGCCGCCGCGGTCTTCTCTCTCTCGCGCGACACCAACCGCTTCTCTTTCTCCGTGAGCCACGGCGCGTCGCCTCCGCCGCCGTCCATCCGATTCGCGGCGATGAGCGACGCGACGTCGAACCCGCCCGGCGACGGCGACGGCGACGGCGACGGCATCGGCATCGGCGGCGCCTGCGCCGGCGGCGCGACCGCGACCGCGACGACGATATCTCCTCTCTCGCGACTCGCGCCGCCGCCGCCGCGCTCCTCTCGCGCGGCGTCGGCGTCGGCGGCGCGCGCTTCGCTCAGCGCCGCCCTCGCGCGCTCCCGCTCCGCCGCCTCGCGCCATCTCGCGACCTCCCCCTCCAGCGCCGCGATCGACGCGCGCGCGTCTCGCAGCGCGGCGCGCGTCGACGCCGCCTCCGCCGCCGCCGCGGTGGCCTTCTCCGAAACGCCGACCGCTTCTTTTCTCGCGACGAGCGACGCTGATCGCGCGCCCTCCAGCTCCCGCCGCGCGTCGCCGAGATCCTCCATCGCGTCCTCGAGCCGCTCGCGGAGCGCCCTCGCCGTCGCCTCCGCGGCGACCGCGCGCGTCGTCGCCGCGTCCGCGTCGTCCCTCGCATTGCGCGTCGCCGTCTCCGCGACCGCGACGTTCGCTCTCGCTCTCGCGCGCTCCTCTTCAAACGCCTCCGCGTCCGCCCCGCGCGCGGCCACCGCCGCGTCGAGCTGCCGCGCGACCGCGGCGACCGCGACCGCGATCGCGTCCGCGCCGCCGCCATCGCCGTCGAGGCCCCTCGCGGCCTCCTCCGCGCGCCGCGCGCGCGCTTCCGCCGCGCTCGCCTCGCGTCGCGCGTCGTCGACGTCGACGTCGGCTGCGTTTCGCGTTTTGACAATCTCCGCTCGCAGCGCCTCCGCCTCGCGCGTCGCCGCCGTCGCGCGCGCCTCCGCGGCGTCCACGACGCTCTGCGCCTCCCTCCCGATGTTCTCCTCCGCGGCTTTCGTCGCCGCCGCGAGCTGGGTCCGCAGGCTCACGAGCTCCGCGGTCGCGATCGCGCGCTCGTCCGCGAGCCGACGCTTCATCGACGCGATCTCGTCCGTCAGCGTCGACGCCTCGGCGGCCGCGGTTGCGGCGTTGGCGCGGTTGTTCTCCTCCTGGAACGTCGCGCGGTTCGCCGCGCGAATCGCGTCGCGCTCCGCGTCCTTCGCCGCGAGCGTGAGCTTCCTGACTAACGCCTCGAGCTCGCTCACCTCGCGCTTGGACGCGTCGAGATCGTTTCTCGCGCGAGACAGTTTCGCGCGCGCCTCTGCCGTCTCCGCGCTCGACGCGTCGCCGCCCTTGGTCGCGCTCGCGAGGTCGTCCGCGAGCGCGTCTCTCTCGCGCGTCAGCGCGGCGATCTGGTCGTCCGCGTCCTGAAGCCTCGCCGCGAAGTCGTCCTCCATGGCCGCGAGGGCGGCGGCGGTCGCCGAGCCGTCGTCGGCGGATGTTGAGGTCGCATCGGACGCATCAGCGCCGGCCGCGGACGCCGCCGAGAGTTTCTCGCGCAGCTCGTCGTTCTCCTTCGTGAGCGCGCCGTTGATGACGGTCAGCGTCGCGATCTTCTTCTTCAGGGACGCCTCCGAGGCGGCGGCGGCGGCGGCGGCGGCGGCGGACGACATCGTCGCCCGCTCGCGCCCGCGAAGGCGCGTGAGGTAACTGACAGTTGACGCACGCTTCCAGCTCGAACGTCGACCCGCGCGCGCGCCGCGGTCGGTCACTTCGACGAACGAACGAAGGCGAAGTCGTCGAATGAATATCCTCTCACAAGGCCCTGTCGCCGCGCCCATTCCAGGCGACGCAAGGAGACCGCGAGCACACATCGCGCGCGCGCACCCCGCGATCTCAACTAAGGAAGGCGTCTTCCATCGCGCACGAGCGCTCGCGTAGCGAACCGCGTCGAGGAAGCGCGTCGGCGGCGCGACGATCGCGCGCGGCTCGCGGCGGGGGCAGTTTCTTTCTTGAAGACGACCGCGCGACGGACGATCGCCCCGCGGACGCGCGAGATGGACACCCTGGTGCGCGCCCCGCCTCGCTCCGCGCCGCCGCCTCGCATACGGACACCTCCGCGAGTCCGATCGCGGCGCGCGTCGCGCCCGGGCGCGCCGCCATCGCGCCGCGGGGGGATCGCCCGATCCGCCGCGACCGTGAGCTGGCATTTTTTTTCATCGCTCGCTCGGATCGCCCCGACGACGCCGCCGCGTCGCGCGACGCGCGCGCGGGGGCGTCGCCGCGCGCGTCTCGCGCGGATCGGGCGCGGCGGAAAGAAAACCAAGACGTTCGCGATGCGCGTCGCGGCGTCCGATGGCCCACACGCGCGCGGCGTCGTCGCGATCCCGCCTCGCGGACGCGCCCGCGACGCGCTAGGTCAATCAACGCGGCAGGGTTTTGCCGCAGCGCGCGTCGTCGTCGTCGATTTTCGTCGTTGTTTTTTCCTTCGCGCCGTCTCCCGGACCCCGGCCTATTAATAACCCACCCCCACCCCCACCCTCACCCTCACCTTGCCAGGCGCACACGTCCGGCCGCCTCAAGGTCGCGAGCCTCTTCAGCGGCTGCGGCGTCCTCGACTACGGCCTCACGCAAGCCGGCCACGAGATCGTCCTGCAGACAGAGAGCGATCCCGACGCGCGCGAGGTGCTCGCGGCTCGGTTCCAGGGCATCTGCCAGCCCACCGACCCGGCGACGGTCGAGTGCCTGCCCCCGGACGCGGACGTCCTCGCGGCGTCGGTCGTGTGCGCGGAGCAGGAGGGGTCCTGGCGCGAGTCGTGGAGTAAAGACTCGGTGGCTTCCAAGCTGAAGCAGGTGCTGAGACTGCTCAAAGCCGGCCGCGGCGGCCAAGGCGGCGCCGTGCCGTGGGTCCTCGTCGAGGCGTCCACCGCGCTCCTCGAGTCCGACGGCGAGGGCGTCCCGATCGTGTGCGACCTCGTGAGCGAGCTCGAGCGGCTCGGGTACCGCTGGGCGCACCGAACGATCGCAGCCGCGGCGTTCGGCGTCCCGGACGTCAAGCCCCGCGTCGTTCTCCTCGCGTCTAAGCACGGCGACCCGCGCGACGTCCTCCTCACGGAAGATGCCGGGAAGAGCGCTAACTTCCTCGAGCCCCCCGGCGCGGAGACGAGCCAGACGTTCGTCTTCAACCAGAGCGCGGAGGGCGAGATGCGCGTCTTCAGCGATTTCGTCGACGGGTTTCACCCCGGCGACGGCGGCGCGGTGATGGACGCCGCCGGACACCTCGCGCCCGTGGAGGTGCACGACGCCGAGCGGCTCCAGGGCCTCCCTCCCGGGTGGACGCTCACGTCGCGCCCGCCCGCGCCTGGATCGCGCGTTGACAACGCGCCGCGGTGGAAGGCGCTCGCGGCGAGCCTCGGGTGCGTCCCCGCGTCGCAGTGGATCGGGTCGCGGCTGGCGAAGCCGTACGAGCTCAAGCACGACGGTCGCGGGAGCGCGTTCGAGGCGCCCGTGACGGTGCCGTGGCCGACGGCGGCGTACAACGTCGGGCACGGGCGCGCGCACGTCGCGTGCTCGCCGTTCCCGAGGACGAACGGTGGGACGCTACCGACGTTGGGGGGGTTCATCAGCGGGGTCGTCGGCGCGGGGGGCGGCGGCGGCGGCGGCGAGGATCGAATCGGCGGCTGCGTCACCAAGGAGACGGCGCTCGAGTGCGTCAAGGCGCTGCGCGCGGCGGGGTGGCAGCCGCCGCCGCAGTTGATCGCGGTGGAGGTGGCCGCGGAGGCGGCGATCGCGGCGGCGACCGCCGCGGCCGTCGCCGCCGGGGAGTTTGGCGCGGGCGGTGGACGCGGCGGGCACGTTGGGCACGGGCACGACGCGCGCGATCTCGCGAGCCAGCTGGCGGCGGCGGCGGCGGCGGCGGCGATGGGCGGCGGCGGCGCGGCGCACCACGCGAGCGCGCACGGCGTGAAGCGCTCGGCGTCGGGCGACGCCGGCGCGGGCGGCGGCGGGAGTAACGCGGGGCGCGCCGCCGCGCTCGCCGCGCTCGGCGACGTCACCGCGGCGGCCGCGCTCGCGGAGGCGTCGGAGCGATCGCAGAGAGAGCAGCGGGACCACGCGCCTCGGTCCAAGAAATCCCGCGGCGGCGGCGGCGGCGGCGGCGGCGGCGGCGGGACGACGACCGTCGGCCCCTCCGCCGCGGACCCCGACCCGGAGCGCGCGGCGGGCGACAACGCGGACGCGGACGACGACGACGACACGTTCGTCGTCGGCAACGTCACCATCCGCTCTCGGACCTCCGCGCAGGTGGTCTGGGCGAAACTCCCCGGGCACCCGTTTTGGCCCGGATTGCGCGTGGAGCTCGAGCGCGACGACGTCGCGTCCGAGACGCTCAGGATGCGCAAGGAGAACGAGGCGCTGGTGGTCTTCTTCGGGGAGAACTCGTTCGGGTGGGTCCGCGAGGAGCAGGTGCTGGACTTCAAGGACTCGTACGCGGACAAGGCGCGCGAGCCGATGCGCAACAAGGCGCGGTTTAACGCCGCGTTGCAGGAGGCGATGAACGAGCTCGCGAAGCGCGACGACGCGTTCGTGCCGCCGGCGATCGTCCAGAAGGGCAAGAGCGGGTCGCACGCCGCGCCTTCACACGGCGCGAAGGGCGCGGCAAAGGACGAGCACAAGGACGAGCACAAGGACTCGCCGGCCGCGTCCGGGGGGTCGCGCGGCGGCGGCGGCGGTTCCGGCAAGGAAAACGCGTCGCAGGCGGCGCGCGCGGGCGACGGCGAAAACAGCGGCGTCATGGCGGCGGTGGCCGCCGCCGCCGCCGCCGCCGTCGCCTCCGGGAAGATCCACACCGACGGCTGCGTCTGCCGCGTCTGCGCCGCGTGGGCGAAGGCGCCGAAGGACGAGGCGAACGCGGGAGGAGCCTCGGGAAAGAAGAACGGCTCCTCCGCCGTGTGCTTGAAGATCGAGGCGCAACGCAGCGCGGCGTCGCACCCGGTGGGCGCCATGCTCGCGCTTCAGGGAGAGGGCAGCGTCGGCACCGCGATCGAGATCTACTGGCCGCTCGACCAGGTCCACTACGGCGCGAGCATCGTGAGCTTCGACGCGGTCGAGCTGCAGCACATGGTGCAGTACGAGGCGGATGGCGTCCGCGAGTTTTTGTGCCTGTGGAACGAGGACGTCAAGGTGGTGAGCGGCGACGGCGCGGCGGGCGGCGCCGCGCCGAGCGCGCCGAGGGACCACGGGAAGGAAGCCGGGCTCGCGGCGGCGGCGTCGTACGGTAAGGACGACATGAGCGGCGGCGGCGTCGCGGCGATGGAGACGGACGCGAAGGACGCCGCGAAGAAGGAGGCGACGCCGGAGGGAGCCCCCAAGAAGGAGGAAACGCCCGCCGAGGCGGCGGCGGCGGCGGCGGCGGGGGCGGAGGACGCGGGCGACGGCGGCGACGAGGACGCGGAGGCGGCGCTTCTCATGGGGTTGGGGTCCGACGGCGAGGCGCCCTCGGGCGGCGGCGCGAACGGCGGCGGCGCGGAGGACGCCGCCGGCGAGGGGCGCCCCAGGCGCAAGTGATCTCGAGCGAGTGTGACTTGATGATGATACGCGACGCGAGCGCGCCTGCTGAGTGTTTTTTTCTGCTCGCGCTGATCGTCGCCGCCAGGTGGCGCATTTTTTTCTCGGCGTGCTGACAGCGAAACGTTCTGTACTTTCCATTCATTCGTCGCCGCGCGAGGGAGGCTGCATGGGGAACGCGCTGTGCCCGCCGTCGCAGCCCGCGTACGACCCGTTCACCGAGCAGCGTCAGCGGCGGCAGCAGCGCGCGAGCACGAGCGGCGGCGGCGGCGGCGGGTTCGGGGACTTCTTCGCCGGGTTCGTCCCGCCCGCGTTTAACGTCGCCGCGGCCGCTACCGCCGCGTCGTCCGAGGACCCGCGGGAGCCCAAGCGCGCGACGCTGTCGATCCACGAGCTGCACCATCTCCCGATCGAGGAGTACGCGACGCGGGAGGACATGATGCGATGGCCGATGAGGCGCCTCGTCGCGGAGCTCGAGAGGGCGAGGAAGAACTCGCCCGCGGACCACGCGAAGCGCGACGGGCCGGCTCCGTTGGAGAAGGCGGAATTAGGTGCGTTCTATACACTGGTCCCCACGACCGCGTTCGCGTGGTGAACGTCATTCCTTAAGGACTTTGCCCGGCGCGTCTCTCCGCCCATCCCTCGCGTTCAATCCCCGCCCTCGACGCCTTTGAACTCCACCTGACGCCTTTGAACTCCACCCCGCCATCGCTTTGTGGAACGACCCTTAGTCGACGCGGTGCTGGCCGCGAGGGGGGGGGAGAGCGGGACGCAGTGCTTCGTGTGCTTCGAGGACTACGAGAAGGAGGACGGGCTCAGGGTGCTGCCGTGCGGGCATCGGTTCCACGTCGAGTGCGTGGATCGATGGCTGCGGAGCAAGGCTGCGGACTGCCCGCTCTGTAACCACGACGCGCGCGATCCAACGAAGTGATAGATGACGAGAAAGTTGTTATGAGCTTTTTCACTGGCTCAGCCATAGAAGAAAAAGAAGAGAAGAATGATGATGAGTGACCTTTGGAATCGAATCACCGTAGTAGACTAATAGAGACGTCCTCATCGTCATCACCGCGGCGGCGCCTTGCTTTGTGGCGTCGCGAGCCCGCCCATCATCCCCTCGCGCGCGTTCGCCCGCCGCATGAAATCGTCTCCCCCGGGCAGCGTGTCGATCGAGCTCGCGCCGCTGACTTCTGGCGACGGCGACGGCGACGGCGACGGCGACGGCGACCGCGAGCGGCTCCGGCTCCGACTCCTGCTGCGATTCCGATTCCGTCGCGCCGCTCCCTCGACATCGTTCGCGTTCGCAGCGTTGCGAATGAACCCGCCGAACCACGACGCGGTGTGCTGCCTCGCCGCGCTGTCCGGGGACGTCTTCTTCGCGTGCGCGCGAAGCAACAGTTTGGTCGGGGAGTCCCCTCGATGAACGTCGAGCGTCGCCAAGTCTTTGCTCGGCGTGCCGTCCTTCGTCGGTGACGTGAACGTCACGTCCGTGGCCTTGACCGGGGAGAAGTCGACGTGATCGTTCGCGGCGGCCGTCGTCTTCTCGGGGCTCGCCGTCGGCGCTCGCGCCTTCGCGGCGGCGGCGGCGGCGGCGGCGGCGGCGGCGGCGTTTGCCTTTTTTCTCGCGCGCTTCTTCGCAGCCGGGGACATCGTCGCGAACGCCGTCTCGTCCACCGCCGCCGCCTCCTCTGTCTTACTCCCCTGGGGTGGGGATTTGCTCGGCGACAGCGGCGGCTTCGATCGCGTCCGCGTCGGGCTCGTCGGCTGGCTCATCGGCCCGGCGTCGTCGTCCGCGGAGGAAGCGGACGCGCCCGCGAACAACGCCTCGAGCGCGGCGTCCTGCGCGGCGTCCGCGGCGGCGGCGGCGGCGACCGCCGCCTTTTCCTCCTCCTTCAGCGCCTGCTCCACCTCCTCTTCTTCTTCGGCGTCGTTTGTATCGGCGATCGCGCCGGTGACGTCGGAGTAGAAACCCGTGTCCCCTGTGTCCACGCTCGCCGGGGACAACACCGCGTCGTACGCGCGAGGCTCGCGACGGCGGTCGAAGCTCTCGTCGCGCAGTCGATCGGCGAGGCGCGTCAAGCCCTCGTCGCGGCGACGCGACGACGCCGCGGACTCGGGCGAAGAATTCGAATTCTTCGCGCTCGCGCTCGCCGATCCCAACCCCAACCCATCGATCGCGACGTCGCCGCTGCCGAACCGGCCGGTGCCGCCGTACCGCTTCTGTTTCGGAGGCGTCTGATTCTTCGCCTCCTCCGCCTCCGCCGCCGCCTCAGGGCCGTTCTATCGTTCAAAGCGATGTCGGGGTGGAGTTGAAAGGCGTCAGATGGAGTTGAAAGGCGCCGAGGGCGGGTGTTGAAAGCGAGGTGTGGGCGGAGAGACACGCCGGGAAGTAAAGTCCTTAAGGATCGGCGTTCACCGCGCCAACGTGGTCGTATGGGAACCAGTGTGAGATAGAACGCACCTCCTCCTCCGCGTTTTTCGTCGTCTTCGCCGGTGTCTCGCCGAGGCGTCGCTTGACCTCTTCGCCGATCCTCTTGTACCCGCCCAGCGCGTCCTCGAGCGTCTTCGTCGGCGAGAACCGATTCGCGAACGGCAGCGCGCGCCTCGACTTGGCGACGTCCACGCCGAACGCGCCGGCGGGCGGGAGACCGTCCTTCTCTCCCGCGAACGGGCCCGCGTCCTCCGCCGCGGCGCGCGGCGATTGCTTCTTCGACCGCATCCGCGCGGGCGAGACGTCCTTCCACAGCACCGGCGTCTTCGCGGCGGTCGGCGATGATGATGACGTGACGTCCTCGTCCTGCCGCGATGATTCGATCACGTCCGCCGCCGCGGTAGCCGTCGCCGCGCGCCTCGGCGGCGTCTTCGCCCGCGCGCGCGTCGTCGTCGTCGTCGTCGTCGCGTCCTCGACGTCGGACCCGAAGCCCCCGAACGCGACGACGGAAGCCTCAGTCGCGCCGGCGCTCTTCTCGACGACCGCCGCGCCCGCCGCGCGCGCCGCGTCGCGGTCAGCCAGCGCGTCCACCGCCGCGCGCAGTCGCTCCTCCAAGCCCCGCGTCTCCGCGGCGGTCTTCGCGCGCTCCGTCGCGAGGCGCTCCGTCGCCAGCTCCAGCGCCCTCCCGCGCTCCTCCGCCTTGGCCGCCTGCGATTGGTCGAGGGAATCCACGCGTCAGTCGCGCGGGGACGTGATTGGTGGATAGCAATCCCACGTGTCAGTCATAACGAGAGGTTCACAGCCAGCGCGCGAAATGAAAGAACAGAACAGCGCGCGACGCGCCAACGGGATCGCGCGTACGGGAAGCCGTAAAAGTCTCGTCTCACCTCCCGCCGCGCCGCCTCCTCGCGTTCGTTCGCGCGCAGTTCGCTCCGCTTCGCGCGCAGCGCCTCCGTCGCGTGCGCCTCGCTCTTCGCGCGCAGACGCTCGCGCGCGGACGCCGCGTCCGCCTCCGCGCGCTCCGCGCGCGTCGTCAACCGCCGCAGCTCGCTCGCGGTGACGCTGACGTAGCCCTCGCCGCCCGCGCCCGCTCCGCCTCTCGCCGGCGGCGTGAGCATCGCCGCGACGGCTTGAATCGCCGCGACGTGCGTCGCCGCCTCCTTCTCCAGCGCGTCGCGCTGCGTTTTTCGCAGCTCCGACGCGTCCACTTGCCCCCCAGTCGTCGCGTTCGCGTTCGCGTCGTTCCCCCCATCGCTCGACAGCGACAGCGCCGCCGCGGATCGGTGGCACTCGATGAGCGCGACCCAGTGCCGCTCGCGCAGGCGAAGCTTCGCCGCCTCGTCCCTCGCGTCGCGAAGCGCCCCGGCGTTGGCGCCCACCGCCGCCGACGCGGCGTTTCGCGCGTCGTCGGCGTCGCGCCGCGCGTCCGCCGTCTCCTCCGCCGCGAGCTTCGCGGTCTCTTCCGCGAGCGCGATCTCCACGCCCGCCTCGGCGCGCGCGCGAGCGAGCGCGTCGTCGGCGGCGCGGAGCCGCGAGGCGAGATCGCGCGCGCGCGCGGTCCACTCGGCGACGTCTCGCGTCGCGGCGTCGCGCGCGGCGTTCGCCGCGTCCGTCGCCTCGTCCGCCGTAATGCGGCGGCGGCGCGCGACGGCGAACGCGGCGGTCCGTCGCCACGTCGCCGCCTCCGCGTCGCTCGCCGCCGCCGCGAGCATCTGCGTGGGTGAAGCGATCGGTCAGTCGAACGTCTTACCGGTCAAACGTTGAAAGGGAAGCGCGGGTGAAGAGTGACGACGGGAAAAGTCCTTAAGGAATGGCGTGCACCACGCGAACGGGGTCGTATGGGAAGCAGTCTCACCGCGTCGTCGGCGCCGTCGCCCGCGCGAATTGCGGCGTCGCGCAACGCGCGGCACGCGGCGAGGACGCACGCCGCGTCGGCGGCGGCGGCGTCAGCGCTGAGATCCGTCTCGGCGTCGGCTTCTTCGCGCGCCCTCTCGTCCTCCGCGAGCGCGGCGTCCATCTGCGCTCGAAGCGCGTCGCACGTCGCCTTCGAGGCGAAGAGCTCGCGCGTCAGCCTCTCCACCGCGCGGTCCTCGCGCTGCGCCTCGAGCGCGCGCGCGAACGCGGACGATTGCGATCGCGGCGTCGACTCCGCGGTCGCCGCCGCCGGCGCGCTCGCGCCGGCGATCTCTTTCCTCGGTGGTCCTCCAATCGCCGTCGCCTTCAACTCCTGGACCTCCCGCGCGTGCGTCGCGCGCATCGCCGCGGTGGCCGCGTCCTTGATCTTCATCTCGCTTCGCAACGCGTCGATCGTCGCGTTCGCGTCGCGCAGCTCGCGCGCGGCGGCCGCCGCGCGCGCGGTCGCTTTCGACGGCGACAACGCCGCCGCGGCCGCCGCAGCCGACGGCGCGTCGACGCCGCCCCCCGTCGCGCCGGCTCCGCGGGGCCCCATCTCGCTCGCGGCGGCTCGAAGCGCCTCCGCGAGACGCTCGCGCTCGAGCTCCAACGCCTCGACGCGTCGCTCGAGCGCGCGGACCTCTCTGCCGCGCACAGCCTCGAGCCTCACGGCGGCGCGACGCGGAGAGGAATCCGATGCGCGCGCGTTAGTAGCGTCGGCGCTTCCATCGAGACCGGGCGATGGCCCCGCCGTTCTCGCGGTTTCCTTCGCCACGGCGCGCAGTTCCCTTAGGGTCGTTCCATAAAAAGCGAATGTCGGGTGGAGTTCATAGGCGTCAGGTGGAGTTCAAAGGCGTCGAGGGCGGGGATTGAAAGCGGGGGGTGGGCGGACAGACACGCCGGGAAAAGTCCTTAAGGATCGGCGTTCACCACGCCAACGCGGTCGTATGGGGACCAGTGTATAGAACGCGCCTTAAAAACGCGCGTTGGTCCGCGTCGCGCTCGGACGCGATCTGAAGCTCCCTGGACGCGATCTCGCCGCGCGCGGCGTCGCGCGTCGCGCGCAGCTCCGCGGCGGCTTTCGCGGCGTGTGCGGCGGCGTCCACCGCGTGACTCTCGACGAGGAGCTCGCGCTCCGTCGCGGCGGCTTGGACGACGCGTTTCAACGCGTCCACTTCGAAGCGCAGCGCCTCGATCGTCGACGCGCCGCTGATCGCCGCGCGCGCGTTCGGCCACGCGACCGCGACGCCGTCGGCGGAGACGACGACGTGTGGTGAAGAAGCGGAGCGCGGCGGCGGCGGCGGCGGCGGCGGCGACGACGGCGACGGCGACGGCGAAGGCATCGCCGGGGGGGGCGTCGGAAGCGGCGGCGGTTTCGCGACCGCCGCCGCCGCCTCGGGCGACGGCGTCTCGTCGCGCTTCGCTCGTAATCGCCAGTCCCGCGCGATCGTGCGCTCCTGCTTCACGACGGGCTTCGTCTTCGCGACGTCCTCGGGCGTCTTCATCGTCGTCGTCGTCGCGGTCGCCGCCGCCGCCGCCTTCGCGGCGACCTCGTCCTCGTCCTCCTCCTCCTCCTCCTCGTCCGAGTCGGGGTGGAGTTCAAAGGCGTCAGCTGGAGTTGAAAGGCATCGAGGGCGGGGATCGAAACCGAGGGGTGGGAGGAGCGAAACGACGGGAAAAGTCCTTAAGGAACGGCGTTCACCACGCCGACGCGATCGTATGGAGACCAGTGTATAGAACGCACCTCCGTCTCCTCCTCCGCGGCGTCGCTCTTCGGCGTCGTCGCGCCCCCGCGCACGTAGCGATACCTCGACGCGGACGCCGCGATCTCCTCCGCGGCGGGCGCGATCGGCGGCGGCGGCGGCCGGCGCGTCTCTCGCGGCGACGTCCCCCGCGCGGCGCGGCGCGTCTCGCGGTAGCGTCGAATCGACGCCATCGCGCTCGACTCGATCGCCTTCGGGGTCGTTCCATCGTTCAAAGCGAAGTCGGGGTGGAGTTGAAAGGCGTCAGAAGCGGATTTGATAGGCGTCGATGGCGGGGATTGAAACCGAGGTGTGGGCGAAGAGATGCGACGGGCGAAGTCCTTAAGGAATGGCGTTCACCACGCGAACGCGGTCGTATGGGGACCAGTGTGAGATAGAACGCACCCGACGCTCCCCCGACGGCGGCGGTCCATCCGCGTTCTCGTCCGCGCTTCCGGCCGCGTCGCCGCTCCGACGCGGTCGCGGTCGCTGTCGAGGATCGACGTGTGCGCGGTCGGCGGCGTTCGGACGCGGCGCGTGCTCCTCCTCGTCCGTCGTCGAGGTAGAAGAGTCCTTCGCGTCGCGATTCTTCAACTCGTCGGGGCGCGCATCGTTCGCATCGTTCGCGTCGTCGTCGTCGTCCTTCTCGGCCCTCGTCCTGGTCCTCCCTCCGCCGGGCCCGCCGAGCGCGCCGCCCTTCGCGAGCGACGCGACCGACTCCGGCGCTTGCAAGAACGCCGCGATCTTCGCGTCCACGGGGTGCGTGAAGTCCACGCTGAAGTCCCTTCGGCGCGCGAGATTGCACAGGAAGAAGCACGCGACGAGGACGTTGTAGCACGCGCGAAACGTCGCTCTGCGCACGCCGCCGACGTCGAGGACCGCCCTCGGGACGCCGACGGCGTCGAACACGCGGACGATGCGCTCGAAGTTGGCGTCCGAGGAGCCTCTAACCCGATGCGCCATGGCGTCGACGTCGCGCGTCGCGCGCATCCCCGCGGGCCACGTCCGAGCGACGCATCGGAGCAGGACCGCGCCGTCGCGCAGCTCCGCGAACGAGCCCACGCGGCATCCGGCGACGACGGAGGCCCAGCGAAGGAGCTCGGGCTTGCCGACCATCCCGGTCGCGGTCGCGGTCGGGGAGGAGGATGCCATGGCGTATCGGAACGCCGGCGACGCGCGGGGGACGTCGCGCGCTGCCGGCAATGCGGCGGCGTCCGCGCTGACGAGGAATTCGCGTTCGATTCGGTCGTCGTCGTCTTCAGCGCGCGCGGCATCAACGGTTGCCTGCCCTCGGCGCGATCGAAACCGAGCGCGACCTCTCGGCTCGACGTCGACGTCGGCGTCAGAACGCGCCGCGCGACGCCGAGTCGAGGAGGCGCGCGCGATGGGGAGGAAGAAAGGCCGCGGCGGCGGCGGCGGCGGCGGCGGCGGCGGCGGGAGAGGGCGCGGCGGGGGAGGACGCGACGGCGCGGCCGAGGCCGATGATGCGGTGGCGACGTCGGAGAAGGCGCGCGGAACGGTCCGCGACGACGGCGACGACGGCGACGACGACGCCGCGCGCGCGGACCTCGCGCCCGCCGACGCCGACGCGGGCGCGGCGGCGGCGGCGGCTTCGCCGTCGGGAGGAGAAGGCGCCGCGAACCCCGCGGAGGACGGCGACGCGCGCGGCGGCGGCGACGGCGACAGCGACGCGGCGTCCGCGCCGTCGCCCGCGGCTCCGTCGGAAGCGATCGCGCCGTCGTCGTCGTCGCCGTCCGGACCGACCGTGGACGTCGCCGAGATCTCGCTCGAGGACGTCGATGACGCCGCGGCGACGCCGCCGCGGCCGCGATCGGCGTCGGACGGAGACGCGGGGCGCGCTGACGCGGCGGCGTCGAGGTCATCGGGCGCGCCCGTGACCAAGTCGCCATCCGCGGGCGCGGGCGGCGGCGGCGGCAGGCCCGGGATCTTCCGCCGTCTACAGTCCGTCGCGGGCACGGCGGTGTCCGCGTTCGGCGACGGCGCCGCGACGCTGCGACGCTCCAAGTCCGCGAGCGCGAAGGACGCGCGAGGAGGCGGCGGCGGCGGCGCGGCGGGCGGCGACGGCGAACGCGGCGCCGCCGCGAATCATCCCGCCGGCGCCGGCGCCGGCGGGATGTCGTCGGACGAGGACGAGGCCGAGCGCGCGGCGGTGAAGACCGCGAAGAAGCGCGCGCGGAAGGCGCGCCGGCGACTGAAGCGACTCGTGCACGCCACGAACGCGATGGGCGCGGCGGTGAGCGCGAAGGAGCAGACGACGACGCAGCTGGCGCTGTGCATGCAGGCGCGTTTTATCTCATCACGCCGGTCCCCGTACGACCGCGTTCGCGTCGTGAACTTCATTCCTTAAGGACTTTCTCTCCCGGCGGTCGTCTCTCTCCGTCGCTCTCGTCCAATGAAACATCCACGTCATCAAATCACTAACCAATCACATCACCTCCCGCCACGTCACCTACCAATCAAACGACCCGCAGCTGGGCCTCGCGCTCGGGTTGCGGCATCAACGCCCCGCGCACGCGATCAAAGACGCGGACCTCCCCGGCGGGGATCCGTACGACGCCGCGAACGACAAGGAGGGCGACGCGAACAAAGACCCGCCGCTGACGCTGGAGGTTGGCTCGAAGGCGGTCGGCGACGGGACGCGGCTGCCGGCGTTTCGGTTCATCCTGCACGCGCCGAGTCGGTTCGAACGCGTGCGCGCGGCGTGGGGGTGCGTTCTATCTCACACTGGTCCCCATACGACCGCGTTGGCGTGGTGAACGCCGATCCTCAAGGACTTTTCCCGGCGTCTCTCTACGCACATCACCCCTCGCTTTGAATCCCCGCCCTCGACGCCTTTGAACTCCACCTGACGCCTTGGAACGACCCTCAGGCTCCAACTGCCGGACTACGTAGAGAGCTTTCAGCTCGACGGCGGGCGCGCGGTCGTGGACGCGATCGCGGCGCACGAGCTCCTCGGGAGAGGGCTCGCGGAGGACACCGCGGAGGAGGACTTCGCGGCGGCGAAGATGGAGGAAGAGAAGCGTCGGACGGCGGCGGGCACGGGCGCGGGCGCGGGCGGCGGCGGCGCGGGCGCGGGCGCGGGGCCCGCGTCGCCGAGCTCGAGCGACGATCGATGGGTCAAGGACAAGGACAAGGCGCAGGCGGCCGCCGCGAGAGACCACCAGACGACCAAACAGCAGCAGCAGCAGCGACAGCATCGCAGACAGAGGACGCTCTCCCTCGCGTCGGACGACTTTGATTACGCGTCGGACGACTTTGAGGTGCGTTCTATGTCACACTGGTCCCCATACGACCGCGTTCGCGTGGTGAACGCCGATCCTTAAGGACTTTTGCCGCCTTGTCTCTCCGCCCACACCTCGCTTTCAAACCCCGCCCTCGACGCCTTTCAACTCCGACTGACGCCTTTCAACTCCACCCCGACGTTCGCTCGTATAGAACGGCCCTGATCACGCGTCTGCGGACGAGACGGAACGCGCGAGACGCCACGTCAGCTCCAACCGCCTCCTCCCGTCCACGACGTCGCTGCGAGTCATATCCACCAACGACGCGAGCGGGAAGAGCTCGTCGTGGTTCTTCTGCAGCAAAGACAGCCGGTTCTTAGTCAAGACGTGCACGCCGGCGGAGATGAACGTTTTGCTGAAAATTCTGCCGCGGTACACGAAACACGCGAGCGAACACCGCGCGTCGTCGTTGCTTCCGCAGTACTACGGCCTCTACACGATTGAAGTTGGGCGGCGAAGCAAGGCACACTTCATCATCATGAACTACTGGTTCGCGACGATGCACGAGATCGGGACGCGGTACGATCTGAAGGGGAGCACGAAGGGGCGACGCGCGAGCGCCAAGGAGAAGAAGAAGGGCCCGAGCGCCATCTACAAAGGTGCGTTCTATACACTGGTTCCCATACGACCGCGTTCGCGTGGTGAACGCCGATCCTTAAGGACTTTGCCCGGCGCATCTCTCCGCCCAGGGTCCCTCGCTTTCAATCCCGACACACCTCGACGCCTTTCAACTCCACCTGACGCCTTTGAACTCCACCCCGACATCGCTCGTATGGAATGGCCCAAAGACTTGGACTTTTTGGCTCGGAACCAGTGCGTCGAGACGCCGCTCGCGGAGGACGTCAAGGTGGCGATCGCGAAGGACGTGGAGTTCATGCGCGCGAACAAGCTGATCGATTACTCCATGATGCTCGGGCTGCACACGCGACGGAGGGAGGGAGAGGAGGCTGTCGCGGAGGGCGACAGTCCGGGTCGGGGTCCGGGTTATGGGCTCAAACCCGGTCCGGGTCCGCGCGCGTCCGTCTCCGACGACGACGCCGCGGCGACGACGGCCCCCGGGGCGCCGCCGTCGTCGCCGGAGGGCGGCGACGCGCCCGACGACCAGTCGAGCACGCCGCCGGGTCCGAACACGGCCGCGCGGTTGGAAACGTACCGACGGCGCGTGGACGGCAAAGTCGGCCCGTTTAGCGCCTCCGTCGAAGAAGACGAGACGGCGATGTTTCAACTCCGCGCGCTCGAGACCCCGGACGGGCTGGCGTACCTCGGGATCATCGACATATTGACGCAGTACGGCGGCGCGAAAGCGATCGAGAACTTTTGCTGCGGGGTCGTCGCGGGCTGCGGCGCGGACATCTCGTGTCAGCCGCCTCGGAAGTACGCGCGTCGATTTTTGCGTCTCATCAACAAGATGTTGAAACCGCCGGAGAAGGACGGCGCGGAGTGGGAAGAGCGCGGCGACGGCGCGGTGAGGAAGCTCGAGTGGAGATGAGGGGAGGATGATATTTATTTATTCTAGCGGCGGCGCGGGAGGACGACGCGCGCGGAGGGGACCGCGTCGATCGATCAATCGACTAATAAAGTTAAATTCTCATCGCCTCGTCCAGTCAGCACGCGGCGACAGACGAAAGCGCGACAGACAGAATCCTCCATTCCGTCGTCGGCGCCCCATTCCTCCGGGCGCGACCTCTCCGGCCCCGCACCCCACACCGCTCACGATGGCTGGCGTGTTCACGACGTCGCCGGTCGCGGCCGTCGCGCCCGCGCGCGCGCGATGCCGAGCGCGCGCTGTCCGCGTCGCCGGTGCGTCCCTCGCCGATCACAATCATCAGTCCGCGTCGCGCCACCGAAAACCTACACCCTCGCGCCATCCGCGCGCGGCGTCCGACGACGATCGACCGCGGACCTTCCCTCCTCCTCCGACGCCCCCTCCTCGTCGTCGCGTCGTTGTCGCACATCGCGCCGCCGACCGATATCTCACCTCGTCTCTCCGCACCTCGTCCCCAATCGCGCTCCCCAGCAGCCGCGACGCCGACGCGCGCGCGACTCGCGTCGCGCATCGGATTCTTCCCCGCGCTCGCGTCGTCGTCGTCGTCGCGCATCGCGTCGTTCTCGCCGAAGACGCTTCATCAGACCGCGTCCGCGTCGCTTCGCCGCGCCCGAACGACGACGACGACGACGACGACGACGACGCGCGCGTCCGCGTCCGCGTCCTCCTCCCCGGTCGTCGCCGCGGCGGGAGAGGCGGCGGCGTCGGAGCCGTTCAAGTGGACGGGCGCGAAGCTCGGCCCGGCGATGATCTCCGTCGCCGTCGGCGTCGTCGTGAAATTTCTCGTTCCGTGTCCCGCCGCGGTGGTGCCCGAGGCGTGGACGCTGCTCGCGATATTCCTGAGCACGATCACCGGGCTCGTGCTCACGCCCTTACCCGTCGGCGCGTGGGCGTTCTGCGGCCTCTCCATGACCGTCGTCACGAAGACGCTCACGTTCCAGCAGGCGTTCAGGCGCGTTCGCATTCGTACTAGTCCCCATACGATCCCGTTCGCGTGGTGAACGCCGATCCTTAAGGACTTTATCCCTCGCGGCGGTGGACGTTCGGTCGCGTTGGTCTATCATCGATCGGTCCCTTCCTTTCGACTGACCGACGAACGAATCGCCCTCTCTGTTTATCAGCGCGATGACGAACGACGTCATCTGGCTCATCGTCCTCGCGTTCTTCTTCGCGAAGGGGTTCGTGCAGACGGGCCTCGGAGACCGCGTCGCGGTGAGACTGCTTCCCATACGACCCCGTTCGCGTGGTGCACGCCGTTCCTTGAGGACTTTTCCTGTCGTCACGCTTCACCCGCGCTTCCCTTTCAACGTTTGACCGGTAAGACGTTCGACTGACCGATCGCTTCACCCGCGCAGACCTTCTTCGTGAAAATCCTCGGGAAGTCCACGCTCGGGCTCTCCTACGGCCTCTCCATCTCGGAGGCGATCCTCGCGCCGGCGATGCCGTCCACGACCGCGCGCGCCGGCGGCGTCTACCTCCCCATCATCAAGTCCCTCGCGAAAAACGCCGGGAGCGAGCCCGGACCGACCGCGAACAAGCTCGGCGCGTTTCTGATTCAAAGCCAGCTGCAGTGCTCCGGGCACTCCAGCGCAATGTGCATGACGGCGGCGGCGCAGAACTTGCTCTCGATGAAGCTCGCCGCGTCGCTCGGCGTCGTCATCGCGTCGCCGTGGCTGACGTGGTTCAAGGTGGCGTGCGTCCCCGCGCTCGTGGGGCTCCTCGCGACGCCGCTGCTCGTGTTCAAGCTGTTCCCGCCGGAGATTCAGGCGCGTTCTATGCACACGCTGGTTCCCGTACGACCGCGTCGGCGCGGTGAACGCCGATCCTGAAGGACTTTTCTTCCCGGCGGTCGTCTCTCTCCGCCCAGGGTCCCTCGGATTCAATCCCGACGCACCTCGATGCCTTTCAACTCCGCTTCTGACGCCTTTCAACTCCACCCCGACGTTCGCTTTGAACGATGGACCCTCGGCCCTCAGGACACCCCGGACGCGCCGAAAGAAGCCGCGGAGAAGCTGCGGAAGCTCGGTCCGTTGTCTCAGGACGAGCGTCTCGTCGTCGCGACGATGGCGCTCACCGTCGTCCTGTGGATCTTCGGCGATAAGATCGGCATGAGCTCCGTCACCGCGGCGATGCTCGGCATGTCGCTGCAGCTCTTCACCGGCGTCATCACGTGGGCGGACTGCCTCAGCGAGAAGGGCGCGTGGGACACGCTCGTGTGGTTCGCCGTCCTCATCGGGATGTCGTCGCAGCTAAACGCGATGGGTTTCATATCGTTTCTCAGGCGCGTTTTATTGTACACTGGTCCCCATACGACCGCGTTCGCGTGGTGAACGCCATTCCTTAAGGACTTTTCCCGGCGCATCTCTCCGCCCACCCCTCGCTTTCAATACCCGCCTTCGACGCCTTTCAACGCCAACTGACGCCTTTCAACTCCACCCCGACATGGGTTTCATCTCGTTTCTCAGCAACTCCGTCGCGGGCGTCCTCGCCGGTTTGAACATGGGGTGGGGCCAGGTCTTCGTGCTCCTCCACGTGTGCTACTTTTTCATTCACTACCTCTTCGCGTCGCAGACGGCGCAAGTCGCGGCGCTGTCGACGGCGTTCATGGCGATGATGATGGCGTCCGGCGCGCCGCCCGTGCTCGCGGGGTTGTCCATGGCGTTTCACACGAATCTCTTCGGCGCCATCACGCACTACGCGTCCGGTCAGGGCGCGGTGTACTTCGGCGCCGGGTACGTGGACCTTCCGACGACGTTTCGCCTCGGCGGCATCTTGGGCGTCGTCAACTTGCTCATCTGGGGCATCGTCGGCGGCGCGTGGTGGAAGGTCCTCGGGCTGTATTGATCGATAAGAGTCGTCGGGCGCTATCTGATTGTACGCAGAGTCGACGACGCGTCGTCGTCGTCTTTTAACGTCGCATCCTTCGCGTTGAAATGAAATCAAATTCTACGTATGTTCTCTCTTCTTCGCGATATCAAGGCGATATCAAATCCTCCGCGTCGCTCCTCCCCCCGCCCATGGAACCCCTCTTCCTTCCCCCCCCGCCGCCGCCCCCGCCGCCGTCCGCCAGCGCCTTGGCGCGTTTCCTGGCGCGCTCGATCGCGCGCGCCGGTTTCAAATCCTCGCTCCGAATCTCGTGGTTCGTCCCCGCCTGCGGGCACTCCGCGCGCCCCGTCCGCGGGTTCTTGTACCGCGCGATGTAATCCATCACCGCGTCCTTCTCGTAGACGTAGCCCTTCTGATCCACCACCGGCGTCGCGATGTCTTTGATGAGAAGCTGCGTGAGCGGGCACTTGAGGTTCGGGCAGTCGAAGTCGCCCGGCCTGCCCGCTTGCGTGACGACGACGTCCACGTCCTCGTCGCTGCCGTCGCTGCCGTCGCCGCCGTCTCTGTTCGCCGCGCCCCCAGCCTTGGCCTTGCGCCTCGCGGCGGCGATCTTCCTCTCCAGATCCGCGATCTTCTCCCGGTACGGCGCGTCTGAGGGTCGTTCCATACGAGCGAATGTCGGGGTGGAGTTGAAAGGCGTCAGGTGGAGTTGAAAGGCGTCGATGGCGGGGATTGAAAGCGAGGGATGGGCGGAGAGACGCGCCGGGCAAAGTCCTTAAGGATCGGCGTTCACCACGCGAACGGGGTCGTATGGGAACCAGTGTATAGAACGCACCCGATTCCAACAATGATTTCGCCGTCGCGTCTAGGACGGCGGCGAAGTCGGTCGCGTCCAACGAGCACGCGTAGTTCTCTCTGAGGTGGGCGAGCGCCTTGCGGTGCGACGCGTGCTCGCGGTGCATCGCGACGAGCTTCTTCGCGTTCGCGAGGACCTGAGGGATGGGGGAGGTCAGAAGGACGACGACGACGAAGACGAAGACGACGACGGCGGAAAAGTTCTTAAGGAACGGCGTTCACCACGCGAACGGGATCGTATGGGGACCAGTGTAGACGACGATCGATCGATCGATCGATCGATCGATCGATCGCGAAGGGTGCCTTGATTCGAGAGCGGGTGGTGGGCACGGCTGTCGCGGCGAGATCTGGCGCGACGCGCGCGACGACGCGCCTCGCGCGCCGCGCCGCGGCGGCCGCGATCACCGCGCGCGCGAAGAGAAGAGACGCGCGACGCGGGCGACGACGACGACGACGACGAGCGAGCGCGCGCGCACCGCGTCTGACGAGCGTCCGTTCGTCTCGCACGCTTCCGCCACCTCGGCGAAGAGATCGAGCGTCTCGTCGAAGTCGTCGTCGAACGCCTCGTACTCCGGCAGCGGCGCGTTCGCGGCGGCGCCGATCGCGTGCTTGACGCCCGCGGCGTCGAGCGCGAGGGGGGGCTCCGTCGCCGCGGCCATGGTGGCGCGAGGGGATCTGGCGGGGTGAGGGCGGGCCGCGACACTTTCAAAAAAATCTCTCGGACTCGTCGAAAAACTCGAAGTCGTTGTTTTTCCGAGGGCACTCACTCTTCGACGCGCGAGCACGCGGCGTCGACGGCTTCGCGAGGCGATCATGGGGCGCCCAAAAGGCTCGGGAAAGTCGTTCGTCAAGTGGTGCAATGAGAGCGGGCGGCGCGGGGCGAGGCTCCTCCTCGAGTGCAGGGAGAAGGACCCGAGTAAGTTCACGAAGGGGTCGAGCTACAAGGCGCTGTGGAAGTGCGCGGAGGAGAAGTGCCGGCATAAGTGGCGTGCGACGGTGAACAGCCGCACGACGAGAGTCAGATTCACCGGATGTCCGAAGTGCGAGAATCAAATGCAGCACAGCAAGACCAAGAACTTCCTCGCGTGGTGCAACGCCAACGGTGAGCTCGGGAAGAGACTCCTCGAGGAGTTTTGCGATACGGAGAAAAAGCCCGAGGAGCTTACGAAAGCGTCGCACTACAAGGCGACGTGGAAGTGTTCGACGTGTGCACACAAATGGAGTGCGCAGGTGAGCAGCCGCACGAAGAGCGTCAACCCCAGCGGATGTCATAAGTGCGCGAATCAAATGCCGCTGAGTAAGACCTACAACTTCCTCGTGTGGTGCAACGCCAACGGCGAGCTCGGGAAGAGACTCCTCGAGGAGTTTTGCGACACGGAGAAAAAGCCCGAGGAACTGACGAAGGGGTCGAACTACAAGGCGAAGTGGAAGTGTCTAAATAAGATGTGCAGGCACGAGTGGAGTATGTGTATGTACATCCGCACGAGGAGCGTCAAACCCGGCGGGTGCCCGATGTGCCACGGAGGAGTCAGTGAGAGAAACCCGAAGCGTGAACGCGCTGCGTGAACGACCGAGGTTTTTTTCCCCGTGGAGAGAACATCGTCGTCGATACAATGCTATGCGTGGGTGCTGTACAAGCGCGCTACGTGTCTATCGCTGTTTCGTCGATTGAGTGCCTGAGGGAAAGGGGGAACGTCAGAAGCGAGGAAGAGAAGAATGAACGAACGAACGAAAGAGAGAACGAAAGAGCCGCGAACGAAAGAAAAGAAAAGAAAAAGATAACGCTCGAAACGTCGTGGTCGTCGCCCATCAGCTCTCATAACATAGCTCTCACGTCGGCGTCTTCGGCGTCGGCGCGGCGGTTCGCGCGCGCCCTCGTCGCGGCGTTCACCGCGCGCGCGAGACAAACTCTCGCGCGTCGTTAAGGATGCGCGTCGATGCTACTGCGCGATCGCGTCGAAGCCTCGGCCGTAGAGGTTCAATTTTTGCATCACTTGGGACTCGACTCAACTCTACTCGGTCGGGCGGGCGGAGAGAGAGAAAAGAAAACGACTGAACGCGACGAAAAAAAACGCACGCACCCGATCCGTTACCACCCCCCGTCGCCATCGTCCTCCGCCCCCCCACCCACCATCAGCGACCGCGTCGTGCGCACCTCCCCCGCGAAGTTCACGCTCGCGAGCAGCGGCAGCGTGGGATGCCACGAGCAGTCTCGAATCGTTCGCGCGCCGCGTCGCCTTCCGTCCGACTCCTCCGACACGTTGTTATTATCCGACACAACGCCTTTGTCCGACACGATCTCGCCGGTGAGGACGTCCCACACGAGCACCTTCCCGCCCGCGCCGCCGGCGTACACGTACCGCTGCCCGGTCGTCGCCGCGGGGGAAAAGTACGCGCGTATGAGCGTCATCTCCACGCGGTGCCCTCGGTAGGTTTGCAGAGAGACGTCGTCGGGATGCCGAAAGTGCCACCCGCGCTCTGGATACCGCATGTACCGGTAGTCCCAGTTCCACACCGGCAGCGGCCTCGCGCGGAGCCTCGCGCGCGCGTCCGCGCGGGTCGCCATCGCGCGCACGTCCCACAGCTTCATCGTCTGGTCCTTGCAGTTTGACACGAAGTGCCGCGCGTCGTCGCGAGAGTCGAGCGACGTCACGCCCTCAGGGTCGTTCCATACGAGCGAATGTCGGGGTGGAGTTGAAAGGCGTCAGATGGAGTTGAAAGGCGTCGCGGTAGGGTATTGAAAGCGAGGGATGGGCGGAGAGATGCGACGGCAAAAGTCCTTAAGGATCGGCATTCACCACGCCAACGCGGTCGTACGGGGACCAGTGTATAGGACGCACCTCCGTGTGCCCGATCAGCACCCCCGCGGGGCCGCCTCCGCGCGCGGCGTCCGACGGCGCGCGGAGGTCCCACACCGCGCACATGCAGTCGTCGCTGCCGGTGTATAAGACGTGGGAGGATCCGGGCTCCGCCCACGCGACGGCGTTGACGTCGTTGACGTGGCCGCTTCGGGTCGTTCCGTAGGAAGCGACGATATCGGGGTGGAGTCGAAAGGCGTCAGACGGAGTCGAAAGGCGTCGTAGGGTCGGACGTTGAAACCGAGGGACCCTGGGCGGAGAGAAACACGCGCCGGGAGAGAAAGTCCTTAAGGATCGGCGTTCACCACGCGAATGCGGTCGTATGGGGACCAGTGTGAGAAGGACGCGCCTGAGGCGGTGGACGGAGACGTCGCGTTCGACGTCGTGAACGTACGCGGCGCCGTCGCTCGCGCCGGCGACGAGCGTCGCGCCGTCGCCCGCGAACTTGAAGCACCATATCCCGAACCGCCGCTCGCGGTGCCGGTTGTTCGGGGTTTCGCCGATGTGTAACGCATCGTGGATGTCCGTTATGTTCGCGACCGACCGCCGCGTCTCTCGGTTGCCCACGTCCACCATGTGAATGATCGGCGTGATGGACGAGTACGCGAGATGCCTGAGGGTCGTTCCATCGTTCAAAGCGACGAATGTCGGGGTGGAGTTGAAAGGCGTCAGGCGTGAAGTTGAAAGGCATCGAGGTGTGTCGGGATTGAAAGCGAGGGACCCTGGGCGGAGAGAAACGCAGGGAGAGAAAGTCCTTAAGGATCGGCGTTCACATCGCCGACGCGGTCGTATGGGGACTAGTGTGAAAAGAGAACGCGCCTCAAGTCTGGCGCGATCACCGCGTCCGTCACCGTCCACCGCAAATTCCTGCAGTGAATCTCCTTCACGATCTTAAAGCCCTCCTCGACGTCGTACACGCGCGCGACGCGGTCCTGGAACCCACACGCGAACAGCGACCCGTCCGGGGAGAATCGGCCGCAGTAGGCTCGCGAGTCCAACTGACGAGGAGGCGGGCGCGAGGGTCGAGGGAGGGAGGGTCCGCGCGAGGCGACGGCGTCGGGGTGGAGTTGAAAGGCGTCAGTTGGAGTTGAAAGCCGTCGAGGGTGGGGATTGAAAGCAGCGAGGGGTGGGCGGAGAGTGACGAACGCCGGGAGAGAAAGTCCTTAAGGAATGAAGTTCACAACGCGAACGGGGTCGTATGGGGAGCAGTCTCAGACGCGCCTGGTCCACGAGGCGGTCGTGATGCACGGGGAGGAAGCGCGACGCGAGCGCGACGCGCTCGCGCGAGCGCCCGGACGCGTGCCGCGCCGCGAGCCCGGACTCGCGGCGGCGCAGGAGGTCGGACACGGACGGCTTCGACGGCGACGGCGCGTCGTCCGCGTCGGCGGCGTCGGCATCCGCGGCGGCGACCGCGGCGTCCGCGTCGTCCGCGTCGTCGTGATTATAATAATCATCGTCGCGTTGGACGACGCGTCGCTTCCGCGCGGCTGCGATCGGCGACGCGGCCGCGGCGCCGCTCCTGCGCCGCGTCTCCGCGACGAGATCGTGGTCCGCCGCCAGCGCGCTCGCGGGCGCGCTTCGCGAGTAGTGATACGTCACCTCCTGCGGCGTGCGCACGCCGCGCACGCGCATCGCGGGGGCGCCCGGACGCGACCGCGGTTCAACGCCGCGCGCGTGCTTCGTCGCGATCGCGCGCCAAACTTGCGGCGTGCGCGCGGCGTCGTCCGACGACGACTCCAACGGGTTGTAAAGCATCAGCGCGTCCGCGGCGACTTTGCGCATCCAGTCCGTCTGCTCCTCGCGCGACGCCTCGGAGTCGGACGACGACGAGGAAGAATCGTCATCGGAAGCGTCGTCGTCGTCGTCGTCGTCGGCGTCGTCGTCGTCGTCGTCGTCGTCCGACTCCCCTTCCTCTCCTTCCTCCTCGTCCTCGCCGCCGTCGTCCGATGCGCCGTCGGTGTAGTACACGCTGTCGCTCTCGGACCCGGGCTCGGGTTCCGCCGCCGCGGCGGCGAGGCGCGCGGAGCGGCGGGGCGGCATTCGGGAATGCCGAGACGTCGTTTGCTCGGGTGCGTTCTGTACAAAAGTTTTTCACCCACCGCTCGGTTTCAACATTTGATCGCTCCCCCTTTCAACTGACCGGTATGGAATGGCCCTCAATGAAGATGACGAGGCGAGACGAGGCGAAGTCGCGTTGCGTTGCCGCCGAAGCGATCCGAAGACTCATTCAGTCCGCCGCGCGCCCGACGCGCTCACCGCCGCGGCGAATGCCCCCCCCGCCCGGGCCCGGGCCCGCCGCCCACCCCGGCGCGCCGACGCAGATGCCGCCGGGGTGGCAGCCGCCGCCGTCGTCGTCCGCGCCGTCGCCGTGGCGCGCGCTCGTCACCGCGGACGGCCCGCACAGAGGACGGACGTACTACCACAACGCCGCGACGGGGGAGACGACGTGGACGCGACCGAAGGACGCGCCGCCGCCGCCGCCGGTCGCGCCGCCGGTCGCGCCGGCGGCCGCGCCGGCGCGCCGGCAGATCGCGATCCCGGGCACGGCGTGGATCGAGGTGGCGCAGGTCAGCGGACCGAGCTACTTTCATCATCCGCCGAGCGGGGAGGTCACGTGGACGGCGCCGCCCGAGGTTGTCGCCGCGCGCGCCGCCGCCGGCGCCGCGCCGCCCGCGCCGCCCGGCGACTCGGGCGCCGCGGAGGCGTTCCAGGCGCAGGTACAGGCGAGGCTAAGGGACATGACCCCGGCCGCGATCGCGAAGGCGTCGGCGGCGGTCACGGGGGCGGTCGCGGGGGCGCCCGCGCCCGCGCCCGCGCCCGCGCCGGCTCCGGACGTCGCGCCGTTCGACGAGGACGACGTCGAGTTCGACCCGGACGTGTACGAGGTCGACGCGCCGACGATCTCGGTCGTGGAAGAGGTCGCGGAGGAAGAGCCGAAAGTCGACGCGGCCGCGGTCGCCGCCGCCGAGGCCGCCGCCGCGGAGGCCGCGGCGGTCGCCGAAGCCGCGGCGGTCGCCGAAGCCGCCGCCGCCGCCGCCAAGGCGGAGAAGGCTGCGATCGCGTCCAACTTCGAGTCGTTGCTTCGCGAGAAGGGCGTGTGCGGGACGTCGCGGTGGGACCGGTTCATGTCGAAACTGTCGAGTGACGAGCGTTACGACGCCGTGAGCGTCCACGCCGAGCGCCGCCGGATGTTTGAAAAGTTTGTCCGCAACTACGTCCCGGACGAGAAGGAGGAGGACGACTCGAAGAAGAAGAAAACACCGGGCGGGGGCGCGGAGGACGGCGACGTGAAGGAAAAGGCGGCTAAAAGAGAAGAGGAGCGGTGGAAGAGAGAGGATAAAGTCCGAAGGGAGCGCGCGGCGGAGGCGGAGCGCATCGCGAGGGAGCGGCGGCGGTTCCAACGCGCCTCCGCCGCGACGCGTTTCGACGCGTTGCTCACGGAGACGGTCAGGCGCGTTCTATACACTGGTCCCCATACGACCGCGTTGGCGTGGTGAACGCCGTTTCTTAAGGACTTTGCCCGGCGGTTCTCTGCGCCCACCCCTTGCGTTCAATCCCCGCCCTCGACGCCTTTCAACTTCAACTGACGCCTTTGAACTCCACCCCGTCGTTCGCTCGTATGGAACGACCCTCAGAGACCCGGAGTCGACGTGGGCGGACGCGCTTCCGAGGCTTCGCGGGGACGTGCAAAACCGCGCGGCGGTGGACGGGCCGCTATCCGAGCGGGAGATGCGCGACGCGTTTGAAACGCACGTCTCCGGGCTGTTACGTAAAGCCGCCGCGGACGCGAGGGAGGCGTTGGAGGCGAAGATCGTCGCGCACGCGGCGAGCGATTTTTTAGACGACGAAGAAGAAGAAGAAGAAGAAGAAGAAGGCACGCCGTCCTCCGGGGGTGCCGACTCGGGTGCCGACACCGACGACGAAGACGCGCCAAAGCGAGAGAAGAATAGGAAGAAGAAGAACCCGCTGACGTCTTTCGTCGCCGCCGCCGCGCTGCTCGGCGACGACCCCAAGTTTGAACGGTGCCCGCTCACCGAACGCGCGTCGCAATACGTTCAGCACGTAGAGCGGTTGTGCGTCAAGCACGGCGTCGCGGCGCTTCCCGAGGAGGTCAAGGCGCTGCGGGACGAGCTCGAGGCGGCGAGGAGAGAGGAGGACGAGGAGAGGCGGGCGGCGCGCGACCGCGAGCTGCGCGGGATGAAGCGGACGTTGGAGGAACGCCGCGATCGCGACGGAGAGAGCGACGGAGGAGGTAGGGATTCGCGGGATTCGCGGCCGCCGCCGCCGCGTCGACGACGGTCGCGGTCGCGGTCACCCTGAGCGATGACTCACGAGCGTCGTCGCCCGTCCGTCGTCCGTGACACCACTCGTGACGTAGTAACGTCCGCGTCATTAGCGTTATCATTAGTTAGAGATCTACACGACGACGACTCCCCCCCCCGCCGCCGCTTCTTCGACACTGGTCCCCATACGACCGCGTCGGCGTGGTGAACGCCATTCCTTAAGGCTACCGCTCCCGCGGCTCCTCCACCGGGACGAGCTCGACGCCCTCGGAGCCGTCGGGATGCATCCCATCCCGCCGCCGTTCGCGCCTCTCCCGCGCCGCCGCCTCCGCCTCGCTCCTTCGCCCCTCCTCCGCCTCAACCTCCTCGAGCGCGCTCCACAACGCCTTCCCCTCGCGTCTGCCCTTCACCCGCCTCGCGACGACGCCGCCGACGATACCCAGGACGACAACGATCACTGCCATCGCGATCAGAAAGCCGTACCGCGAGTCGCTCGCCTCGGCGCCGCCGTCCGCGACGCAGAAGACGCCGCCGCCGCCCTCGCCGAGCGCTCCCGCGAGGACGTCCCTCTGCGAGTCGTCGCGCGTCAGCGTGAACGACGACCGCATGAAGTGGCCCGTCTTGCCGCTCGCGGAGGTGATCGTGAACGTCGCCTCGCGCACCGTCGGATCCGTCGGCCCGCACCACAGCAGCGCGTGCGACGACGCGGTCAGCCGCACGTTCGCGCGCTGGCCGTCGCAGTCGGACCCAGGGACCGCGGGAATGAGCTCGCCGTCCAGGTACGCGCCCTGGTCGACGAACGCGCCGCGCGACGTGACGAGGAACTGGACGAAGCGACGTCGGGGTGTAGTGTTCAAAGGCGTCAGTTCGAGTTCAAAGGCATCGAAGGCGGGGATTGAAAGCGAGGGACCCTGGGCGGAGAGATGCGACGGGCAAAGTCCTTAAGGATCGGCGTTCACCACGCCGACGCGGTCGTACGGGAACCACAGCAGTCACACATCGTGTGAGATCGAACGCGCCTGGACGTCGCCCGCGAGATGCGAGACGTTGAGTCGATGGCGGCAGCCGCCGCAGAAGACGCCGACGGGAGGCGCGCGCGCGCCGGTCCAGAGCGTCGCGTCGTTCGCGAGGACGTCGGACGCGTTCGCGAACGTCACGGCGACGGTCACGGAGGAGGACGTCGGCGCGCCGTGGCCGCTGATGGCCATCCCATACGAAGCGATGTCGGTGTGGAGTTGAAAGGCGTCAGGTGGAGTTGAAAGGCGCCGAGGGCGGGGATTGAAAGCGGGGAGTGGGCGAAGAGATGCGCCGGGCAAAGTCCTTAAGGATCGGCGTTCACCACGCCGACGGGGTCGTATGGGGACCAGTGTATAGAACGCACCTGATGGCGAACTGCGGATGCGCCGCGTCGCCGCACTTTCCTTTGCTCATCTTGGTCGGGTACGCGTCGGCGCGATGACGCGGGAGCGACGCGAGGAGGGAGAGGAGGGAGAGGAGGAGGACGGGCGCGGCGGGAGGGGGGCGCGCCATCCTCCCCGAGGAGGAGGAGGAGGACGCGCGCGACGCGCGGGCCATTCTGCCGACGACGCGATGAATTATCCATTGTTTGGCGCCGCAATTTTATTTCTGCAGCGTAGTGCACTTCTAACCTATCGCGCTACATACTCCTTATTACTATCGCCGCATCCCGGGCGGCAAGTGCGCCGCCTCGCCCTCCCCCCGCGCCGCCTTCACCTCCCCCAACGCGCGCTCCAACGCAGCCTTGATGACCGGCAAGAGGACGTCGTCGTACGCGCGGTCGACAAAGTGCAAACCGTCCTCGCGGTAGAGATTAAACCTCGGCCGCGGCGGCGACCCCGGCGATGATGATCCCTCCTCGAAGAGCCCGGGGTTCACCTCCACGTACGTCAACCGCGGCGCGTTCGCGGCGCAGTGCGCCCTCATCGCGTCGTTGACCGCGTCCACCTCGTCCCAAACCGGCATCTTCTGCGGCGCCTTGCACACCGACACGAAGAGAATCCGCTCGACGCGCGGTCCGACTGCGTGGGTGAAGCGATCGGTCAGTCGAACGTCTTACCGGTCAAACGTTGAAAGGGAAGCGCGGGTGAAGAGTGACGACGGGAAAAGTCCTTAAGGAACGGCGTGCACCACGCGAACGGGGTCGTATGGGAAGCAGTCTCACCTCTGTCGCAAAACGCGGCGAAGGCGTCGCGAATCGCCGCCGCGCCGCGCCCCTCGTTCACGTCGTTGCTGCCGCAGTAGTACACGATAATCTCCGGGTCGTGCGGCGTCGCGATCGCGTCCACGACGCGGAGCAGATCTTCGGTCGTGGACCCGCCGAACGCGCGGTTAATCACGCGCGTCGGCGCGAAGTCGGCGTCGAAATCTCGAATCTCTCGCCACTCTCGGAAGATGGAGCTGCCGACGAAAAGCGCGGCACGCTTCGGCGGCGGGTCCGCGGCGTCGATCCTGACGAAACGGCGTATCTCCGGGTCGAACCAGTCCCCCGCGGGTTCGAAGATGGGCGGCGGCGTCATCGATCCCGCGGGGTATCTTCGCGACGATCGAAGACGTCGAGGACGCGACGACGACGACGACGACGACGACGGCGGCGACGCGTTGACTGTCGACGACGCGAAGATACCCCGCCACCGCGCGACGCTCATGCGCGCGGGGCCTCCGCTCCGCCGCCGACGCCGCGCCCCGCGTCTGCCGACCGGACCCGCCTGCGAGGACGAGGAAGCGCGTGGGGGGGGACTGTGTGGGCGTCAGCGTCGAGAGTAAACCCCGTTGAGTTGGCGCGTTGTCTCCGCGCTGGTCACATGACTGTGTTATGGCTAGCCGCTCCGGCGCCGCGCGCCGCGAGAGCGGCGCGCGTCGTCGCGGAGGTCCCGCCCGCGAGGGCTGGCACTCTCTGCCGCGTTGCCCGGGGATTTTCGCCCGGTGTTCGAGTGATGTCGTGAAGGAAAAGTCCGCCCGGGCGCGTCGGTCGCGAGCGACCGCGCGCGCGATTTAAATTCGGTCGGGTCCGTTGCGTCCACCGAGGGTGACCCTTCGCGCGCGCCCACCTGATGCGATGTTCGTCCGCGTGGTCGATTCGATTCGACGCGCGTCGCCGGCCGTCGACGGGGCGATCCTCGAGCGATGCGCGCGGAGGCGCGGACGAAGGTCGCGCTGCGGACCCGGCCGCTCCTGCGGGAGCGGCGGGGGCGCAATGGCAACCCTAGACCAGATCGCACTCCTCAAGTTTCGTCGTCAGCGCAGTAGCGGCGGCGCGCGGTTAGCGTGCACTGCGACGAGATTCTGTTGTTAGCTTTCCGAGACGAGCATTGGCGCGCGCGCGATGCTCGCGGCGAGCATGACCGCCGTGGCGCTGTCCGCGCGGTGGGCGACGTCGGGGGTCTCATCGCGCGTCGCGCTCCGGCGCGTCGCGCAGAGAGGCGGAGGAGGAGGAGGCGATCGGCACCGTCGACTACATCATCGTCGCGAGGGAGGCGTCGTCCTTCTCGCCGCGTTTTCCGACGACGGCGGCGGATTCGCCGGCGGCGGAAGAGGCGCGCGCGCGTCGTCGTCGTCGTCCTCCGCGCCGGGACGCGGCGGCCGCGGCGGACGCGGTGGTCGCGGACGCGGCGGCGGCGACCGCGCCCGCGCCTACGGCCCCGTGAAGCGCAAACCGCGGCAGATGACGCCGTCGCAGCTCGCCTCCGTCGCGGCGCTGCAAGCCGTCGCGGACGCGCGCGCGGTACCGCGATGCGTCCTCCAGCGCGGGAAGGCGAACATGTTCCTGGACGGGAACCCGATCGTGTACGGCGGCGCGATCGAGCGCGTGGAGTTAAACGCGAACGGCGATCGACTCGCGACCGGCGACGCCGTCGTCGTCGTCGATCACGCCGGCGGCGTCGTGTGCTGGGGGACGTACAACCCGAAGTCGATGTACCGCGTCCGCGCGTTGCAATCCGCGTGGGAGACGACGGTCGCGACGACCGAGGACGGGAGGGTCGCCGCGGTGTGCGACGTGCGCGAGGCGATGCGAGGGAAGGTCCGGGTTGCGGCGGCGTTGCGCGCGGACCTCGGCCTCGGTGGCGCGCTCGCGGACGACGACGACGACGACAACCGTCGCGAAAAAGATCGCACGGACGCGTACAGGCTGTTGAACTCCGAGGGCGACGGCCTGAGCGGCGTCTGCGTGGACGTGTACGGCGCCACCGCGGTCGCGTCCGTGTCCGCCGCGTGGGCGCGGCTCAATCGCGCGGAGATCGTCAAGGCGCTGGGGACGTACGGACGCGTCGCCGACGTCGTGTGGCGAGAGGACGCGAAGATGCTGAAGCTCGAGACGGGCGAGGACGCCGACGCGGACGATGACGTGGACGATGACGTGGACGATGACGACGAATCAGAGGGCGAAGACGGCGCGGCGGGCGAATCTCCGACGGCGACGGCGACCGACGAGATCGCGCCGCGGTACGACGCCGCGACAGGCGAGCCGGTCGCCGGCGAGTCCGCGCCCGTCGTCGTGACCGAACGCGGCGTCAAGTTCGAGGTCGACCTCGCGCGCGGGCACAAGACCGGCTTCTACGTCGACCAGAGAGAGAACCGCGCCGCGGTGCGACGGTTCGCGTCCGCGCCCGGGATACGAAAGGTCATGGACGTGTGCTGCTACACCGGCGGGTTCGCCGTCAACGCCGCGCTCGGGGGCGCGAGCGACGTCACGGGCGTGGACAGCTCGCGGCCGGCGTTGGACGTCGCGGCGAAAAACGCGTCGTTGAACGGCGTCACCGACCGTATACGATGGGTCAAGAACGACGCGTTCAAGCACCTCGACGCGTGCCTCGAGAACGGCGAGGCGGGGACGTACGATCTGATCGTCTTAGACCCGCCGAAGCTCGCGCCGAACGTCAAGAGCGTCGCGAGGGCGGTGCCCAAGTACGTCGGCATGAACCAACGCGCCATGAAACTGTTGGTGCGTACCTCCGTACTACGTGTCACGACCACATCCACACGAATTGCCATGTCATCTATATACGTACTTTACTGACCAATCGCATCGCGATTATCGTTCTCGTTCGCAGCGTCCCGGGGGTATTCTGGTGACGTGCTCGTGCAGCGGCGCCGTCACGCAGCAAAAGCTTCTGCCCGAGATCGTCGCCGCCGCGGCGCAGAGCGCGGGAAGGAAGGTCACGATGCTCGGCGCGCCCAGAGGCGCGGGGGAGGACCAGCCATTGGACCCGTTCTATCCGGAGGGGAACTATCTGACCGTCGTCGTCGCGCGAATCGCGTAGGAAGTCGGGAGTCGTTAGTATTATTACGTGACTACAATATAAAGATACCGTATTCTTTCCGACGAATCTCAACCTCCGACGAGACGCGAACGGTCCTCGTCACACGTCGATGCTGGAGTACGTCGCGTACGTGTCCCCCGACCCGTCGCTGTACTTCCGTCTCTCTCCACCCCCCCGCGCGTTTCCGCCGCCGTGACGCCCGTCTCCCGCGCATACGGTGTTCTGCGCGAACGCGCCGCCCGCCGCGCTCGCCAACCAAACGAAGAAACACAGATGGTTCGACCTCGCGCCGAGATCTAATCCGTGCTCGTACACGTCCGTGATCTTCGACACCCACAGATCCCCGCGCGCGGACGTCCCGCTGCGCCACATCCAGTAGTTCGCGCTCGACATCATCAAGAACCCGCCCGTCGCGGCGTACGTCGCGATGTTCACGGTCGAGGTCACGCCTCCGGACCTTAAGCTTCGCAGGCTGTCTTCGTTGAGCGTGCCGAGGAGGTATCTGCGCTCGTCGTGAAACACGCGGAGGAACGCGATTGGTCAGTTCGTGTGTATGTATAGATGACGTGGCTGCGTATCGCGTGTGGTTGAAACGACGAACGACGCGAGAGAGAAGGTGGAAGAGAGAGCGAGGGGGAAATTAGACGCACCCGGCGTATCCGCCCGCGGCGAGCGCGACGACAAAAAAATATTCGCTCAGATTCCAAATCTCCGCGGCGACGTTATACATCAGCGCCGCGCTCGCGACGCCCGCGCTCGCGCCGAACGCCCTCGGCAGCGTCTCCGCGCGGAAGCACCACACCAGCGCGAACCACGCGCAGACGCCGACGCACGCGCACGCGATGAGCTTCGCGTCGTCCGAGACGGCGGGCGCGTGGAAGAAGAGATTCGCGATGATCAGAGCGACGAAGAAGCCCGCGAGCACCACGAGCGCGTGCTGGAAGAACGCGTCGTGGTAGCGATTCCTGCGCGCGCGCGGAGGAGAGGCGAGGAGGGGAGAGGGAGGGAGGAGCGGTTTGTCAGGAGGGAGGATTGCGACGAGAGGAGAGACTCGACGACGCCGATGACGCCGGGATCGAGGAGGGATCGACGTCGAGAACTATGGATGACGCGTCGACGGCGAGACGTAACCGCCGGCGACGATGGGGCGCGAGGGGGTGCGGGCGATGAGGGAGGCGCCCGCGCACCCGCAGCACGCGAAGCCGATCCCGAGCGCGAGGACGATGGCCGCGAAGACGTCCGACACCGGCGCGTTCCCGCCGTGCGCGTGCTCGAGGTCTTCGTCGTCTAAACCCATGACGCGACGCCGCGCGCGCGGAGGTGTGCGGGGGCGCCGACGACGGCGGGAGTTGTTGACCTCGACTGCTCGAGTCCGGTCACGGTCACGGTCAGCAGGCAGCCAGGCAGCAGAGCCATCTCACCGCGGAGACCGGGCGTCTCCCTCGCGCCAGACGACCTCGCGCGCGGCGCGTGTTCACGCCCCGGCCGTCATGGGGAAGCTCGATCTCGACGCGTGGATCGCGAAGGTGCGCCGCTCGACGCCCGCGCTCGACCCTCGGCGCCGATCTCGCGCGACGTCGACGACGACGACGGCACCGGTCAAGACGGACGCCAACGGCCCGAGCGAGATCCGCGCGCGGGGGACCGCGTCGTCCGTTCCGTCCGTCCGTCGCGGCGACGACGCGCCCATCGATCGCGCCGCCCCGCGCCGCGCCAGCGCGACAACGATCGTCCCGCTCGCGCCGCGCCGCGCCTCCTCCTCGCGCTGACGCCCGCGCCGTCCGTCCGTCCCGTCCCGCGTCCTCCTCCTCCTCCTCCCTCCGCGCGTCATTCGTTCAGATCAAGCAGTGCGAGCCGCTGGAGGAGGCTGAGCTCGAGGCGCTGTGCGCGTACGTCAAGGAGGTCCTCGTGGAGGAGAGCAACGTGCAGCCGGTGTGCTCGCCGGTGACGGTGTGCGGGGACATCCACGGGCAGTTCCACGACCTCCTGAAGCTCTTCGAGACGGGTGCGCGCGCGAGGCGTCTCTCGCGCGGCCGCGTTCGAATGAATATCATAGATCGCTCGCGCGGGCTCCGTCGTTCGATCGATCGATCGATCGATCGTTTCGCGCGTCCATCCGGTCGCCCGCCCGTCCTCGATCCGACAGCCGCGCCGTCGCGCATCGACTCACCCTCCTCCCCCTCCTCCCAGGCGGCGACGTCCCGGACACGAACTACATCTTCATGGGCGACTTCGTCGACCGCGGTGAGACTGGTTCCCGTACGACCCCGTTCGCGTGGCGCGCGCCGCGCCGTTCCTTGAGGACTTTTCCCGTCCGTCGTCACTCTTCACCCGCGCTTCCCTTTCAACGTACGTTTGACCGGTAAGACGTTCGACTGACCGATCGCTTCACCCGCACAGGGTACAACTCGCTCGAGACGTTCACGCTGCTCCTGCTCCTCAAGGCGCGGTGGCCGCAGTGCGTGACTTTACTCCGAGGAAACCACGAGTCGCGGCAGATCACGCAGGTGTACGGATTCTACGACGAGTGCCAGCGGAAGTACGGCAACGCGAACGCGTGGCGGTGGTGCACGGACGTGTTCGATTACCTCACCCTCTCCGCGCTGATCGACGGAGAGGTGCTGTGCGTCCACGGCGGCTTGTCGCCGGACGTGCGCACGCTGGATCAGGCGCGTTCTATACACTGGTTCCCATACGACCACGTTTGCGTGGTGAACGCCGATCCTTAAGGACTTTTGTCGGCATTTCTCTCCGCCCATCCCTCGCTTTCAATCCCCGCCCTCGGCGCCTTTAAACTCCTCCATCTGACGCCTTTCAACTCCACCCCGACATCGCTTTGTATGGAACGGCCCTCAGATTCGCACGATCGATCGTCTCTGCGAGATCCCGCACGAGGGCCCGTTCTGCGACATGATGTGGTCCGACCCGGAGGACATCGAGACGTGGAGCGTCTCCCCGCGAGGCGCGGGGTGGCTGTTCGGGAGGAAGGTCACCGCGGAGTTCAACGCGATCAACGGGTTGAACCTCATCGCGCGCGCGCACCAGGCGCGTTTTGTTCTAGTTTCACACCGGTTCCCATACGACCGCGTCGGCGCGGTGAACGCCGTTCCTTAAGAAGGACTTTTCCGCCCGGCGTCTCTCTCCGTCGCTCTCGTTCAATGAAACAAGATCCACGTCATCGAATAACTAACCAATCACATCACTTCCCGCCACATCACCAACCAATCGAACGACGACACCTCATCAGCTCGTGCAAGAGGGGCTCAAGTACACGTTTCCGGAGAAGAGCTTGGTCACGGTGTGGAGCGCGCCGAACTACTGTTATCGGTGCGGGAACGTCGCGAGCATGCTCGCGTTCGACGATAAGATGGAGCGGACGGTGAAGTACTTCACGGAGACGCCGGAGAACAGCACGATGATGGCGCCGAGGGCGAGCGTGCCTTACTTTTTGTGACGGAGGAGGAGGAGGCGTCTAAATCCGGCGGAGGCGCGGGCGGGGGCGGGGGGGACGCGTCGCGTCGCGCGCGCCCGCGGGGCGAGCGGCGCGTCGCGCGTCGCTCGCGGGGGTATTATTTCGCGGTCGCAATCACGTGCGGCGCGCGGTTGTAATCGTAGTCGACAATGAACACAGAACTCGTCGTCGCGCGCGCGCTCGCGTCGCTCTCGACAGGATTCTCCTGCATTCACACTTCACGCGCCCCGCCGCGCCCTGCGCGCTCCCCCCGCTACTCGCTCCCCCGCTACTCCCCCTCCCTCTACCGCTCGTGCTTCGCGTCCTTGATCATCAGCTTCGCCCGCGCGTGCTTCAGCTCCTTCTGCTTCGTCTTCACGATCAGCGCGTTGCAGCCGACCCACCCGGCTTCCTCCTCCGCCTCGAGCGCCGCCACCTTGGCCTCCAGCTTATCGACGCCGTGGTAGTCCTTCGCGCGGTCGCGGACTATCGTCTTCTTGACCGGCACCCTCGAGACGCTCCGGTGGATCTTTCCTTTCAGGCCGGTCTTCCCGCGCCTGCCGCCCTTCGGCATGACGATCCTGGATATCTTGCCCATGGCCGCGGCGGCTCTGCCACGCGCGCGCGACGGAGTGACGACGTCCGGGCGGTAGAAATTCGCGCTCATCAAGACGCCGGAAAAAACTTGCAGACCGCGCGAGGGTCCCTCCCCGTCACTCCCGACGCCGCGCGTCCGTCCGTCCTCCATGGCGTGCGCGCGCGCCCTCGCCGCGCCGCGGTCCTCCGCCCCGGCGCCGCCGCCGCCGCGCGCGTCGTCGTCGTCGACCGCGTCGTGCTCCTCCTCGCGCCTCGTCGCGCGCGCGGCGGGGGCGCGCGGTCGCCGCGACGACGACGACGCCGTCGTCGTCGATGTTCACGGCGCGACGCGACGTCGTCGTCGCGCCGTCGTCCCGCGCGCGTCCTCCTCCTCCTCCTCCTCCTCCTCGCCCGCCGCCCCCTCCGAAGCGCACGCGGAGCCGTACTCCTTCTTCGATCTCGCGACCGCGGAGTTCCCCGCGGACTGGCGAACCCCCACCGCGAAGGTGACGTACGCGGACTCCCCGCTCGACCTCGCGCTCATGGCGTGGTTCATGCGTAAGATCGCGATGGCCATCGACGCGCCGTTCTCCCCCGCGGACGTCTCCTACGACGCGTTCATCGCGCTGTGCTTCCTTCAGATGCGAGGCCGCGACCCGGACGGGCAGCGCGACATCACGCTGGGGATCATGCGATCGCTCATGCCCCCGGGCGGCGACAAGGTGTTCCGCAAGCTGTTCCCTACGAACAAGTTCTCTTTAGAGCTCAACGCGACCATCTGCAAGGTCGTCTTCGCGTGGATGGTCGGTCCGATGACCGTCGAGAAGACGGACGAGAACGACTTGCGCGAGGAGATGGCGTCGCGCGTGCACATAAAGAAGTGCCGGTGGCTGCAAGAGAGCGGGTGCACGGGCATGTGCGTGAACATGTGCAAGGCGCGTTCGAGTCACACTGGTCCCCATACGACCGCGTTCGCGTGATGAACGCCGATCCTTAAGGACTTGGCCCGCGCGTGTTTCTCTCCGCCCACCCCTCGCTTTCAATCCCCGCCCGCGACGCCTCACGACTCCGCTTCTGACGCCTCACAACTCCACCCCGACGTCGCTTCGCACGGGCAAACACCCTCGACCCTCCTCAGACGGCGACGCAAGACTTCTTCCGCGACGACTTCGGGCTTCCGCTCACCATCAAGCCCAACTTCGAGGACAAGAGCTGCGACTTTTACTTTGGGCTGACGCCGCCGCCGATCGAGGAGGACGAGGCGCTGACGTTCGGGTGCAACGCGACGTGCGGGACCGCGCTGGACGTCGGGGTCGAGGGAAAGCCGTGTCACAAGCTTCGCGCGTCGTCGTGAGCGAGGAAAAATATGTAGGGTCCGTCCTGTCTGGTCTGTGCGCGCGAAAATGAGAGGACGGTGCGCGTGAGCGTTACGGAATGACCGAAAGCGTTCACGCTTTTACTGATTTGCGCCGTATGCGCATTTAGTCACAGAAGTGATCGTTGAAAAAAACAAATCTTTTTACACGTCCGCCCCAGTCTCCGGGGGATCTCGCTCGTTCGGGGCTCCGCGGCTCGACGCGCGCGCGCGCGCGCGCGCGCGCCGACGGCGCCCGTCGTTCACGCACGTTTTGTTCGTACATCGTCGCGTCGTTCTCGAGGTTCTTCGCGTTCTTCCCGCGCGCGCCGCGCGTCGTTCCGGTCTCGTCGTCGTCGCGCGAAAAATGAAGTCGTCGTTCGTTCACTTACTTGTTGCACGCGTCGCACCCGTGCGAGCACGAGCTCTTGCACGAGTCGCACGAGCACTTGGAGCAGCCGCACGCGTCGCACTTCTCCGCGCAGCCGCAGGAGCCGGCGTCGCACTTGCAGTCGGAGCCGCAGGAACAGGCCATCGTCGCAGTCGGTGAGGGAGTCGGAGTCGGGGGGGGACCGGGTTTTCTTTTTTTTTCCTCGCGCGAGACGGAAGTGAGCGTTGGCGGAGGTGCGTGGACGCGAAGGCGTCCGAGGTGCCGCGTCGGATTCGCGTGCCCAGCCATACTGTACCGGTGAACCGACCGCCGATCGCGATGAACCGCGGCGGTTCGATCGATGAAATTCGATCGGCGCGCGCGTTCGATCGAAAGGGAGAAACCCAGCCAGAAAACCAAAAGCCGATCGAGGCGAGGCGCGCGCGAGAGAGCGAGAGCGAGAGCCGCTCGCGAGATTATTATTCTCGCGACCGACACGTCGCCCATCGGCTCCATCCGCGGCCGCGCGCGCGCCCTCTCGAGCGTCGCATCGCACGGTCATGCCGAGCCCCGGCGCGAAGATCCTGCGCGGCATCCTCGGCGTCGCCCTCAGGGGCGCGGCCGAGCGCGGGCCGCTGTCGCGCGAGCTCGGGAGCGAGCTCCGCGCGGCGTCGGAAGCGCTGCTGTCGAGCGGCGTGACGCGACGGCCGCGACGCGACGACGACGACGCGAGAGCCCCGGGGCCCACGGGGAGATTCGCCGACGCGATCGCGCGCGCGTCGTCGTCGTCGTCGTCGTCGTCGTCGTCGTCGTCGCCCGCGGCGACGCCGTTCCGTCCGCCGCCGGGGGCGACGCGAGGCGCCGCCGCCGCAGCGGGCGACGCGAGCGAAGATCCCGACGCCGACGAACCGTCGACGTCGACGTCGACCGCCGCGTCGCCGCCGCCGCCGCCGCCGCCGCCGAAGCCGCCGAAGCCCTCCTCCTCCCCCGCGCCGCCGTCCGCGCCGCCGCCGCCGCGCAGAGAGGTCGCGGTGCCGTCGTCGCAGATCGGACGCGTCGTCGGGTTCGCGCAGCTCGGCCTCGGCCTCGCCGCGGGGTCCGTCGCGGAGACCGCGCGCCGCGCGTGGAAGGGCGGAGACGGCGGAAAGAAGAAGAAGAAGAAGGCGCGCGACGGCGAAGAGGAAGAGGAGGAGGAGGAGGAGCCGGAGTACCTCGTCGGCGGCGGGAGTGGCGGCGCGTCCGCGTCCGTGTTCCTCACCGAATCCAACGCAGGCGCGTCCCATACACTGGTCCCCGTACGACCGCGTCGGCGTGGTGAACGCCGATCCTTAAGGACTTTTGCCGTCGTCTCTCTCCGCCCAGGGTCCCTCGGTTTCAATCCCCGACCCTATGACGCCTTTCAACTCCACCTGACGCCTTTCAACTCCCGGGTCAGAGCGACTCGCCGCGGGCCTGTCTCGCATGCGCGGCGCCGCGCTCAAACTCGGGCAGATGCTCTCGATCCAGGACGACGCGGTGATCCCGCCCGCGATCGCGAAGGCGCTCGAGCGCGTGCGGCAGGGCGCGGACATCATGCCGCCGAAGCAGTTGGAGGCGGCGATGCGCGAGCACCTCGGCGAGGGGTGGCGGGAGAAGGCGCGTCCTTCAATTCGCGCCGGTCCCCGTACGACCGCGTTCGCGTCGTGAACTTCATTCCTTAAGGACTACACTACTTTCTCTCCCGGCGCGGCGTTCGTCGCTCTCCGCCCACAATCCCTCGGTTTCTTCGATCCCGACGCGCCGCGACGCCTTTCGACTCCGCGTCTGACGCCTTTCGACTCCGCCCCGACGTTCGTCGCTTTGAACGATGGAACGACCCTCAGATGGTCTCGTTCGACCCGTCGCCGCTCGCGGCGGCGAGCATCGGGCAAGTGCACCGAGCGACGTACCTCGACGACGAAGACGGCAGCGAGACGCGAGGGCAGACCCTGGACGTGTGCCTCAAGATTCAGTACCCCGGCGTCGCGCGGTCGATACACTCGGACATCGACAATCTCATGACGCTCGTGTCGTTCACGGATCTGTTGCCGCGCGGGCTGTACGTAGAACACGCCGCCGCGGTGGCTAAGGAGGAGCTCACGTTGGAGTGCGACTACGAGCACGAGGCGCGGGCGCAGGAGAAGATGCGAGAGCTGCTGAGGGACGACCCGGCGTGGACGGTGCCGAGGGTGATCCGGCCGCTCAGTGGGAAGGGCGTCCTCGCGACGACGTTCGCCAAGGCGCGTCTTTTGGCGTCGTTCGTTCGTTGATTTGCCACGTCATCAACGAACGGACTGACTGACCAATCGCTTCCCCTCCCTCCAAATCTCCACGCGCGCGCATCTATCTTCTTCTATCTTCAGGGCAAAGCCATCGACGACGCGAAGGACTTGCCGCAGGACGAACGCGATCGCGTCGGCGCGGAGTTACTCCGGATCACGCTGCGCGAGCTGTTCGAATTTCGCTTCATGCAGACGGACCCAAACTTCGCCAACTTTCTCTACGACTCCCCGTCCAAGCAGCTGACGCTCATCGACTTCGGCGCGGCTAAGTCGTACGCGAAGCCGTTCGTGGACGACTACCTGCGGATGGTCGTCGCGTGCGCCGAGCGCGACCGCGCCGGCGTCGTGGACGCGTCCGTCGCGCTCGGCTTTCTGAGGCGCGTTCTATCTCACACTGGTCCCCATACGACCCCGTTCGCGTGGTGAACGCCGATCCTTAAGGACTTTTGTTCCCGGCGGCGCATCTCTCCGCCCAGGGTCCCTCGCTTTCAATCCCGACACACCTCGGCGCCTTTCAACTCCGCTTCTGACGCCTTTCAACTCTACCCCGACGGCGCTTTGAACGACGGACCCTCGACCCTCAGCGGCGAGGAACCGGAGGTTCTGATCGACGCGCACGTCGAGGCCGGGTTCCAGGTCGGGACGCCGTTCGCGACCGAGGGCGCGCACGACTTCGCGACGAACCGTGCGATGACGCGGAAGGTGGCGGGTCTGGGGAAGGTGATGCTGAAGCATCGGCTGAAGGCACCGCCCGAGGAGGCGTACTCGTTGCACCGGAAGCTGTCCGGGTGTTTTCTCGCGTGCATGCGGTTGGGCGCGAGGGTGGACGCGAGGAGGATGCTCAGGGAGACGTACGAGGGGTACGACTTCGGACCGGGCGTGGGCGGAGGGGAGGAGGGAGAGAGGGGTGACGCCGTCGAGCCCGGGCTGGCGGCCGCGGCGGCGTGACGACGACCGCACTCGTAGAGAACATCTAAATTAGACGCCGATCGAAAACCAAACGCGTTCAGGAACTGCTTGCTGTGATGCAGACTGAGTGGATAAAGTCGCAGAGACACACTCATCCGATCCTCGTCACTCCGTCGCGCGCACGACTCGCCCGATGCTCGCCGCGACCTCGTCGATCTCTTCCGCCGCGCGCGTCGCGCCGTCGCTCGCGACGACGCCGAAGCGGCGCGTCGCGCGCTCGACGCGCGTCGCCGCCGCGGCGCCGCGCGCGTCCGCCTCGTCGTCCTCGTCGTCGTCGTCGTCGTCGTCGTCGTCGGCCGACCGGCTCGCGTCCGCGGGCGTCGCCGCGCTCGCCGCCGCCGCCGTCGCGCTCGCGACGGGCCCGGCGCTCCCCGCGTCCGCGCGCCTCGAGGGCGTGAACAACCCGCAGATGCTCCCGCCGGGGCCGCCCGTGGAGGTTCTCGACGTCGCGGGCTACCTCACCCCGGGCGAGATCAAGGTGCGTTATGTGCGCTGGTTCCTTTGCGTTGGCGTGGTGAACGCCGATCCTTAATGACTTTACTTCCCGGCGTGTGTTGTGTTTCTCTCCGCCCGTCCCTCGGTTTCGATCCCGACGTACCTCGACGCCTTTGGACTCCATCTGACGCCTTTCGACTCCACCCCGACGTCGCTTTGAACGATGGAACGACCCCAAGCGACTGACGGGCGAGGTGAAAAATCTCGAGCGCGACACCGGGATGAAGCTCCGCGTCCTCGCGCAGGCGTACCCCAACACCCCAGGGCTCGCGGTCAAAGACTACTGGAGCGTGGACGACGACACCGTCGTGTTCGTCGCGGACCCGGGCCTGGGGAACATCCTGAACTTCTCCGTGGGCGCGTTCTATCTCACACTGGTTCCCATACGTCCGCGTTGGCGCGGTGAACGCCGTTTCTTAAGGACTTTTGCCGTCGTCTCTCTCCGCCCAGGGTCCCTCGGTTTCAATACCCGCCCTCGGCTCCTTCCAACGCCAACTGACGCCTTTCAACTCCACCCCAGGCGCCAACGTGGATCTTGATGTGCCTCCCAACTTTTGGACGCGTCTCGCGGGCAAGTACGGGACGAAGTCGTACTGGCAGGACAACGGCGAGGAGGCGTCGATCGCGAACGCAGTGAGCGCGATCGACACGTGCTTCCGCGAGGAGCCCGGGCGGTTCAAGTGCGCGAAGATTCAGGCGCGTTCTACGTATCTCACGCCGGTCCCCGTACGACCGCGGCGGCGATGTGAACGCCGATCCTTAAGGACTTTACCCGCGCGCGTTTCTCCTCCCACCCCACGGTTTCAATCCCGACGCACACACCTCGACGCCTTTCAACTCCGCTTCTGACGCCTTTCAACTCCACCCCGACGTTCGCTTTGAATGGAACGACCCTCAGTCCGCGGAGCTGGGAGAGGAGCCGACGACGGGGAACTTCGGGACGTCCAAGTTCTTCACGTTCGGAAAGTGAGCGAGCGATCGCGTGCTGTGTGCTGTGTGCTGTGACTATTTTCCCATACGTCGATACGTGGATAGTAGTACGCCCCGACTCCTCGACTACTCGTTCGGTTGATCGACTCTCGCGATGAAGAAAACCTGTCGTCGACGCGTTTGATCGGAACTCCTCGATCGATTTGATCGGTCGCACGCGCCTGCCGTTGCGCGGTCGCGCGTGGTGTTACACCGCGCCGTCGACTCGGGCGCGCGCGTAACCCCGAAAAGAGCCCCTCGCCCGCCCTCGCGCGCGTCGTCGCGTCACATCCGCGCCCGCGCCCGCGCGTCACACACCCCCCCGCGCGCGCTTCCTCGCCGCGGATCGCACCGCGAGGACGCGAGAGAGGCCCCGATCGTCGCCCGCCCGCCCGCCCGCCCGCGATCGATCGCGCCGGAGGTTGGCAGGGATCTATCTCAACTCGTTCGAACGACGCGAGAGAGGCGAGGGACGAACGATGCGGACCGATCCCGAGACGCTGCCGCTGATCGGCGGCGGCCGCGCGCCCGCGCCGTCGTCGTCGTCGTCGTCGTCGTCGTCGTCGTCGAACGGCGCGCGGTTCGGCGTGAAGCACGTCCTCGCCGCCGCGTTCGCGGGCGCGTGCGTCTCCGCCGCGGTCGTCGCCGCGCACGTTGGCCGCGTCGGGGGCGGCGCCCCGGGCGGCGTCCCGCGATTCGACGCGTCGTCGTCGTCGTCGTCGTCGTCGTCCGCGCTCGGCGGCGAATCCTCCGCGGCGACGGCGCCCGCGGCGACGCTCCCGGCGATCCCCGGCTCGTCCGCGCTGAACCCCGCGGAGTTCAGAGCCTCCTCCGCGCCGTCGCAGACGCAGGCGTCCTACGCCGAGGCGAGCGAGTTCGCGAACGTAAACTTCCCGGGTCTCACCGACGGCGAATGGATCGCGAACGACGAGGACGCGACCGCGGAGGTGGTGGCGCTGCGCGCGAAAGCGCGCGACGCGATCTTCGAGCGCCTGACCGAGATCAGGGGCGAGGGGAGGGGCGACGGCCTCAAGACGTCGGGGCCGGGGCGGACGCAGCGCGTCGAGCAGGCGAAGCAGATGTTTCTCAGGCGCGTTTTATCTCATCACACTGGTCCCTGTACGGCCGCGACGGCGTGGTGAACGCCGATCCTCAAGGACTTTACTTCTGACGCCTTTGAACTCCACCCCGACGTTCGCTCGCACGGACCCTCGACCCTCAGAAAATTGAAGGCGGCGATCGAGAAGGTGAAGGCCAAGTACGTCCCCGTCGACGACGGCGGCGACGCGAGCGTTAAAAATACCGCGCACGACGCGGAGATCGCCGCACGCCGCGACCGCGTCGCCGCGAACGTGAAGAAGATGACGGACGCGTACCTGGCCGTCGGCGGCGGCGACGCGAAGAAGACGGAGTTGATCCTAGACGCGAAGCGCTCCGCGAAAGCCGCCGGGTTCGGCGGCGCGCCGGGCGACGGCGGCGGCGGCGGCGGCGCGATGGACTACGCCATCTCGATGAAGCAGAACCTCACGGACGCGCTGGCCGCGATCGCGCGGTTGAAAGCGCAGGTGGCGTCGTTGGAGCGAGGGACGGCGGACGGCGGCGGCGGGTGCGCCGCGGAGCTCGCCGCGTCAACGGAGAAGCTCGCGAAGATGACCGCGGACGACCACGCATTGAGGACGCACGTCAAGACCCTAGACGCCGTCTCCGAGAGCAAGCGCGCGATCCTACGGAAAGCGATGGACGCGGAGAACGCGTTCGACAAACGCAAGATCGCGACGCTGCAGAGCGACCTCGCGTCGTCGCGCGCGGAGACGACGTCCAAGGTTGACGAGCTGCGAGAGTTGAGAAAGCGCGCGTTGGGCGTCCGCGAGAAGCTCAAGACGTACGAATCCGGCGAGAGCGCGCTGAAGAACTCGCTGTGCGACGACGCGACGCGCGAGGCGAACGAAAACTTGCGCACGTGCGAGTCGCGCTTGGACACGTTGCGTCAGGCGGCGAAGGGGTTCATCGACGCCACGCCGCACCACCTCGATTCCGACGGCGGCGCCGGCGCCGGCGGGCCGCCGCCGACGACGACGACGCCGATGCCGTACACCGCGACGCCGACGAATCGCGGATCGCAGGGAGGAAGATACTCGGCCGCCGACGCGAGCGCGTTCGACGACCCGGACAAAGCGATCGAGCCGGGCGGCGACGGCGGCGCGTCGACGACGCCGGCCGTCGCCGAGAAGAAGGCTGACGACGAGAACGAATACGAAGCGCCCGCGGCGGTCGTCGACGCCGAGACCGCGACGGCGAACCGAGGGATGGCCGACGTCGTTCAGCCCGCGTCGGCGGACCAGTCGTTCCTCGCGCCGCGCGATCATCCCGCGCCGGAGCCGATGACGACGGCGACGAACGCGCAGCCGGAGACGGATGCGCAGCCGGAGACGGCTGCGCAGCCGGAGACGGATGCGACCGCGACGGCGCCGCCGCCGGAGACGGATGCGACCGCGACGGCGCCGCCGCCGGAGACGGATGCGACCGAGACGGCGCCGCCGCCGGAGACGGATGCGACCGCGACGGCGCCGCCGCCGGAGACGGCTGCAACCGAGACGGCGCCGCCGCCGGAGACGGATGCGACTGAGACGGCTGCGCAGCCCGCGACGGATGCGACCGCGACGGATGCGCAGCCCGAGACGGCCGCGCAGCCCGAGACGGCTGCGACCGCGACGGACGCGACGGAGACGGATGCGCAGCCCGAGGCGGATCAGACGGAGGAGGACGCGACCGCCTGGTGAACAAATCGTAACGTAATGTAAGTATTAAAACGTCGCTCGTTTTCTTTCATCGTTCGCCGCCGCGCCGCGCCTCACCGCGTCTCGATCCACTTGAGCGTCCCCGCGATCAAGTTCCTCGACGGCAGCTCCCCCGGGCACGGCGTCAGGTACGTGAACCGCCCGTTGGCCACGTCCACGTCGGTGACGAAGATGAACCCCGCCACGTTGCTCGAGAGGAGCTCAGGGTCGTTCCATACAAAGCGATGGCGGGGTGGAGTTCAAAGGCGTCAGGTGGAGTTCAAAGGCGTCGAGGGCGGGGATTGAACGCGAGGGATGGGCGGAGAGACGCGCCGGGCAAAGTCCTTAAGGAATGACGTTCACCACGCGAACGCGGTCGTATGGGGACCAGTGTATAGAACGCACCTCAGCCTGCGTCTTCCCGTGGCTCACGCCCAACACCGCGTTCAGAAGGCTCATCGACGGCGCCACCGTGGACACGCGAAGCGGGTCCGCGCTGCTCTCCTGGCCGATCGGCAGCGCGCTCCGCGGCGCGCTCGGGCCCGCGCCGATCTTGAAGATGGACACCTTGCCGAACTCCAACGTTTGCGAGTGCGGGGAGAGGTCGCCGAGAGGGCCGTAAAAGTACTCTCGCACGCGCGCGTCGCGGGACCGCCTTCGGAACTCCGGCGTGCGCTCCACGACGCCGCCGCTCTTCTGGAGCTTCCACACCTGCACGTCCCTCTCGGTCTCGGGCCCCGCGCCGCCGTCTTCTCCTCCTCCTCCACCTCCGACCACCTTGATCTTTTTCCCTCGCAGATCCCTCGATAGCTCCGCGTGTAACTTTTCGTGGTCGACGACGAGGACGACGTCGATCGCGAGCGCCTCGAGCGCGTGCAACAGGAGCCCGTACCCAGCCTTGTCGATCCACCCCATCGTGTTCACGACCACCCCGCTCGCGGCGGCCGCCGCGTTCGTCTCGTCGCGCGCGCGCAGCATCTCTCCCATGCGGTCGACTATGAACTTTGGGTCGTTTCACATGAGGCGACGTCGGGGTGGAGTTGAAAGGCGTCAGGTGGAGTTGAAAGGCGTCGAGGTGTGTCGGGATTGAAACCGAGAGGCGGGCGGAGTGATGCGCCGGGCGAAGTCCTTAAGGAACGGCGTGCACCACGCCGACGCGGTCGTATGGGAACCAGTGTGAGGAGAACGCGCCTTGTACAGCGTCGGATTGTTCCCCGGCGAGACGTCGCCGTGGAAGTACACGAGCGGCATCTCCAGCGGCAGGCCCTCGCACGCGTCGATCGGGCGGTCGATCGGCACCGCGCCGATCGTCGCCGGGCACGTGATCCCGCCCTGACCGAGGTCCAGATCCGAGAACGTCGGCGTCCAGCCTTTCCTCTGAGGGCCGTTCCGTACAAAGCGATGTCGGGGTGGAGTTCATAGGCGTCAGTTTGAGTTGAAAGGCGTCGAGGTGTGTCGGGATTGAAAGCGAGGTGTGGGCGGAGAGAGACGCCGGGAGAAGTCCTTAAGGATCGGCGTTCACCGCGCCGACGCGGTCGTATGGGGACCAGTGTGAGATAGAACGCGCCTGAGCGTAGTTGCACAAGATCTTCGCGACGGACGACTTGCCCACGTCCGTGGGTCCGACGAGCGCGACGCGCGGCCCCGGCGTCCCCGCCGCCCTCGCCGCCTCGCGCCTGCGCTGCAGGACGCCGTCGACGTTGAGGTACGCGGTCATCGGCGCGGACGCGTTCGCGGTGTACGTCATCTCCGTCTCCCCCGCGATCTCGATCGTGGCGCCTCTCCACGAGAAGATCGCGTGCTTCCCGCCCGGGAGCGTCGTCGGCGTCTTCTTCGGAAGCTCCGCGCCGAAGATCTCCGCGGCGCCGTCGACGAGCGTCGCGGTGACGACGGTCCCGAGCTTGACTTCGACGCGGAGCTCCTCGTCGTTGTTCAGGTAGTGCGTCTGCGACTCCATCTCGTCTCGTTCGTTCGGGCTCTGATAGATCGCCGCCGCCGCGCCCCGACGCAATGAATGCGACGACGATTCGAGCCGACGCGACGAGGCACGCCAGTGAGTTCGCTCGAGAAAAACATTTCTTCGATACCAGTGACCAGGAGTCGCTTTATGTCATCTCGTCGCGCGCGCGTACGTTGTACTCTCGCGCGCATTCTCATAACTAGTTACCCATACGTGACGTACACCCACGGATGACAGAGGTCGGTCGATCACTACTGTCGAACGCGACGACGTGTACCTTTCCGCGGTCGCGGAGCGCTCTCGCCGACCGACGCGCGTCCAGAAGGAGGACGCGCGCGTCGCGGCGAGCTTCCGCGTCCGATCACGTCGGGCCTCTCCCCGCGCGGCGGCCGCGTCTCGCCGTCGTTCGACGACATGGCGGACGCCGAGGACGACGCGGACTTCGAGCGCGGGCCCGTGAGGTGCGCGCGCGCGTCCCCTCGCGGCCGCCGTCCGTTCGTGTTACGACGCGCTCTTTTTTCTTTCCATTCTCGTCGCGTCCTCCCCTCCTCCTCCTCCTCCTCCTCCTCCTCCTCCTCTCGCGCGTCGTCTCATCGCCGTCTCTTCTCCCCCCGTCCCCAATCCGCGACGCCTCAGGCGCTCGCACCAATTCAAGGCGCTCATGAGGAAAAACTTCACGCTCAAGACGCGCGGGATCCTCTGCTGCTGCACGGGCGTCGAGATCATCTTGCCCGTCGTCTTTCTCGCGCTCTTATGCCTCCCCAAAGCCATCGTGAAGGACCAGGTAATGAACGACACGGTGACGAAGCCGTACGCGCTCGCCACGGACTGGAACATGGCGTCGATCGCGACGCAGACGTGCATGCCGGGGTACAGGCTGCTCGTGTACCCTGACAGCGCGGAGGCGATAAAGGTCGTCCAGAAAGCCGCGGTCAATCTGATCTGCGACGCGGACCGGAGTTCCTTCTCCGACGCGCCGAATCCGTTCGGGACGTCGTTCTTGAAGACGCTGAACACTTGCCACGGCGATGCCATACAGACGCTGTACCCAAACTTTCGCGACGTCCTGATCAAGGACAGCGGGCAGACGTACTCGGATCTGGACAAGTTGAACGAGCCCGCCACGTATCCGACTTACGCGACGTTGTCCACGTTTTGCACCGACGCGTTTCTGCAGAGCGGCGCGAACTACGGCGGCGCGTACACCGCAACCGTGTTCGAGGCGCTCACGGGGAGCTTCTCCACGAAGGAGGCTGCGCTGGCGTGGGTCGCGGCGAACCCCGGGCACGCGCTCGGACTGATCGCGTTCACCAGCGGCGTGGACGGCACCGCGGACGCGAGCTCGGGCGCGTCCTTCAATTCACGCCGGTCCCCGTACGACCGCGTTCGCGTCGTGAACTTCATTCCTCGAGGACTTTCTCTCCTCCCGGCGTTCGTTCGTCACTCTCCGCCCACAATCCCTCGGTTTCGATCCCGACGCGCCGCGACGCCTTTCGACTGCATCACATCTGACGCCTCACGACTCCGCCCCGACGTTCGTCGCTTTGAACGACGGAACGCCCCTCAGCCACGGTGAGTTACACGCTGGGCACTAACACGACCGGGTACGGCTCGAACGCGGAGGACGCGGAGCGAACGAAAGAGCTTTTCGTCAGTCGATGGCAGGCGGAGGCGCAGAACGTGGACTGGAAGGATTACATGACGTTCGCGCGCGTGCAAAACGCAGTCGACGGCGCCATCGTCGACGAGAAGGACGCGATCGACAGTAGTGAGTACTCTGTGCGGTTAGACGTCAGCGTGAAGCCGTTCCCGTGGCTCGGGTACGACTATAACCTCGGCGGGATCATCGCCGCGGCGGTCTTCTCCATCATCGGCGCGCTCGCGTTCATGTCCAACGTCGTCATCATCATGAAGTCCGTCGTCGTGGAGAAGGAGCTGCGTCTGCGGGAGGGAATGCAGATGATGGGAATGAGCACGAACACGTACTGGCTCTCGTGGTTCTTCACGCACCTCGTCACGGCGATGTGCACGGTCGTACTCATCTGCCTCATCGGGATGTACCCGTTCGAGTACACGAACCCGTTCTTACAGTTCGTCTTCTACACGCTGTGGGTGATATCCATCATCCTGTGGAACTACATGCTCTCCACGGTGTTCAGCCGAAGCATCACCGCGTCCGTCGTCGGATGCTTCGTCTACGTCATCTCCATGGCGCCCGCCATCGCGGTTCGAATCACGCACGAGAACGGCAGCACCGGGTGGATCGCGAGCTGTCTTCTCCCGGGCGGGACGATCAACATGTGGGGGCACGTGCTGGCGGTTCTCGAGCTCGCGAAGGAGGGCGTGACGTTCGACACGCTCGCGGAGTCGGTGTCTAGGGACGTGAACTTTTCCGCGGGGACGGTGATCGGCATGACCGCGCTCGACTGCGTGATTTACGCGTTCATGACGTGGTACCTCGACAAGGTCTGGCCGACGGAGTTTGGGCAGCGGCTGGAGCCGTGGTTTCTGTTCACGCGCGCGTACTGGCGCGGCGAGAAGGACGACGCCGCGTCGGACGATCAGAAGGAGATTGACGTGGCGGCGTTGGAAAAAGCCGAGGAGGGCGTCACGTTTGAGAAGCTGACGCCGGAGCAGACCGCGCGCGCGCCGGTTCGCATCCGGGGGTTGCGGAAGACGTTCAAGAACGGCGTGACCGCGGTGGACGACCTCACCGTGACGTTCGCGCCGAGTCAAGTCTCCGGTCTGCTCGGGCACAACGGCGCGGGGAAGACGACGACGATCAGCATTCTGACGGGCATGCTCAACGCGAGCGGCGGCGACGCGAAGATAAACGGCCGATCGATCAAGACCGACATGCCGACGATCCGAGCGTCGCTCGGGATTTGCCCGCAGTTCGACGTCCTGTGGCCGACGCTCACGGTGAAGGAGCACCTGGAGCTGTACGCCGCGTTCGGGGGGATGCCGAAGAAGATGATCGGCCGCGAGGTGATAGCCGCCGTGAACGAAGTCGCGCTCTCCGAGAAGCTCGCGTATAAGACGGGGCTTCTGTCCGGGGGGCAACGCAGGAAACTCTCGCTCGCGATCGCGTTCATCGGCCGCCCGAAGGTTGTCTTCCTCGACGAGCCGACGTCCGGGATGGACCCGTACTCGCGCAGGTTCACGTGGGACGTCATCCGACGTCGCGCGGCGAAGTCGTCGATACTTCTCACGACGCACTTTCTCGACGAGGCGGATTTGCTCTGCGACCGCGTCGCGATCATGTCCGCGGGGAAGCTCGCGTGCGTCGGCTCGCCCGTGTTCCTCAAGAACCGATACGGAACAGGGTACCACCTGACGCTGGCGCGGTCGGAGGGGAACGCGGGGGGTAACGGCGACGCCGCGAGCGTTTTATCGCTCGTCGCGAAGCACGTCCCCGCGGGCGCCGTCGCCTCCGACGTCGGCGCGGAGCTCAGCTTCACGCTCCCGACCGACCAAACGCGCGCGTTCCCGGAGCTGTTCAAGGAACTGGACGCGAATCTCCAGAGGCTTGGGTTCAGCAGCTACGGGATCTCGTGCACGACGCTCGAGGAGGTGTTCTTGTCCGTCGCCCGCGGCGGCGTCGGCGGCAAACACGTCGTCAAAAATCGGAAATCCCTCGACGAAAACGAAAATAAAACCAAGGCGCTCGGCGCCGCCGCCGCCGCGGACGAGTCCCCGCTCGTCCCCGCGAGCGAGGACGCGTCGGACGACCACCCCGACGACGTCGAACTGCGCGCCGGGTACTCGCGAGGCTGGTCGCTCCTGGGCCGCCAGATAAGCGGTCTCCTCTGGAAGCGTTGGCTCAACTGGACGCGAGACGCGTGGAGCATCCTGATCCAGATCATCGTCCCCGTCCTCTTCTTCGTCCTCGCGCTCGTCCTCGCCGGGCTCGAGTACGGCGCGAACGAGACGTACTACGACATCAATATCAACCGCGGCTTGCTCGGCGGCCGGCCGACGATCATCTCGGCGCGCGACTCGGACGCCGAGGCGGCGGCGGTGATCGCGCAGTTCACCGCGGATGCGTACGTAAAACGCTCGTACCAATCGCAGGTGGACTGCCGGTGCTTCTGCCCCGCGGACTCGGCGCAGCTCGGCACGTCCACGGTGTACGAGTGCTGCATGCACGACCCCGCGGCCGCGACGACGCTCGCGACCGCGGCGGGGTTCGCCACGAACATCCAATACTGCGGCGCGCAGTCGACGTACTCGCCCGCGGGCGGCGCGTGCGCGACGGACTCGAACGGCATGGACGTCTACGGCGACTGCGTCGGCAGCGCGGACTCGTTCGACGGGTACCTGTGGAGCATCACGGAGCAACGGCAGACGTGCGACTCGCAGCGAAACATCGGGTGCGACGCGATTCATATCGAGCAGTACACGAACGCGGCGTCGAGCGTGTACACGCACACGGTGTACGCGCATCAGAGCGCGTATCACTCCATCCCGGCGACGCTGAACGAGATAAACAGCGCCATCCTGCGCCGACGGACGGGTGACTCGAACGCGCGCATCGCCGTCGTGAACGAGTGGCTCCCCGCGGCGGCGACGTACGGCGACGGCGACGTCGTGGACACGCAAAACGACAGCACGTTCATCACGTCGCTCTTCGTCGTCATGGGCGCGGCGGTGTTGACGTCCTCGCTCGTCGTCTTCCCCGTGTACGAGCGCCGCAACAACTCCAAGCACCTGCAGATGGTCTCCGGGGTGAACAAGATGGCGTACTGGCACTGCCACTGGCTCGCGGACCTCGCGCAGATGGCGGCGCCCGTCGCCGCCGTCGTGTGCCTCTTCGCCGCGTTTAACATCGCGCAGTACCGAGGGCAGCTCGAGGCGATCTCCGTCTTGCTAATCTCGTTCATCGCGTCCAGCATCGGGTACACGCACCTGCTCGGGTTTTACTTCAGCAACGAGTTCTACGCGTTCGTGGGCACGGTCGGCGTTAAGTTGTTCCTCGGCGTCATCACGACCGCCGCGGGGATGGTCGTCGAGGTGCGTTCTATACACTGGTCCCCATACGACCCCGTTCGCGTGGTGAACGCCGATCCTTAAGGACTTTTGCCGGCGCATCTCTCCGCCCACCCCTCGCGTTCAATCCCCGCCCGCGTTGCCTTTCAACTCCATCTGACGCCTTTGAACTCCACCTCGACTTCGCTTTGAATGGACCCTCGACCCTCAGTCGCTCAAGGATCTCAACGACGACACGAAGCTCGCGCATAACATCCTCAAGTACGTGTTGCCCATGATCATCCCGCACTACTCGCTCGGGAAAGGGCTGTACGACATCGGTCAAAACAAGCTGAACGAGGAGCGGTACACGTACGACGCGAGCACGAAGAAGCTGACGCGCGCGAACACGTATCACTACATGAACGACGACGTCATCGGCGACGACGTGTCGTTTCTCCTCGGCACCGCGGCGATGTGGTTCGCGCTCGTGCTCGCCGTCGAGCTCAGCGAAGGCCGGACGCGGACGCGGTTCGTGTACGTCGTGACTTTCGCGTGGCTGCGCGAGTGGCTGCGCGTCGGCGTCGCGGGCGGAGGCGCGCGGCGCGTCGAGGAGCCGCCCGAGGACGAGGACGTCGCCGCGGAACGACGGCGGGTGGAAACGCTCGCGGAGCGCGCGTTTTTGAACGTGTCCCCGGGAGAGTCTTCTTCGCTCGACGGCGTGATCCTCCACGACCTCTCCAAAACCTTCGGCGCGAAGAAGGCGGTGCGCGAGCTGTCCGTGGGTATGGCGCGGGGGCAGTGCTTCGGGCTCCTCGGCATCAACGGCGCCGGGAAGACGTCGACGTTTCGGATGATCACCGGCGAGTTCGCGCCGACGAAGGGCGACACGAACGTCCTCATCAACAACCGCGGCGTGAAGGAGTACGTCTCTATTCACCGCGACCTGACAAGGGCGCGGTCGCTCATGGGGTACTGCCCGCAGTTCGACGGGCTGCAGCCGAACATGACCGCGCGCGAGCTGCTGACGTTTTACGCGCAGATACGAGGCATGCCGCGCGAGGTGCGTTCTATCTCACACTGGTCCCCATACGACCGCGCTGGCGTGGTGAACGCCGATCCTTAAGGACGTTTGCCAGCGCATCTCTCCGCCCACCCCTCGCTTTCAATCCCCGCCCGCATTGCCTTTCAACTCCATCTGACGCCTTTGAACTCCACCTCGACTTCGCTTTGAATGGACCCTCGACCCTCAGGACGTCGACGGCGTCGTCAAGGCGCTGCTCGAGAAGATGTCGCTGACGAAATACGCGGACCGACAGTCCGGGACGTACTCCGGAGGCAACAAGAGGAAGCTCTCCGTCGCGATCGCGCTCGTGGGCGAGCCGTCCGTGGTGCTTCTCGACGAGCCGTCCACGGGGATGGACCCCGAGGCGCGTCGGTTTCTGTGGGACGTCATAAGCGACAGCACGCACGGCCGGACCATCGTGTTGACGTCTCACAGCATGGAGGAGTGCGAGGCGCGTTCTATCTCACACTGGTCCCCATACGACCGCGTTGGCGTGGTGAACGCCGTTTCTTAAGGACTTTTGCCGGCGTATCTCTCCACCCACCCCTCGCTTTCAATCCCGACACATCTCGACGCCTTTCAACGCCAACTGACGCCTTTCAACTCCACCCCGACGTTCTCGCTCGTATGGAACGACCCAAGGCGCTGTGCAACAAGATCGGCATCATGGTCGGCGGGAAGTTCTCGTGCCTCGGTTCCTTGCAGCACCTGAAGAACCGGTTCAGCGAGGGGTACACGCTAGAGCTGCGGTTCGAGCCCGGGCGGGGGCGCGAGGTTATGGACGCGCTCGCGGCGCGGGGCGTCGCCGCGGAGGTGGTGGAGTCGCACGCGTCCGAGCTGACGCTGAAGGTGCGAGAGGAGGACGCGAGGCTGTGGCAGATTTTCGACGCGGTGGAGGGGATGCGCGCGCGGGGCCCGGGGGGGCAGAAGAGCGGCGAGATCGCGGTGGACGTCCCGATCGATCTCGGGCGGCGGCGGCGGC